CGAAGCTTAGTACCCCAAGAAAGTCCAATGAAGATTGCCACTGCATTAGGGTTACCGAAAAAGAAGATGGTACCACTAACAGCTGTCGGCAACGGCTAGCCTCCCAAGTCCAAGATTTCAGAAATGATTTCAATGACGGCACTTTGATACTCTATGCATCGTTGCCTTGTGTAGGAGGTAGCCCATGGGGGAACGTGAATGGCCTTACTGTTGAGGGTCAAGAAAGAATCAAAGAGCAACAAAAACAGTTTACCAAGTTGTTCAAATCTTTTGTCAAACTTGTGGATGAAGTTTATGATGAACGAACCTTGATAGCATTTGAACTGTCCAAGAATTGCAAATATTGGAGATGGCCGATGGTTAGAAGATTCCTCAAAGAACGATCCATGACTACTCATCACTTTGATGGTTGTATGTTGGGTGTTCTTGGAAACAACGGTCAACCAATGAAGAAAAGTTGGACTATTGCAGGAAATTTTAAAGAACTCACCGTGTTAGACTCATTCAAATGTGATGGCAAACATGAGCATGATCAAAGTAGGGGCAAAGCTCTTAAACTTGCTGAGAACTATACCTTCAAGTTGACTGACATGCTCCATGAGTGTTTCCGGGTAGCTGTGGTGGGCCAAACATCCAAAAGGATTTCACCCGTTGTCATTCGTGCCTGTCCTGCAAAAATGGCTGACTCACGATATGCCACAGCACACCCGGCCAGCCGCGAGGCTGCGCTCGAAGCCACACGTGAGGCTAACAAAGAAGCATGGTTGCTCCTTCACAATCGCATTTTGTATGCATTGGCCATGCGCAATGAAGGTGAGAATCAGGCTGCTCAGGACCTCGTGGATGGATTGATGACCGAATGGACGCCGGCTTCGGCCCTGAGGTTCTATGGTCGAGAGGATCCGCTTGCAGAATACCTTAGTTTCTGCTTTTTGCCAAAGGAGTCCCACATTGAAAAGATCATGCTGCCAGAGATGCCCGTCAATGATGTAATCTGGATCTTAGTCTCTGACTCGTCATGTGCATTGATCACAGGGCGTAGGAAAACACTTAAGAAGTTTGACCTGTCCGAGCACTACCGGCAGCGCAAACCTAAGTATGTGACTGAGTTCATCCATGAGATGCTTTGGGGCAAAACTTTGCAGAAGCTGGTCAAGCGTGGGATTGAATTGGCCGCGGACGCCCGCGAGCGCTATCCTCATGCACGCATCAACCTGCACTTGTCCTGGTTCGGAAATGAATTGGTAGGAGAGGATGGAATTGCCCAAAATCCAAATTGGCCGTACGATGGTCCCAACGGGCACTGGCCCACGATCCTGGATGATTGTGAGCGCCACTTGACATGGTTCATCAACAAGGCCCGGGAGTTGGACTTGCAGACGGCCGGTCTCACGACCGCGCCCTGGAGCGCAGATTACGGCATTCATCCAATCTTCGATCAATTTTTCGACCATTTGGAGCCCCGATTCAAAGCTCTAACCAGCAGCCTGCAAGGGCGTGCCAATCCGCGGTATCCGTGGCTAAAAGCAAAGGGGTACGCCGATGCAATGGAATTCAGAGACCAGTGGCATTTCGCCAACTCTGAAGAAAATCGCACGCGCCTTGCTGCCTATTGGACAGCTACCCTTTTCGCACTTGATTCCGGATGGCGGGTCGGCCAAATTGGTTTGGAGCTTTCTGAGTGTGCCCAGGAGACATGGGATGATTTGCGGAGGAACATGAGCGCCGTCCTGGACGAGCTGCCAAGATCCTATCAGGAGACATGTGCAAACATCACCAAGTTGCTTTTTGGAGAGTCCCGAAGACACATTGTGCCGACGGGCAGGTCATTCACCAAGGAGGACGTCGAAGCTCAACAACCTGACACTGAGGACTACATCGACATCAAGACGATGCCTTCGGGCACGTTCGCTGAGCCTCCCAAAGATGACCCTCCAAAGGCCGCCGGCGACGGCGAGCCCGCTGCATCCAGCAGAGCAACAATCCTGGTCCAAACAGCTGAGGTCATGTTGAAGTCGCGGCCGAAAGCAGCACCAGCAACAGTGGATGAGCCCGCAGATGACAAGGGAGCCACATCCAGCCAGTACCATCCGCAGGCAACTGCGCGCTTAGAGGGACAAGCATCTGGCCACGTGAAAGCATATTGGATGGAAGAGCATTTGCCTGAATACCAATATACAATGGTGACCAATGCAGACGGGGACGATGTGCCCGGCATCCTCTTTGAAGGTACGGCTTATGAGCTGGAGCTGATATCGGCATCCGACGTTGAGACCATTGCCAGCCAGACTCGCGTCGACAAGAAGTTTTCTGATTTTGCGACTCGTGTCAACAAAGTTTGCAGGGGGCATGGATCCTGTGCCAAGGTGCCAATGGACAAAGACCTTTGGATTGACTTGGAGGATTTCGCCAAAGCCTTCCGCAAGGAAGTGCCCCCAGATGTTTTCATCACTGTCGCAAACCTGTTTGGCACCGCAATGAAGATCGACAAGCATGGCAAGAGTAGGTTCCAATTCTTGTGTGCAAAGATCTCCCATTTTCCTGTCGACAATGGCCTAGGCATGCCGTATTATCCTGTGAAAATCCGTGCAATTCAGGGTCACTCCGAAGCTGCCTTGAAAACCGCAGGGGGTCTTTATGCCAATTCAACCATGGTGTATTGCTCAGACCATGTATCCCCCGAGCGAAAAGCCGCCTTCACTGGCGTGCCCCTGTGTGCCATGACTGAGGTTCCTGAGGTTGTCTTCCATCGCACGATGAAAAGCAGCTGGAAGAGCATCGCACAGAATGGCCTGATTCCAGGCGGCGGTGCAACAGTCAACAGTGGCCGTGCTCATATCTACATGGCAGAACACTGTATCGGCACGCAGGGATATCGATCTGGATTAAGAGCAAAATGTCCAATCGAAGTCAAAATCGCAATGCGGCAAGCAGTTGAAGCTGGTGTCATCTTTAGTCGCACAGAAATGGATGGGATTTTGTGCTCAGAACGCATCCCACCGCAGTTTCTGGTCAGCATCTCAGAAGAAGGACAGGTGCTTTGGTCCCGCGCCGAGAGCAATCTCGAGCCCAGCTCATGGACTGGCGCGGCATCAGCCTCAGCACCGAAATCCAAAGCGGTCACCTTGACTGCCCGAGATGATGCAAATGACGACCCAATGGATGACACCAGCACGGGGCGACCCGATGCCAAGTCCACTGATGATGATGCAGCCACTGCCCCAATGCAAGTTGACCAGCCGCCCGCAAGGACACGCCGTGTTTACATTGCACCCAAGTACTGCGAACCTTTCATGGGCTCCTGTCCCCTCTGCCAGGTTGAGTACGTCAGTGGCCAAGTGACATGCACCACATGCGGGTTTGAGCCACTCCCAGTGGACGAAAGTGGCGATACAAAAGAGGCCAACAAACCCAACAGGAGGACCCGTATCCTTGAACGGCGAATGCAAAGTCTCGCCGGGTTCGGAATGTTTGGGAAGATGAGCGGAAGCTTGCTGACAGCCTTGACGGAAGAGCAAGCCAACCTGCTACGCCGAGAACTGGGCCCCAGGGGAATCACATCCGTGGAATCAGCAGTCCTCAAAGACTGCCGCGACAGGCATCGACGTGCAAAAGCGCTGGGCTACGAGGACGTGGAAGACAGATACTCCAGCGACGTCACTTTTTGCGACCGCATCCACGGTGAGGGGAAGGACCTGCAGGACTGCATATTCGACGACATGTTCGCATATGGCAACCTCCCCGATCCCCCAAGGACCAAAGCTCAGATCTCGGCTGGCGTCGCCGCCAATGCCCAAAATGAGAGCTGCTTATCTAAGTTGATTTTCATGTCTCAGCCTCGTGGCGTTGATGGCTTCCCAGTTGAGTTCCGCAAAACATGGAAGAAGGTCTGGGGTTTCATGTTTGGCCGCCACATTTTCACAGAGGATGAATATGTCAGCTACATCGGCCGTCGTGGCGCATTCCGTGGCCTGTTGACCTGGAAGGGTACTGTCCAAGTTCCTTTTGATGGCACTCGTGATTTCCTCGAAAAGGTGTATGAGGAAAACCTTCCCTTGGTTCGGAGCAATCTTGAACGCAAAGAGAAGCAGAGCGCTGCTGCAAAGGCTGGAGGTCCTGGAGGTCATAAGGCCGACCCCACGGTCGCGCCCACCATTGAGCGAAAGCGCAAAGCCGAAGCTGATGCATCCGCAACCGCACCAGATGTCACAGCCGCATCAAGCTCTGCTCGCGCAGACGCCTCGCACGCTGATGCCCCAGTTGACCCCAACAACGCACCATTTCTGGTACCTGAACCACCAACATCCAAAGCAGGAGCACGACCATTCTTGGAGCCCGAGACACCGCCTACTGCAAAAGCAGCAACCGCAGGAGTCACTTCGAAGGCTGCAAGCTCCGGTCGCCCGGATGCCTCTTGGAGTTGGAATCGTGATCACTATGGTGCACGCCGAGAATGGAGTTTCTGGCGTGGGGCTTGGTATTACCGTGACGAGGCCGGCGGCCGTTGGATCTTTTGGAACCGTTAGGGAGACGATGATTTTCTTTTGTAGCATAGCGCAAGATGTGGCATGGTAATGTGCCTTCCTTGCAACGCTGCGCTGGGTTTTACGGGCTTGAGCTTTTAGAGGGACCTTTGAAAGACTGCACAAAATGTCTAAAACCAACTAAAGAAATTTGGCTACCCGCGAGGGTATGCTTTTCTGGGTTATTCGTTCTCCGCAGTCGTCCCTGCTCGCCCGAGGGGGGTGTAAAAACTCCTGCAGTAAAACCATGTATTGTATATATCATCGATCTGCCCGATAGCGTTGGTTCAAAACAGAGCTAGCAGCTTAGCGGATTTGAGGTTCACCCCATTGGTATTAACCCAATTGTTGGCTGACCTTGTAAAATACACATACGATTAATTATATATATATATACGATATCTCTTAGTGCGGAAGGAGTGGGTGTGGGTTTTTCTTCTGGTTTCGCGTGTTTTGTTCGTGGTAGATCCAGCACCAAGGTCATGACGGTGGCAGACTATCTCAATGCAGAAGTCTCAGAGACTGGGTTTGGAGGAGTAACCACGGATGCTCACTGGTGGCTGCCCCCCCGGACCGGAACCAACTTCTAAAGAGCTGTCATCAAATGCTTCCACCTTGTTCAACTGTTCCACCCTGTCCTATTCACAGGCATTGGCGTAACAGTGACCGCCTGATATGATATGACAGGTCAGCCTACCCCATGCATGAAGCAGAAATACTCTACTGCTGCTCAAAGACATTTGCAGTGAAGCAGAACTATGCGGAAAGGATTTGGAATGATTTGGACATGCCCCAAGGATAAGGTCTATCGGAGTCTATCGCCCTTTTGGGATGATCCCCCATGTATAGCTCACTATAAAGTGGACATCCTTTGCGCTTATAAAGTGGGTTTCCGGTCGCCACTTTATATACCGACAATGGGGGATAAAGCCGTGTTTTGCGCGAGAAACATGCCCTTGGACCTGGAAGATGACTTTATAGCAACATTGGCTTTCCAGTTTATACCCGGCTGGTTCCCCACAAGGAAACGACTCAATATATGCGGCAATGCATTTTATAGACCGTTGGTTCCCTTCAAAGAATGGCCATAATATGTCACACCATCCACTTTATAGAAACATGTCTCCCCAATGATTTCGGGCCAATATCTTTCTGTTGGGGCTGTATACATGGCAAAGCACTTTATAGAGTGAAACTTGCCCTTTAAGAAGAAGAATTTGTGCTGCATCCAGGGCACTTTATAGAAAGAAAATTGCGGCAGAGCATTTTATAGAGTCATGAGATACATCACCCAAATCACTTTATAGAGCTGCCCAGGACCCCATTCACCCTGAGGACCCCTTTCAAGGGAAATCTTCTTCTCTATAAAGTGGCCAGTCCAGGTAAAACCCCTGAAAAAACAGAATCTATGTTGGACTAGCCACTTTATACCCCCTCCCCAAACAGAGAATGCCTCTATAAAGTGCCCAGTCCAGGTAAAACCCCTGAAAAAACAGAATCTATGTTGGACTGGCCACTTTATACCCCCTCACCCAACAGAGAATGCCTCTATAAAGTGGCCAGTCCAAGTAAAACCCCTGAAAAAACGGAATCTATGTTGGACTGGCCACTTTATACCCCCTCCCCCAACAGAGAATGCCTCTATAAAGTGGCCAGTCCAGGTAAAACCCCTGAAAAAAAACAGAATCGATGTTGGACTGGCCACTTTATACCCCCTCCCCCAACAGAGAATGCCTCTATAAAGTGGCCAGTCCAGGTAAAACCCCTGAAAAAAACAGAATCTATGTTGGACTGGCCACTTTATACCCCCTCCCCCAACAGAGAATGCCTCTATAAAGTGGCCAGTCCAGGTAAGACCCCTGAAAAAACAGAATCTATGTTGGACTGGCCACTTTATACCCCCCCCCCCAACAGAGAATGCCTCTATAAAGTGGCCAGTCCAAGTAAAACCCCTGAAAAAACAGAATCTATGTTGGACTGGCCACTTTATACCCCCTCCCCCAACAGAGAATGCCTCTATAAAGTGCCCAGTCCAGGTAAAACTCCTGAAAAAACAGAATCTATGTTGGACTAGCCACTTTATACCCCCTCCCCAAGCAGAGAATGCCTCTATAAAGTGGCCAGTCCAGGTAAAACCCCTGAAAAAAAGAGAATCTATGTTGGAATGGCCACTTTATACCCCTTCCCCCAACAGAGAATGCCTCTATAAAGTGGCCAGTCCAAGTAGAACCCCTGAAAAAACAGAATCTATGTTGGACTGGCCACTTTATACCCCTTCCCCCAACAGAGAATGCCTCTATAAAGTGGCCAGTCCAGGTAAAACCACTGAAAAAACAGAATCTATGTTGGACTGGCCACTTACTACCACCTCCCCCACAGAGAATGCCTCTTATAAAGTGCCCCCAGTCCAGGTAAGGTAAAACCCCGAAAAAACAGAATCTATGTGGAATGGCCACTTTATTACCACCTGACACCCAACAGGAGGAATGCCTCTACAAAGTTTTGTGGTGGCGGCCCAGTCCAGTACCAGGTTTTAAACCCCTGAAAAAACAGAATCTATGTTGGACTGGCCACTTTATACCCCCTCCCCCAACAGAGAATGCATCTATAAAGTGGCCAGCCCAGGTAAAACCACTGAAAAAAAAGAATCTGTTGGACTGGCCACTTTATACCCCCTCCTCCAACAGAGAATGCCTCTATAAAGTGGCCAGTCCAGGTAAAACCCCTGAAAAAAAAGAATCTATGTTGGACTGGCCACTTTATACCCCCTCCCCCAACAGAGAATGCCTCTATAAAGTGGCCAGTCCAGGTAAAACCCCTGAAAAAAAAGAATCTATGTTGGACTGGCCACTTTATACCCCCTCCCCAAACAGAGAATGCCTCTATAAAGTGGCCAGTCCAGGTAAAACCCCTGAAAAAACAGAATCTATGTTGGACTGGCCACTTTATACCCCAGCCAGTCGGCTCCAGGACTTTGACCCGGAAACGGAAGGACTGACAACAAGGTAAAGGGGGAAAACTACAACGGAGAGGTACAACGGGAAGGCTACCACAAGAAAATGAGACATGTCACGTTTATATACGTTTATCGTTTTCAATGTGTCATATAGATTGGCGATGATTGGTATATTGAATATGTTGTAGATGTATTTTGGAACATATGTATACCTATGATTCACACATCAATATAAATATATATAAATCATAAGCACGTGCCAAACCAAAAACTTTTAGCTGAGTATTGTATTCCCAAAATATGTCGGCAGATAACAATCCATAGTTTGAATCTTGTTGGGTCACGCATGGTGAATCGGCTGGACATTTGCCAACAGATTGGGAATACAATACTCAGCTAAAAGTTTTTGGTTTGGCATGCGTTTTTGATTTATATATATTTATATCGATGTGTGAATCATAGGTATACATATGTTCCAAAATACATCTACAACATATTCAATATACCAAACATCGCCAATCTATATGACACATTGAAAACAATAAACGTATATAAACGTGACATGTCTCATTTTCTTGTGGTAGCCTTCCCGTTGTACCTCTCCGTTGTAGTTTTCCCCCTTTACCTTGTTGTCAGTCCTTCCGTTTCCGGGTCAAAGTCCTGGAGCCCACTGGCTGGGGTATAAAGTGGCCATTCCAACATAGATTCTGTTTTTTTCAGGGGTTTTACCTGGACTGGCCACTTTATAGAGGCATTCTCTGTTGGGGGAGGGGGTATAAAGTGGCCAGTCCAACATAGATTCTGTTTTTTTCAGGGGTTTTACCTGGACTGGCCACTTTATAGGGGCATTCTCTGTTGGGGGAGGGGGTATAAAGTGGCCAGTCCAACATAGATTCTGTTTTTTCAGGGGTTTACCTGGACTGGCCACTTTATAGAGGCATTCTCTGTTGGGGGAGGTGGTATAAAGTGGCCAGTCCAACATAGATTCTGTTTTTTCAGGGGTTTTACTTGGACTGGCCACTTTATAGAGGCATTCTCTGTTTTGTTTTGGGAGGGGGTATAAAGTGGCCAGTCCAACATAGATTCTGTTTTTTCAGGGGTTTTACCTGGACTGGCCACTTTATAGAGGCATTCTCTGTTGGGGGAGAGGGTATAAAGTGGCCAGTCCAACATAGATTCTGTTTTTTCAGGGTTTTACCTGGACTGGCCACTTTATAGAGGCATTCTCTGTTGGGGGAGGGGGTATAAAGTGGCCAGTCCAACATAGATTCTGTTTTTTCAGGGGTTTTACCTGGACTGGGCACTTTATAGAGGCATTCTCTGTTTGGGGAGGGGGTATAAAGTGGCCAGTCCAACATAGATTCTGTTTTTTCAGGGGTTTTACCTGGACTGGCCACTTTATAGAGGCATTCTCTGTTGGGGGAGGGGGTATAAAGTGGCCAGTCCAACATAGATTCTGTTTTTTTCAGGGGTTTTACCTGGACTGGCCACTTTATAGAGGCATTCTCTGTTGGGGGAGGGGGTATAAAGTGGCCAGTCCAACATAGATTCTGTTTTTTCAGGGTTTTTACTTGGACTGGCCACTTTATAGAGGCATTCTCTGTTGGGGGAGGGGGTATAAAGTGGCCAGTCCAACATAGATTCTGTTTTTTCAGGGGTTTTACCTGGACTGGCCACTTTATAGAGGCATTCTCTGTTGGGGGAGGGGGTATAAAGTGGCCAGTCCAACATAGATTCTGTTTTTTCAGGGGTTTTACCTGGACTGGCCACTTTATAGAGGCATTCTCTGTTGGGGGAGGCGGTATAAAGTGGCTAGTCCAACATAGATTCTGTTTTTTCAGGGGTTTTACCTGGACTGGCCACTTTATAGAGAAGAAAATTTCCCTTGAAAGGGGTCCTCAGGGTGAATGGGGTCCTGGGCGCGCCGCGCGCGCGCGCGCGCGGCGCGACCAGGACCCCTTTCACCCCAAGGACCCCTTTCAAAGGAAAGTGTGTTAGAGGCATTCTCTGTTGGGGGAGGGGGTATAAAGTGGCCAGTCCAAAATAGATTTTGTTTTACCATAGATTCTGTTAACGACTTCGATATAGATATTTGTCTGGCTGTCGGTTTCGTTCGGATTCGAAGTCATTCGAAGTCTTTTGGGTTCCCCATCGATGAGATCGATGATATTCCCCCAAGGTTTGAACGTGGCCCCTCAACTTTATAGACAATCATGTCGATGCTGCCATCGTCGCGATTAAGAAAATCATCGCTACTACAACGATCGTTGTTTAGCCGGAAATCCACATTATAGTGCCACTGTTCTGCACAAGTATTACTATCTGGATGTTCGGCATCTCACTTTATAGTCATGGGACATGTTCACAAGTACCCTCAAAAACCTGCATCGAGTTTTATGTTTTTACGCGGCCAGGCGACTTTATACAAACGTTGGATTTTGACTTTATAGACAAAACATGTTGGCTTTCCACTTTATAGACTCCAGACATGTGGCCATTCCAGTTTATACCAGGCTATTCTCTATAAAGTCGGCCGCAAAGCATCTAGCGGGCTATACATGGGGGATTTGGGATGATGAATGGAATGTCATTTTTTAACATGTTTTTCTTGGTTTGTCCATTGAGTCAAGTTCTCACTCCCGGGAGGGGCAGATCCAAGGAATGGAACCTCTTCTTCGCTGACATGGCCTACTCTTTGCAGAGTGCCTTGGCAACGCTATTGTTGCTACAGTTTTTGCCATCCAAACTCCGACTTGTTGGTACCAGAATCTCTGGCAAGTCTACACCCATCATGTGCTACAGTATCACATGCATCAACTTCCAAGATGTCTGTATGTTTTAACCATTTCTGCTGAACAATTTTAGTTGTGATTCAACATCTGGGTTTGCCTGAAAATCTGGTAGCGATGGTTTAGCATCATGTTCCCTATCAACGATGCCTTTTTTGGATATCCACAATTTTCAGGCATACCGCGGCATACCGCATACCCATATATTCACCATGTTACAGCCATGTCCAGCTGCATCCACCACCCACCAGCCGTAGCATGCCATAGCCAGGAGACGTGTGGCATGCCCTGCGTGAGGCAGGAAATCTGCCGTTGGAGGCGGAAGGCTTTGATGCCCGGCCTATCCTCTCCGTGGGGGTCAAGGTGCCCGGATCGGGGGTTGGGGGGTTGATGTTCCAAGAAGAGACTACATGACATGAACAAACATATCGATGGAACATGGTGGAAGACCGTTTCATGGGTGCTTTTCCTATGGCTGGTGGGAATGGTGTGATACCACCATGGTGCCAACTCTTCCGATGGTGGACCCATGGCCATGTTTGGTTGAGCAAGGCATCCTCCACCCGAAGTCATCAGCATGCAGAGACCTACCAGCTGCTGCTCAGTGGCCTGAAGGCTGGAAGACATCCCAACTGAACCTTCCAGTTTCTGAAAATGAACCGGAAGTAGTTGATGAGATGATCAATAGATATCAATAGAAAATCACCACGTACACTAAACACATCACTTTGCAAAACTTGATGTCGGCCTAAGCACGGCCAACTGGGCACCAGGCAGCAGATGGGGGTCCCTGCTCTAGGCCTGGTGGCTGGCCAAACCTGGGTTCGAGTTGGACAAGGCTCTGGGGGATCCCTGCGAGGCACTGGCCACAGCAGCAGGCCATGAGATGGGTGGAAGCTGGAAGTTGGCTGCGGACTTTGCTGGGATTTGCCCAGCAGATTTTGTTGGGGTCGCCATTTTGTGGCGAAAAATGATGCAATTTTCTTCAACTTTTTTGGGAGTTTGGGTGGATGGTTTGATGTTTCAATGGCCATTGAAGGATCAAGAGCCACGCCCAACGAGGTGAGTCGCCTGCCAGAGCAGCCCACGAGCTTCCAGAGGACGATTCAACTGTGGAGTCATGGGGAAATCAAGATTAAAACATTGACACATAGGTAGATATACACTATATTATACTATATTATACGATAATATTAAACTAATATATTACACATAATTTAATGGTATCATTGAGCAAATAAATAAGCATGAATGCCATATTACAAGGCATATGTGAATAGAATCCCATGAGTCAAAAGAGTTGAAGACTGTAGTATTTCAGAAACACTTTTGTCACGGAACACAGTAGAGCAGAATGGCACAAGACACTGGACAGCGATATGGCCTCCCCAAAAAACGATCACCCTTTTAATAATAGTTACTGAGATGTAAAGGATTTTGACGGGAGCTCGTACGCTGTGCCACTTGCGCACTCCATCAGATGTCAGAATTTATACTTCAGGTGTGTCCTGAATCTACCGCTGTGGCAGGAGCCATGGCTTTGTATTCAGCAGGTGGGTGAGGTGCCACCTCAACTCTGGGGGGGGCTTGAGGGCGTCTTTTGATGTCGATTGTTGTCGAGGCTGTGTACTTTGGCGACCACTTCCCACATGTCTCTTGGCAAGTTCAAAAGGCAGTTATTGTATAGCGTTCCACAGCAAACCACCGCCTTGCCAAAAGCACATAAATGGACTACACAAATTGAGGACCTGCGCGGTTCCTCAATTTCAGCACAGAAACCCCTTAACATCATTGTGCAGCGGCTGACGGTGTCCAAGTCGCTTTGGAACCATTGGAACGCCCCAATCCGCTGGTGTCATGGGGGGCACCTCCACCCAGCTATACCCAGCTGCCAATCAAGGCAACCTGCAACCTGGAAGCCTTTGTTTTGGGTTTCGGTGCTCAGGCGCCCTCTGGAAATCTACCACTATAGTGAAGAATACATAGATGAATTTCCTCATTGCGGATTTTTCATCAAGGTCATCAAGGTTTCTTTTTCTGGCGGGTAGTGCAATTTGGAAGTGTGACCAAGCAAGCACAGTGTATGTACATAAAACATTTTTTACCAAAATATACTACTGTAACCCCATCCAACCCCCAAAAAGTTGCTCTATACGAACAAGTTTCTATCTTCTCTTGGTGGGTTGCTGTATCCCTTCCCTGGGATCAGCATTGCAGGGCTTGTCTCATGGATGGCCAGCACTGCACCGAGCGGCGCACAGCAACGACTTAGATGTCCTGCAGCGGCTGGTGGAGGATGGGTCACTGTGGGGATGCGGCTTGCGGGGTAGTTGAGCACGAAAAACTGATGTGGTACACCCTGGCTGCCATAAACAACTACCATTTGAGGATTCTCTGTACCACTCATTCGTGGTGATGACTTGGGGATGGTTTAGGGTTTACCACATGTGTGAAAATGATTAAACCGGTGTCCGGCGCTGTGGCTGGAATGTTTTTGCTCAGTTGCAGGTTGCGGAAAGGTTTGCATAGAATGTAAAGGTAGGATGCATAGCATGTGAACGTAGGATCATGGATGATCAGTTGAAAAAGTGTGGACAGAGCCACATTGTAGGCTGAAGGGATTCCAGTTTCAGTTTGCTTGGGGATTAGTGCTTTGTCCTGGGGCATCAGAGATGCGCAGAAACCAGTGTTGCACTCAGATTCCAAGGGTTTACGGTCTACATGCGTTGCGCACCAAACGTGAGCAGGTTGCACGAACAGGTGTCAAAGGGTGTGGGCAACGCCACACGATATGTTGTTAGGGTTCCACTGTTAGTTACTAGTTTGCGTTGGACTTGGGATTGTGCACTTGCGGTGCATAAGAGATGCGCGGGCACTCTGTATTGCACTTAGATCACTAGGTCACGCGCTTTGCATGTGGTTGCCACATATGTTTGGAAGGAGCATGCGCGGAAGTCATTTGGAAACAGAAACTTGCACTTTGGAATTGCGCACATGTTGTTTGTGTGAAAAGCGCAAGGATCCAGGATTTTTTTTTTTCATTAGAGGGCCGTTTTTAGACGCGCTAGGAATTTCCCACAGGACTCAAGGAATGCACTTAAAGTGCATTAGATGTTTTCGCTGCATTTCAGTTCTTCATGCTTGATGAGAACGTGTGCAGAGACACTTCAATTTGTTCAGAGACTTGCGAATGCAGTGTCGTTTTTGAGTCTTTGGAGCGAGCATACATGTCCTCGGGTTGTGCGGTGTACTTAGGAAACACATGTCTACTCTAAACTTGCGGTTAGGAACTTGGACTTGAGCTTGTGAATTTAATTTGGTAGGCTTAGTAGGAACCAAACGGATCGTTGTTCCACGTCTTTGCACTTGAGAGCACATGTTTTTAGTCATGTGAAGGCTTCGCAAATGAGAAGAAACTCATTTTGGAACGAGTTTGACTTTGTTTTGAAAGACCCCAAGTCACCACAGTTGAGAAGACTTGGATCAGGGCCTTTTCAAGGCTGAAGTGAAGCTGGGAAAGAGGAAACCTTTTGTTTGTGTTTCTTGTTTTACCCAAAGTGGCACCGGAAAAATACCAGAGAACATTTCCAAATTGGCAAGACGCCAATTCAGCAGAGACAGAAGTTTCACGAAAGATCTGGCTGCCAAACTTCGTGTTTGGCTCAAGTTTGCCAGTGGAAAAAAGTCAGAAGCTGACTTCGAAATTTCACAACATGGTTAACCATCAAACACGGGGGGTTTAACCGCCAAACGCGGGGATTTGACCGGATCTTGACCATACACATTAAATTTAATGTCCACCTCTGATTTATAAATACCCCCCCCCCTCCTCTTTTCCCCTAAATAGATTTAAAGCCACCATCAAACTTGTTTGTATGTAAAGGTTTTCAATTACCACAATTTAAAACGAATACATAAAATGCAATTTCAAAAAAAAAGGAATCCAACAATTGTTTTAGTATTGATCTAGTACTCATGTCATGGATTTAGTATTGATTTAGTACTCATGTCACGGATTTAGTATTGATTTAGTATTCATGTCATGGATTCAGTTTTGATTTAGTATTCATGTCATGTATTTAGTATTGATTTAGTACTCATGTCACGGATTTAGTATTGATTTAGTATTCATGTCATGGATTTAGTATTGATTTAGTATTGACTTAGTATTGATTTAGTATTGATTTAGTATTGGTTTAGTATTCATTTCATGGATTTAGTTTTTTTATTTAATATTCATTTCATGGATTTAGTATTGATTTAGTATTCATTTCATGGGTTTTGTATTGATTGAGCATTCATTTCTTGATCAGCAGGAGGGGGAAACTCAGTAGCTTTATTCAGGGTCAAACTCTAATTAGTGCTAAGGCACCTCATGGGGGGTACCCTTGATGAGTTGATTTGGGGTTGATTTTGGATAATTTTGAATAAAGGTTTTGAATAGAAAAGAGCAACCATTATTTTTGAAAATTTGAAGTTATCAAGGTAAGATCTAATGAGCTGGCAATATGAATTAGTACATGAAAGCCACCTCAAATAAAGTATGGACAATTTTTTTCAGCCCCATCTGGGCAAATCTGGGTTTAGGGCCAAAAAAAATTAGCACTATTCAGGGTAGTTTTATTATTTAGTTTGGGAGTTTGGTTAGCACTATTCAGGGTAGTTTGATAAATCGCAGGTCAACATTGAATGGGCATTTAAACATCAACAGCGAGGATGTTTTAGTTGCAAATATGCTGAACCATCGAGACGTTGAATTGGCGATTGGGAGAGTTTCTAGGGACGTGATTGGAGTCAATCCTCAAATATCAAGGATTGCCCAAGGAAAGGGCGGCAATTGGGAATATGTTATGTTACATGCTCCTTTGCCCAGTGTCTGGGGTTTTGGAGCAACCCTGAATATGGAGATTCCAAGTGACTTCGGGTTGGGTCAAAACCTATGAACATAGCAGCTGTATCTGTTATTTTTCACTTGAAATCAGCTGTTCGATCTATAGGATAAAAAAGGTTGATTTCAAAGGTACAAGTTGCCGAGTTCACCTCTCAAACGTGGGATGTGGTAAAATGTGTGCATGCATGAACATTTGAGACCATGTGGGTCAGCATAGCATGGGTGTGAATTGGCCCACAAAGTTGTTTGTATTTAGTGTTTCCCCTTCGGCGCTGCATGCATCCATTTGTCGAGTCCCATGAATCATAATTTCCCCCTTTCACTCACATCGAACGCTTGTTTCTTTATCCCCCAGATCCCCCGGTTAATCATGAAAAATTATATCGAAAATTAAATTATCGAATCCCTATTGAATCGGACAAAACCAATTCTTTATCATGAAATTGGTTGAGTCACCCAAATCTTCACCAACATCCAAAAATGTTACTATATCCCATTTTATACCCATCGGACAGTAGGTCCTTGATCCCCCATGTTAATCATACCTCATTGAATTGGATAAACCATGACAAACCCAGGTAACTCTATATATCCGACTAGTAACTATAAGAGAATGGGTCAAAACCTATTACTACATATTACTACCATACTTGGTGGAATAAACATTCATAAACCAGCGATGACTTAGGGTACCATCCGGGTACCCGGGTTTTGACGCCATATAACTTCTATATAACTCCTCCTTTTCGATTCGATTTTCGTTGCTTAAATCACCAGTTTACTGGAATTTTCACTCATTGGATTGGTTTAAGATGTTTTAAGGGAAAACCTGCAGTGACACCTCCGTATTTTATTGGGTAAAAACTTAAGGTATCCTGTAGACTGTGTCCCTCCAACCAAGTCATTGATTCACCATCTTCCAGCCCCAGGAGGGCATGAAGCTGAACCAACGGCACGACCAGGTGACCCCGTTGCACCGCGCGGTGACCAAGGGCCATCTGGCTGCGGTTCAACGCTTGGTGGCGGCTGGGGCCAAGCTGCTGAAGGATCGAGAAGGACCAGATGGGGGATCTTGGAGCAGCACATCCTGGGATTTAATGGGATTTCATGGTTCTTTTACCAACCGTCACGGGGGATTTCATAGGGATTAATGGGACTGGGACTTAATGGTTATAATTGGGATTATTGGGATGATAATTGACCGGTGATTTTACCAACCATAAGGGAGATTTTTATGGGGTTGAATGGGATTGAATAGGATAATCAAACATAGCAAAATGGAAATCCGCGCGCGAAATGGAGGTGACATCAACTATATAGTATATATAAATATTATATAATATTATTATATACATAATTATATACTGTAATTTCACCACCAAGGGTTTTCAGTGGGATTTTCATGGGATCTAAATGGAATATAGATCCAACTATCTGAATAGATGAACAAATGGATTGGCTTAACGGAAAACCTACAGGAACTCAAATATGAAGGGTTCTTGTAACTGTTCCCTCCAACTCTGGGATTAATGGGGATTTAACCCTCAAATACAGGGGTTTTCGCCATGGAAAAAGTATGAACATCGTTGATAAATCATGGTTAATTGATGATTGCACGCAGGCTGCAGGGAGTTTTGCAACTTCATCTACAGGGGATTGGGTTAAAATTAGCATCATCCATCCCCATGAGACAACCCTTACCGTATAAGAGATTTTCGACCAGATTTTTGACACTGAGGTAGCGTGGGTTCATCTCAGATGGATGGTGAAACACATGATAAACTTCAACAGAGCTGAAATATAGGAAGATTTATGGTGTCATTAGAGGCTTAACTTAAACCTCATTGGAAATGGGATATGCCATGATGGGAGTCTCACCTGAAATGAGTTTCGTACATTGCTGGCTGGGGGAAGTTGCTCGTTGGCACCTACTCAAAATCCATGGGCTTGATAGCGCATACCGGGAGGACAACTGGCGCATTCATCTTCCAACCTCTGTGTTCAATGGCTAAAGGTAAGGGAAAATCATTATCAACCGGAACCCCATAGAAACTGTTAAGAAAAAGTTTTCAAACCCACAGTTTCCGCAGATTTTAAGCCAATCCATTGATCTGTGGAAGGGTTCCATCTTACATGTTGGAAAGGTTTTCTGGGCCAGGAAAAAGTCCCGGGACCATGGCAGCCGAGCGGGGAGACCTGCCCATGTTGCGATTTTTGGCGGAAGCACAACCTTTGAAGCAACAGGACGCAGCGCGGGATGTGGGTTGGCACACCCTCCGGCAATGAACCGCAGCTGGACAATCTCTATTTTCAATGGGTACGGTATGCTTTGGCTGTTTGCAATGTATTGTTTTTTTGGTATTGTGATTATTGTGTATTCTGGCCCCGCTTGAGCCATGTCTTTGGATCAACTATTGTTTGGACCAAACAATCATCTCATGCACATTGGGCATGCTGATGGGTTTTTCTTTATGGATATGTCTTGCAGAAAGGCTTCAGGTCCAATCTTTTGACACGTAGCTGGCACCGTACTTGGATGCATTTTGGGAGCGAGTAGGATGCACTGAATCTCAAGCTTGCCAGCTAGGTTGACAGCCTTGTCACCCCACTGGCGGGATCAAATATGGCTGGCAGATGCTAGCAGGAAACTCCCAATTGCTAATGCAAAAATCCTTCGTAAATGGAAGGTTTACTGGAGGGTGCTTTTCTTGAAGACCTGGAAGTCGCAGCATGTCGAAGCCCATTTTCAACGGGAAAATCATACTTCAGGAGATTTCAGGAGGTCAGTCAAGATATTCAGGGTGGAGTACCTGTACAGGGGGCTGTGGGTGAGGATTCCAGGATATGTATGGATATGTAATGTTGCTGATGTTTCCGACCAGTTCCACGAGCAAATTGGCGTAGTTACTTAAGATTGCTTAAGTGGCAGCGCCACACGTATGAGTACACATCAAGATGTTATACAAAATTGCCAAGCGAAAATTGATTGCAGCCCCGGCAAGGATCGTGTGTCCAGATGCAGATTCTGCACGCACCTGTCACATGTATACATTTCATGCAGAAGCACCAGGTATCGTATAGTTTGTTCATGTTTTTTTTTAAAAAAATTATATGTTTGCCTCACACAGAATCAGAAAACACACATTCCATGACATTCCAATGTTGGAAATGGGTGCATCACTGGCGTAGCACCATGACCCCAGGAGGCAGGACAGGCCTTGATCTGGGCCGCCCTCTCAGGCCATGTGCCGGTCATGGAGTGTCTCGCCTGGGAGGAGGTGAAGCCACGAAAAGCTGGGGGTTTACCTCTAATGAAACCCTTGAACAGTCTGGAACTCTCCAAAAATGATGTTTCTGGAAGAATCCTCTATTCATGGGAAGTGAGTTTTTTTTTGTTCCATGTCGAATGTAGGAAGCCACTGTTCATTCTTTTGGAAGCTGCATGTGCTCAATATGGATCTCACTTAAGTGCACGTGACCAAGACATTCCTTCTCAAACATCTTTCTTTTGGTTTCAAACAGGAATTAGATGATATATTATGTTTTTTGGATACAAGGATGTCTTTGGCGTTGACACAAGCACCTCGATCTTCTTCCCACACCACACCAAACATAACATCATTGGCTTGTTTTTACAAAACCAAACTGACAGATAGTAAGGCAAAGGAAGCGATCCAAATGACATGCAAGTATGGACAGCTATGGTGCATGACCAATTTCTATGAGCTGTCTAGAATTTGCGGGTAAAACTTGTACAGACCTTGATTTGCTCTTTGATTTCCCTTGCTTACAGGCAATCGGGATCTGTAAAATTTGAGGCATGTTTTGATGTTTTATGGTGGCGTCTCAAACAGGCCTGGGCCAAACAAAGGATTGCCGGCACAAGCATGCTATTGCTGCTATTTGCTGTCGGTGAACGATGGTGACCATGGGCTATGTCGGGCATGGCCCCTGTGATTTGAACATAAAAGTTCGGCCTGAAATGCCAAAGGATCAAAAGGTTCCGTTTCATTAACGAGATCCCTCAAGTTGGCTTCTAAAGACTATAGATGACTGTAGCAGTTACATGCGATTACCAATTCTGAGCCAACCCCAACTCTTCTGTGGATTGCCTTCCCGTCGGCTCCTTTGTGAGGTTCCTCTTGTCCCAAAAAGCATCAGTCCATGCAACCGATGAGCGAGGCTGGCCTGACCCACTAAGCTGTAGCTGAAGAAAACTGACTTTGGATGGGGGCACTGGCCGAGTTATTACTCCAAAGTATTCTTATCAGGGGATGTGTCAAAACCTATGATTTATGATTAGCATAGGGGGAATTAACCTCCACTCACATCCATTCACCAGCTATCTATCCAGGTACCATCCGGGTCCCAAGGTCTTGACTCATAGCCATCAAGCCGCGGACCATTGATCCCACCCGGTGTTACCCCAACCCGGTCGCATGGCCAGGTTTACAACCGATCCACTTTGCAGCCCTGGAAAGCGATGTGAGCACCGTCGCCTTCTTGGTTCAGGCTGGATAGCGAGGGGAACATCCGGGGGCCCCCCCCGTCATTAAAAGCTGTTCCCCAGATAGGATATCATCATACATTTAAGTACGGATTTCACTTGGCGGCACTTGAGAACTAATTGAAACATCTTTTTTGCCAGTGAACTTGTAATACTTGTAGTACTCGTACTACTTGTAGTACCTGTAGTAATTGTAGTACTTGTAGTACTTGTAGTACCTATAGTACTTGTATGTTGTTTGCGTTACCTTTTGCACCTCAAGTTTTTTATTAAGAAGGGTGTAAAAAGAGAAAGAGAGAGAGATAGAGAGAGATAGAGAGAGAGAGAGAGAAAGAAAAATAAAAAAGATAAACAGAGGAGAGAGAGAGAGAGAGAGAGAGAATGAAAAAAACAAGATAAAGAGAAAGAGAGAGAGAGAGAGAGAGAAAGATAAAGAACAGGGAAAGGGAAGGCTTTTCTTTCTTCTCTTGGCTCCAGGATCACCTCAGGAAAAGTTTGCTGTAATTCCGAACCTAGGCAACAGACCTATATACTAAAGTGAACTGTACCCTCTCATGGCCCAGTGCTTTGGAAATTTGTGCAATAGCTGTTCTGTAAGAAGGGTTTTATAAGATAATAAAACCATATAAAAGCCTTAGGAAAGGCAGACAAGCAATATTTGTTATCTGAAAGTCTGAAAGAATGCTAAGATTATTTTCACACAAACACACATTTTTTTTCAAAAGAATGGTCCGCTAAAAAGTTTCGCCACAATAGCGAAGCTAGCTACTAATCAGGATGCAACATTATTTTTTGAGTCACTTGCTTGAGGGTAAATTTATATAATAAAATATAATCAGTGATCAGAGTACTATTTTAGATAATATTTGGAAGATACGATTATGATTGATTATGTGGGTTCGGCATATGATGGCACACATGCTGCTGTGACATTGTGTGACATTGATAGCCCATTTGGGGAGGTGCAATGGAATTTACAACTGAACTTTTTCAGGATTTGGAGATTAGAGGTCTCTGTCTGATTTTTAGGCACATTTGTCACCTATAGGCTAGCCTATAGGTATACATGGTATATACATGTTTGGTTCCTGTTCACCTCAACCAGAATTCAATCTCCAGAAAGATCTCGACCTTTTTTTTTTGCTCAGGAGCCACTCGTTGTTGAGCTTCGCTCTGGAAATACCCATCATGTGCCCATAGCTAGTTGTCTACCATATGGGTGCTTCCATAAATGGGGGTACCCCAATAGCTGGATGGTTTACAATGGAAAATCCCAATTTGAAATGATCTATATGAAATGAATGATTTGGGGGTACCCTCATTTTAGGACACCCACATAATATGTCCAAATTGATGCAGATATGAGGTATCGTGCAACATATCTAAAGCTCCACGTCAGGGTGGCTGCAACCCAAGTGAATCATTAGCAGAAGTATCTAGGGTGGTTGGGAGCAGCCATGAAAAACCTACATATCGTAAAATCATGTAAAATCCATTCCAATCTCATTAATTATATTCATGATAGTCACATAGTAAGATTCTGATCCCATTCTGTTCCATTGAACAAACCCATTTGATGGTTATCCATTGAAACCCATCAAAGTCCCATTAAAAACACATTAAAACCATTAGAAACCCATTAAAGTTCCATTAGAATCAATTTTAAACCAATCCCATTACGATCCAATGAAAACCAATAGAATCTCATTAAAGTCCCATTAACATATCCATAAGTAGAATCAGTAGAGACCCATAAAGATCCCATGAAAATCCCATAGGATGTGGATCACCCCCGACCTGCCAGCATGGCGCCAACGTATCAGCTACGGGCCTTGGCGCCGAACGCCCCATCCATTGGGCTGCAGGTGTCGGCCATGCAGCGACTCGGCAGCCATTGTAATTTTATAGTTGATTTACCCATTAAACATGGTGATTTTATAGTTGTTTAATGGGTAAATCAACATAAATCAACTATAATTAAGCCATTTACCCATTGATTTTTTGTATGTTTACCGTGTATTTCATGTTTGGGGACGTTTGGGCCGACTGAACTTGTTTTCCTTCGACATGTCAGCCCATCATCGACTACCTCCTGGCGCAGCGCGCAGACTGCTCCGCTGCCGATGCCCGCGGCGCCCTTGCGCTGCACTTTGCCGCGGCACAGGATCGACTAGAGGCGATGTGGGATGTGCAGATTTATCATTTCTGCATGGCAAAAAAAAGGCAATTAAGATCAACTCAGCAAACAACATGTTCAATCAAGATGAAATTCGTTAGATAGAATACTTTGTCATCTTAATTATGTAGATTAATATTCACTTATACTATATTCACTTACCCTAATATGGCGTATATGTATATATATATATATGAGTAACCGACAAAAATATTGTAATACTAATTTAGTTTTGCTTTGCCTTGGCCTTTCCGAGGTTGCACAAAACCTTCATAACCGATAGGGGACGACCCTATACCGATACCCCATTTGTGATACCTCCGGGAATACTGAAATCCTCACAACCGATAGGGGACGACCCTAATTTTGTCCGCTAGTCATATAAAAGTCAATTAAGATAGAATTTCTGAATATTTCGGCTGCATCTTCTGCTTCCCAAGAAATTCGCAGAATCTTCGCGCCATCCCAGGCAGCCCAAAGATTGGCTGCCTGCCACTTGGCCCCTGGTGCCCTGCAGGCGGCTGCTTCCAAGGGAGCCTTGGACGGAGCCACAAATGGCGAACCAGGGGTAGCATGGGGATTTTTAGGGGAAATGTGAAATTTATGGGAATACTATGCCCCAAACTCTGATTCATTTTTTTTGGTTTGCGGGCATCCACTTTTCTCGATGTTTGTTGGTTTTGTCAACCATGTTTGAGCCATGTTGAAGCAGCATGCAGCTTCATACCCTTTCGATTTTTCTTGGCATATGGGAGTTTTTTCGCCTTAAACATCATGATCATCGCAGAAATTCGCAGAATACCAGGGCTATCTTCATGCCTAACATTGGCAAAGATGGGCTCCCATTGGGCTCCCATTGGGCTCGTCATGGGTTCCATCCCCTGAGGTCACAGGCGTTTGGTCAGGATGCTACTGAAGGCCGGTGCACAGCCAGATGCGCAGGTGGAGGACTGCGTCAACTGTGAGAGATTTGGACCGGCCATGGGAATCCAATGCATTTTAATCACGAAAGCTAGCGTCAGCTAGCTGGAGTCTTCTTGCTTTAGCAAGTATTGGGGGGGCTGCTCAAGGACATCACGTGATTTTTCACGCGAAAGGGGGGGACCCCCCCCACCCCCTCACCCACCACCACCACCATCACTACCATCATCATCATCATCATCGTCATCATCATCGTCATCATCATCGTCATCGTCATCGTCCTCTCCATCGTCCTCGTCCTCGTCATCATCATCATCATCATCATCGTCGTCGTCCTCGTCCTCGTCCTCGTCATCGTCATCGTCATCGTCATCGTCATCATCATCATCATCATCATCATCCTCGTCATCATCATCAGCAGCATCATCATCATCATCATCATTAATCATTCATCATTCATCATTCATCATTCATCATTCATCATTCATCATCATCATCATCATCGTTATTCAATTACATTTTATCATTATTGGCAATTATTGTCATTATCACGAAAGCTAGTGTCAGCTCGCTAGAGTCTTCTTGCTTTAGCACGTATTCCGGGGCTCCCCAAGGACATCACGTGATTTTTCCCGCGAAAGGGCCCCCCCCTGCCCCCTCCCCCATATATATCATTGTTATATATCATATATCAATATATCATTGTTGCATCCTCGTTGGGACGAACAATGCCGCGACACGATGATGACAGTCCCTCCGCAACTCACCTCTTCCCTTCCTTCTTTCTCCTACCCCGCTAGCTTTCGTCATCCACCCCCGGCCTCAAGTTGGATATAGGCTGTAGGCTATAGCTATGCATTCAGATGAGCTCAGATAGAAATATCTCAATGACTTATTCTTTTAGGCAGACAGATAGATAAATATAGATAGAGATAGAGATAGAGATAGAGATAGATACAGTAGATAGATAGATAGATAGATAGATTGATAGATAGATAGATAGATAAATAGATAGATAGATAAATAGATAGATAGATAGATAGAGATAGGTAGAGATAAATAGAGATAGATAAAGATAGATAGAGATAGATAGAGATAGATACAGATAGATACAGATAGATACAGATAGATAGATAGATAGATAGATAGATAGATAGATAGATAGATAGATAGATAGATAGATAGATAGATGCATATATATATATTCATTTGATTCATCTGGCATATTCTCAATGGCAAACTAAATTCAGTATCCAAACATAGGTGACCTGAAGCTGAAACAACCCCGCAGACCGCTGGCAGCGGTTTCAATTTCATGCCGAGCCCTGCATTCGAGTCAGAACCTCCCAACAAAAAAATCGCAACCAGTCAACCAGAAATAATCGCCTCAAGATCCAAGATTTGCTAAGTTGAAACATCTTGAAACTATACCCCAAATGGATGTTCAAAGGGTTTGCCCCACACCTTGAAGCCATCAGGAGATGCTCCTGCACTCGACCGAGCTCTGACAGAAAGAAACAGACTGTTGATGCAGGGACCGAAAGAATTCTTGTAATGTGGTAACCCCAATCATAGGGATTCCCAATAGAGATGTATGATCTTTTATTATTGGATATATCATGATATACCCCTATGTGGGATGGTTTATCATTTGGTTTACCACATTATAATTATATAGTTTCTTCAACCCCGGCCCCGTTATTACATAACAAACTTAACGTAGCTTAACTCTTGAAAAGCTCCCTACCTCCCATCAGACGCATCCGCGACAACCAGGCACCAAAGGAGCAAGATGGAAAGGAACGCGCGACGCCGGAGTGCCGAGGGTCGAGCTTGCAGGGGATGTGTCATGGAAAACATGGAAAACCCACCCCAAATCCAGTGGTTTATCATTAAGAAACATCACAATTTTGAGTGAACCAAAGTTTCAGACACAAATTGGGCTCATCTGATGATTTGTGAAACTGGTAGCCCCAAAATCCGACGGATTATCATCATATACCCAATTCATCAGGGAAACCAATTTGGGGCATACAGTGTACCATGATGGCGATTTGACCCTGAAAGATCTTAAAAGCCAGGGGGAAAATGAATGGCATTGTGGGCTCGAAGTGAAAGCATAGGTTATTTGCGACTGCTTTGGCATTCTGAGGAAGGAAGTGATTGACGCACAAGCTCTTCAAGAGACAGCGGTCGGGCGCTCGTGAGCTGCATATACTCTTAAGAGAACAAGAGTTGGCTCGGTTCTCCAGCTGTGACACTGTTCATGATATCATGAGTCACCCCAACTTGCAGAACCCTAAAGTCCATGAGTTGATTTGTGTAAAGGAATGCTCAGGGAATTCCAATGAGGGAAACCATAGCTTCACCATCCGCACAGGCGCGAACCGTTCGTGGAGCCCAACAGCTCTTCGGAAACCTCACTGGCTGGGTGCGAGAGGTGCTGGAGTCTGCGGAACTCCGAATTTTGGGTGGATGAAAAACTATGTTCATTTAGTATATTTAGTGTACTTTCCCTGGCAATTTGAACCCTGAGACACTCGTTACGTCGTAGGAAGTGGGTGAAAACTCGAGGATCTTCAGGCATCTTCATATTTGTGACGAAGCCTCCATCTCCAGGCCTCCGAGAAAGCTCAGTCTGCGGTGGCCGACTCGCTGGCTGGCCTGGGAGAAGATGGAGTAGGCCCATGGCCAGCTGGCCAGCTGGCCATGGCCATCCAGGGCCCCATCTCTTTCATTTCTTTGGTGAAAATGGCGAAAGAAGTTGGAGACATACGTTTGATTGAGGTTTGCTCAGCTGATCTCAGCTGGGTTTTGCATCTCTCGCCGTTGCGGAAGATGCTGCGACAGGACCCCTGGCAGCTGTACGACGACGAACTGAAAAAAATCAGGAGGCACGTGTCTGGCTTCGGGTACTTCCTGGGGTTCTGGGGTTTCACCCCCCAAAAAGGAACAATGGGATGGGTCAATACCTACGATTTATTTTTTTTGGGGATGAACATGATGAACCTCCATTTAGGTGTTTCCTAAGTCTTAGGGGATCCCCGCCTTACCACAGGTTTCAATACCAAGTCATGTTGGATTTGGGCTACCCCTATTCTTGCGAGGCTGGCAACTCATTGGCTTCCAAACGAGACTTGGCGTCCTGGAAGAGGAGCTGATGTGAACCTGTTGGAAACAGATTGGAGGATTTATTGTGTACTATTATATATATATACTTACACACACATATATATTATAAATACAAAATATAATAGAATGATGTAAGTCACTGATAGTCATTGACATTGACAAGGTGGATGGGTTGGATTCATATGATAAACAAAGTGATTCTAAGGTAGTATGTGCATCCGGGAGGCATAGACCTTTCAGCTGTGGCCATATTATGCCGGCAGTATTCTTCATGTATGCATGTTATTTATACATAAATGGCACTAGCAAACTGTCCAACTATCAGGAAGGGAAGCCTCTCGGAATGACGCGGCGCAATACTTTGTCTCTTGGCGTCCTTCAGAAGATCAGCCACATCCGGCTGTGGCTGGATCTTTTTTTTTCTCACAGTGCACATCGATAAAGTCTTGGTCTTGGTGGAGCTCCTGCGGCCCCTGCTGGGCAGGTGGAGTACAAGGGCCTTGATCCAGCCCTGGTGGCCGAGTTGCAAGGGCCTAGCGGTGGCCGTACCTGAGGTGGGGATCAGCTGGGTTGATCGTGTTTGTCCTTAATCCATCCAACCTGGGAAACAGATGGAAATATATAGAATTATATAGATATTTGGTAAATGCCCCATCGTTTGTAGGTAGTTATGACCTTTATAGACTATACACTTCTCATTTTTGGTATGTCACCGCAAAAAAAATCGGATTGTTCACGGCCTTGTGATGTTTATCCATTGCCATGTTGGATTCGCTATGAGGGCTGAACTTCCTAGCCCTTCCTAAACAGAGGAGGTGTTGGGAAACATGACTAGATGAAAGTTCTGACAGGCAAAACCATGTAAGAACAAGAGAGGTTTAGGGTTTTAACAGCTACCACTGGTACCACCCCCCTTTCCCAGGGAATCAGGGAGAAATCAATCTGCATTTGAGAGTGAGGCATAGGACTCCCACATGTAGCCCATGATTGCAGCGTTTGATCAGCAAGTGGGGCGGCGCGGGGGCCATGACTTCCAAAGAACAGCGAAAGCAATGGGAAGCGGAGCAGAAACTGCTGGCATCTCTGGCAGTGCTGGAAGATGATCTGGATTGGTCGTGTCCCTGAGCCTCAAGGGACGCAAAGCTGTGCGGGAGGGTGCCTGAGGGGTTGCTGATGAGTACATCATGGACATAGACAGTTGATGATGACGTGATCATCTAGGAATGCACTCTGGGACCGCCAGAGCTGGCAGAAATGTTATGGATGATGCGCTCTCTAGCATAAGAAATTGATCAGCATACCTCGAATCTGCCAGCAAACTCCTCAGCCAAACAACCAGGAACCCACATTAGCACTGCCGTGTTCAAAGTGGTTTACAGGGATTTACAGGGTTGATTATGACACACGCACACACACAGATATTATATATATACACATAATACATATAAATAAATAAATTAATATATCTAATATATCTATACTGTATTATAATCAAATATGGGAAGCCATATCATTCCGACAAGTGGGTTTGGGGAACCTGGATCCCAGGTGAAACGCCAGACTTTCCAGGGCTCCAACGCGTTTGTGGCGTGGATGTGTCCTTCTTTTCCGATCGCACCTATGCCATTGCCACGGTGGTGATCTTGAGTTTCCCCAAGTGCCTCGTTTGCTCAGACAGATCACTGCTAACTGTGGCTTGTACCATTGGCAGAGCACCAAACGTGTGCAAAGCAGTCCAAGCAAAGCTTAAGAGCTGAAGAAAAGTACTTGTCAATCGGTGGCCCAGTCTCCATGCTATATCTCAACACATCTCTTAAGGCTGGATGTCCTGTGGGAACGCAGCGCGGCCTTCCGCCTCAGTGTGCCCTATGTGCCCGGTTTCTTAGCCTTCCGGGAGGCGACGCGGAACTCCACCTCGGGGGGAGGTTTGGTGGTTGCTGCAGGGGGATGTTGGGTGAAAAATTCCACCGCAGATGGATCGGTGATTGCTCTTAAATATCTTCAACCCTCCAATTCGAACGTTTGACAAACCCAAGTGGACTTGGGTCAGTCATGACGCTCCGCAGTTTTTTTGGATGTCCCCTTCATTTCAAATTGGCACATGGGAATATCCCAAAGTTGGGGACCGGCCTCGACCCCCTGCAAGGTGCCTGCCCTTTCGCAGCTGATGAGTTCAGTGCCCAAAAGGCTGAAGCCTCAGGTGGTGCTTGTGGATGGGAGCCACGGATGCATCCCAGAGCCTGTGGAAAGATCCTGGTGGTTGGGAAGATGCAAGCCACTCCAGATGTTGAAGGAAGAAACTATGCAATCAATGCACCATATATCATATAGATATTGATACAGATGACACATCTACAGCAATTGCATTTAAAATTTAATGATGATATACTTAGATTCAGATAAATGATTATTATAGATATATGATGTATGTACATGGCATGTGCAGCGGCGCCGGGTCTTAGGAATGGCGCCTTGCATCCACGTGGCTGCGGCGCGGCCACACATTTGGGCATCACCGTGGACTTGCCAGCCATCGGAGTGGCTAAGGATGTCTTGCAGGTGGAATCCAGGTGTTTTCTTGGGGATATCCTATAAAAAAAATGATGGTGAACATGTGGGCAATTTATAACCTATACCCAACAGTAAATGGATCAATCCTATATCCAACATCAGGATAATTGGGTAAAACCTATATCGAGTTGTACATTTTTTCCGATCTATAACTGATTTATGGGTATGATTAACTCCAATTATCCACACTTGTGCAAATTGAACTGAAGAAATATCACCATGTTTATCCCCCATACCGCATTGGCAAATAATTAGGAATTGAATATTTACGTGATTGGCAAATGTTCAAGTATCTGGATCGAGTTGGCACACCAATAGACCTACAAACTTGGTCTTGATCCCTGTGTCACCGGAATCTGTTTGCCTCGCAACGCGGATGCAACGCGGTGGCATGGCACACAGGCACGAATATACGCAGTGGTATAGTGACGCGGACTGGCATTCCGAATGTTTAAAGGGAACTGTGCAGGACGGATGTTGACGGGAGCTGTACAGCCGTTTTCAGCGATTTACAGATTGACCACACGTCGCATGTATGTGTTCACGTTTTCAAAGCAAGAAGGCCTGCTATTTTTTCATGACATTTGGGACCCTGCCCCATGAGTGAACATTGCGTTTGGTGGTTGGTAGCTGCATCTTCAGCCATCATCAAAGGAATATCATATCGTATCATAATTATCATATATCATATATCATATATCACATCGTATCATACCCCCCTCCCATTTGAAAGGTCTTTTCGAACATTCAGCATGTATCGATCCCAGATCTCAGCCAGGTGGGCGATGTGAATTCCTCCAGCGCCGCGCGCATCGCAGCCACCCTGCAGCCGGGCGCCTGGTTGCCGCTGTGTCCGGTGGCGGGGCTCTTCAAGCCGAAGGGCGGTGGAAAGCCGCTGGTGGTCAGCCCAGGCGCCTCGGCCATGGCATGCCATGGCCATGGATAGTTTTGGTCGACCCATTTGATGGGCTGAACTTCATCCTTAATTTTTGAGTGCAATCGGACGCCTTGCAAAGGACGGTGATTTGGAGATGTAAAGATTTGAGATATTACGGACTCATCTGATCCCATGTGTTTGATGGCAGGGGTTGCTGTTCCGCTACTTGAGCAAAGGCTACCACAGAACCGGCAGATTGTCACACATGACCAAGCCCTACTGTTGATGCACAGCCATTGCTGCAATTGGCTGGCATGCTGCCCTCTGATAACAGCAAGGCTCATCAAAACATCCATGCTTGAAATCTTGTTATCTATGTCAATTCCTCTGACTGCAAGCCACTACGCACATCACCCAAATCCCAAAAAAAATCCAAAACTGTTGATGAGTTGATGCCACCTACCATCTAGTTCCACCCCCAAGTCCCAAGTACTCCAAAATCAACCCATATCACCCAAATAATCCAATGACCAAAAAATATCAACATACACATACATAGCGTAACAAGCACATGCAGGTGTGTCAGAAAATGGGGTATACCCATGCAACCTGTTTACCCCCCCCCCCAGTGGCCCATTCAACCAGTGGAATACCAGTGGATTTAGCGGCTGAGTTGAGGCCATCGAATCAGCCTCTCCACGGCCATGCGCCTAATCGTGGCCATTTGCAGCAGCGCCTCGCCCGAGCCCATTCGCCAGGTGCGCGGTTAGGGTGGCATGTGCTATGCATCCTGAGTACTTTCTGAAGGAGCCCTTGAGGGTATCATTTGGGATCAGTGTTGTTTTTCCAAAGATTATCATCCATCTTAGGTACTCTTATTGAAAAAGATATCAAGGGACGTTCCATCTAACACCTTCTCTGGAAGTATTGGCTCCATAGAATCAAGATAAAACCCGCTGGCAGTCACTCCGAAAATCAGTATCTCCGAAAATTCCGAAAAAGGAGAATCAGCGGCACTAAGGATTCATCATTGCTAAATTAGATAAATCTGAAAGGCTAAATGCCTCAATATTCCTAGCTTCAACCCACCTTTTTTTAGCCAGGCGGATCTGCGAAGCCGCCGGGCGGTCAAAGCCTGGCACGCAGGGCACCAGGTGGGGAGTAGCCGAGTAGCCATTGAGGTCAGCTGGGTCTATCTGATAACAGAACTCACCCTCCAATGATCATTACATCATTGGATTGATGGGAAAATCCTACCGGACAAGCCTCTATATTTGGTGGGAAAAACTGTGGTTTCCTGTAGATTGTAGATTTGCCCTTGAACCAATCTGATTAAATCATGGGGAAGATCCTGGCCCACTGGCCCACTGGATTGGGGACCTGGGCCGGCCACGGCCTGAGATCCGCAGGTGGAGTATTTGTCGAATCCCCGGCTGCGACATCTGGAGCGCATGCAGGAGCTCACTGACGGAGCTTCAGCTGAGCAGCACCTTGGTGCGAGGGATCCAAGCCCAACTTGGGATAGAAAAAGGTTTGGTTAAACCATGGGAAGAACATGGAACCATCATAGAACATTCAAGCATTTTTTTGATAGAACACGGGTTTGGTTTTGGTTTCCCCTGTGGCCATGGGGCCCCGGTGCCGGGAAGCCATGGCCGCCGAGGTGCCCGAAGCGGGGCCGTTGGCAAGTGAAGGCAGCTCCGAAGCTGGAAGCGCCCCCAGTGGAGGAATCCTTAGAGGATCAAGAGGAAGGGAGCTGGCCGGGTCTCTTTGATTCATTGTTGGTGGTGGTAATGATGATGATGAAGGTGATGATGATCCCAGAGTTTTGATGAGATTCCTGCTGTGGTGGAGTTGCCAGCCACCTGAGACCAGCATCATTGCCTGGGAAAAGGGGGCCTTTTGCTCGAAAATGATGCTTAACATTTGTTTCATTCTGTTTCAGAAGAAGCAAGCCCCAAACCTTCAGTGAGCTCAATGAATCTCATTCACTGAAAAAATATATGATTTAATATAGACATCTCTTTATTTTTGGAGGGTGGGGCAGTGACACAACTGCCGCCCCAAGCCTTTTGGCCGGACAAAGCTGTAGTATCGATTCCTCTAAGGTATCTGGAAGTAGCTGACATGCAGATCCAGCATCCCCACTCATCTCGCTAAGTCGTGCTGGTCACCCTGCCAGTCACTGTCAATCCAAGGTTTCCTCTTTGGCCCACTCTTTGGCTGGATGTGTGCCTGCATGAGCCGCGGATCAAAGGCGCCACTGGCAGGTTGATAACTATGTTGAACTCTGGATTTACTCAGGTGAGTCAAGAGTAGACACGCGAGTTTCTCATATTGGACCATATGACGGACTTGGGTAAGAGGGCATCCACGGAACAGCTCCAGTTTGTGCCTCCGGCATTTTCATGCATTTTCATTCTTGGACTTAGTTCGATACGGCAGGCCGGCAGACCAAGTCAGGTCAGGCAACATCATCTTTGTAGTCCTGTGATGTCCTGTGTGCTTCAAACATTGTGGTCGTACCCCAGTTTTCATTCATTTTTTTTGCATGCTTCTTGATTCCATCATGCTATACTATACCAGTGGTTGGCTTTGACTATGCTGCAGAATGAGAGGCTTGACACAGCATCGAGCATTGAGGGCTGCAGGTGCTTTATGGCCCACGTCTTGACTCCCACCACCTATTTTATTTGCCTCGCCGTGCTGTTCACAGGTTTCTTTACTGTAGGTGTACCATGTCAGACCGCACCCCGCCCAATAGGGATGGGGGTGTGTACAGCTGGTCTGTTGTGCGTCAAAGGTGGAAGGCTCATGTGTAGACCGAAATTTGATTGAGAAACACGGATCCTGCTGTAGCAACATGGCCACATGGCTCGAAGAAGCGAACTGATTCCTTTATCTCTTTCCGCAACTTCTGGTGCAATCAAGACGGTTTACCCACAGCCACTCTCCCCAACTTTGGGCTCCAACGTCAACCATAGACTGTCCTTCCAGGACACCTAGCTGTACAGTCGAGTGATGCTGAAAAGGATGTGATGCCCAGATCTGGGAAAGCTGGGAAAGCTCCAATGATTCTCTGAACGATTCTCCTTTTGAACGTCTCAGTGTTCCATCAGGAAACCAGTTAATTAAGGAGCACACATATGCAAACGTATTGTGCAGATTATATATATTCTTTTGACATGACATTTATTTTTTACATACATATGAATATGCCATATATAACATAGCCATACAGCCCTTAAGTTCGCCCTTGATGGATCTGGAATCCATTGAATCGCCCCATTGGAAAGTCCAATGTGAGTGGTTTTTCATGGTGGAGCTGAGCCCAACAGACCTTCCAACATCTTTCAACAGAGCATGATTAGGACCCACAACTGACGTTGGATCCTGCGGTTGGGCTCAGAGACCCAATCTGCAACCAAGCTCAAGCTGTCGCAAACATCGGCGGACGCGATGACGTTCCAAGCGAAGCCTGTCTTGACCTTCGGCGACGCCGAAATCTTTGTGGTGAACACGTTCCTGCAAGTTGGTGACTTGGATATTCTTGGATTGAGATCGGCCCATATCGCAAGCCCCCTGTTTCATGGGATCGACTGGTTGGATTTCACGGTTGCGCTGGCTAACCATACATGGTCCCAAATATGTGATTTCATCCCCCACTAAACCTTGGATTAAACAACACCTGGCCTTCTTGTTCTTTGAGAAACATATCGACGGCAATAGTTTGTTCCTCGTGACAGAGATCTCATATGTCGGGACAGCCATGGCTCAGCGAAAGTGAATGAAAACGGCCGGTGCTTTACCCAGCATCCATTCGCGTTGAGCGTTGCAGTTTGCAGGGTCCCAGTTTCTCAGAATTCGATACCGTACCACAAAGGAAGGAACCCCAACTCATCACTGATTTCTGGGGCCTAGGACCACGGCTGTCCATCGATGTCCACAGCAGCTTTTCTGAGCCTGTGAAGATCTCGAACGCAGCGCACGAGGAGCGCGGCCAAAGCCAATCCCAGCTTCGGCAGGGATTGTTCGGACAAAATGGAGGCTCTCATCTTTCAATATTTTGCAAGCTGCATGTTCAATCTTTTCACACCCTGGAAAATCCCATCCCCCTAACATCACACATCCCCTGAATGGTCCCAATTATGTGGAAGTTCCATGAAGTTCCCTGCTAAACCATTGTTTCTAGGGGGTCAATATCAGGAGGCAGGGGTTCATAACCTTTAATGACATGTCCGTATTAATGACCTTTACCCTATACCGAAGATGTGTGCATTCTACCCTATCTACCTCCAGCCGGAGGACGTGCCGAGCGAGATTTTCGAGGAGGATTTCCCCGTGATGCCCTGGCGGACGTATGACTCCTATGAAGAGAACTGTGATGAAGATTTCTTGGAACCTATGATGAACAAGGCCGGCTTGGCTGGTGGTGAAACATGCTTCAACACAGCGTTTTCTGAGGATTCCCATCTTCCCCAGAGGGATGATGGTGAATGATGCTGTGGTGAGTGTGTTCCCCGGTGAGCCATCACAAAGGATGTCCAGACTCAACTTCTGCTATGATGTTTTCATTTATTTACATGATGTATATAGTATATACGCCACGTTTCACCTTGCCAAGTTTTGTTTGCCAGATGTCGCTTCATTGTTTCCATTTCCATCATTCTCCATTCCAAGGCGTTTCATCAGGATAGAGTACCTTTCACGGAATTGGATGAATTGAAATTTTGCAGAAACCCCGTTTAGTTGAACAAACATGCTTTCCCGCAGATGCTTCTTCAAACCAGCCCAAGTTGCTTCTTCAGACATCTCATATTTCAAGCAAGTCTCATAAAGATACACTAAGTAAAATCCTACTACACTACTGATACATCATGGATTAAGATAAAGATATTTATATGATGTAATGTAGTAACTTTGAATAATTATACCGTAATACTCTCCTACTACACCAACTCGAAAATCCAATCTCTATAGGTACTGGATCCCAGCTGCTCTCCCATGCCGTTTCCGTTAGGTGTCCACCTTGGAGTACTTCGAGAAGGTACAAGCCTTCGAACGGGGAGAAATGGAGAAGGTGGCTACCTTTGAACCTCTGGGTGAAAGATGTGAAAGATGTGAAAGATGGAGGCCACCCCAAAAAAATCAGGATTGTTTAAAATGGACAATGACATGTTTCAATGTTTTTTCAAGGGTAGTTTAGCATGTTTAGCTCTTTCCATGAACAAGACTTGGGACCAGAACAGGCCCAGAGGTGGCAGGGTGACTTCATATTTTGGGTCCAGCATGACTTTCCTGGCATAATGAGCATGTTAAATATGATATGTCATGATATTATATAATACAGTATCCATTAGATTTCCATTAGTGAAAGAGAAAAGTAGAACGACCTCACACCCACTATCATCCTGAACATGCCTCATTTCAGGTTTGCGTTTGATACCATAGCCATTGCCCAGGTTCAGATAAAAATCGGAGCGTTCGGGCTGCGAATAGCCGCCCAACGACCCAAGAGACCGATAGAGACCGTGCGCGATACACACACACACACAGACACACACACACACACACCCCTTATGTACATAATTATACATATACATACGACACACACGCACACACACACACATATATATATATATATATATATATTATGTACATAGTTATACATATACATACGAAAGAGAGAGAGAGAGAGGACTATGTAATTAGACATGTTCCACTTCCACTGGTTAGCTTCAAAAGACAAAAAGCAAGAGTGTCGCCTCCAAACACCAAGGACTGGTATGAGGATGCTCCATTGACACCATGTCCTGTAGCTCCATATGGCCCACCCATGGACAAGGTTTCTACCTTTGATTGGCTTGAGGATTCCCCCCTACCCCAGCGACCTGTGATCATGAAACCTGTGGAACCTGGAGTGTGTCCGCCAGTGGGTGGCTTGTGCGACGCTCAAAAGTCGGAGGCAGGGCGGCTTCAGGAGATGATTAACAGCCAGGTATAACGTTGTTATAAGGGTTTGTCTGAAAATAGTGTACCCCTACACCCAATGGTTAATGATCATTATCCCTACTAAATGGTTATTTTTTTGGGGGTATACCCCATTTTCAGACATACCCATAAGATCCTTTAAACATCCCTTGAACATGCTTATTGTAGCCGCGATCTGGTCATCGAACCTGGCCTTCCGGAAATCCCCGGAGGAGATCTCCACGGCTGGCACCGCCACATCGGCCACATCGGGCGGCCCGGGAGAGACCGTAGAGGTGCCTTTGGTGGCGACCAGCAAAGGCAGGACCAACCAACTGCTGGGTGCTTTCCAATGAGGGGATCGCCAAGATTTATGATGGAAAATCCTGGTGAATTGGATGATTTGGGGGCATCCCTAGTTTAGGAAACCATATTGATTAGAGATGATTAGGAGGTTTCACCAGGAAAATGGATGTGTCACCAGAAATGATTCGATTATATCGGGGTTCAACCATCTGGAAAATAGCCAATATGGAGGGCTTCACCGACCGGAATTTGTATGAAACTCGAGTAGAATGGGAATTCAATGGGGTACCGATATCATGAATAATCATGAATAATCATGAATAATCATGAATAATCATGAATAATCATGAATAATCATGAATAATTGAATAATCATGAATAATCATGAATATATAGCCAGCACTATGAGGATTTCGTGCGATGGAGGAAACCCTAAAATTGGTTTCCCCAGAAACTTCCCCATTCAAAATGACCAATTGCAATCCATATATTACTTGACATACTCAACAGCCACCTAGCCCTGTGGGCAGCTCTAAGTTTCTACCCCAAGACAAGCCAAGACCAAAGAGTTCTGACCATCACCGCTAGGTGGAAAGGAGCTGATTCGATGGAGAGTGGATGGCCGAAAACTCGAAACCCAGGAGAAACAAATTCTTTCCCCGGAATTTGAATTGTGCCTCGGTGAGATTTTTTGGCAGGGATGGAACGTTGGTGTATGGTTCGGGGTCCTCTGGGGGGTCTATGTTTTAATATCTTTCATATAGGCTACATGGATCTACATAGGGGGAAGGCGGATGACAAGTGTCACAAGATGACAGACGTTCCCATATATTTTGATGTGGATGATGATAATTCTGGAGATCCCACAAAGGAACAGAGAGCGTGCAAAATCCATGATCATGCTAATGAAAGCACCAGAGGACAGGACAGATGGCAGATATGACATCTCTGTGCTTCCACACTGAATAACCCAACCGGGATGAATCACGACCATGCGAAACCCTTGATTGGTTCTGTTGCTCGCTGCTTCTTGGCAGTTGTTATTCCCTGCTTCATCCCGTATCAAAACAGGGTTCTGCAAACCATCATCGCAGGTGAAGCTCAATGAAGTAGAGGGGATCATTCCAAACATGGCTTGGCTTATATCTGTTGCAGCTTTGGGATGGAACGCGCCACCCATCACCCAGAGATTTTTTTTTTATACTACACTTTACCCAGATGATCCCAAATGTTTTTGTATGGTGTTGCTACACCTGGGGACACCTTTCCCGCCTAAGGAAACTTCCAGGTCTCGGCGCGTCGGCATTTCGTTTGATGATCTTGGCCAAGGAGACGCGCGGCAAGGGCGGCCGGGGCTTCTTGAAGGCCAAGGGCTGTGGCCGGCACCTTGGAAGAGGATGGGTTGGTGAAGGTGGATGGGAGGCCAAAATGGGATATTTTTTTTGAGATATAATATTAATCATTAATCCCTATAGATCCCTATAAATATATAATCATATATAATTATAATCCTTGTGGGATCTATGTTATGTCCCAAAGGATCTATTTGGACATATGTGTATATATATATATAATCCAAAAAATATTGGAATGGGATGCCAATCATTCCAATGACCCCATTAACTAGAATCAGGGTATGTTTTAAGAGTATACTACTGGAGCACCCAAGCTCCAGCCGATAATTGGCAGGGGGATGTGATATGTAAGGATATACCTGCACCTATCAAGTGCAGTTCCGGTAGTATCCGGTAGTCATTTCATAAACCAAACGTTTTGGGCGAACCTGCAGAATTTACAAACAGCATATACCTTCTGAATCACCGATGACATGTTATACCCAAACGGTTTCGACAAGAAACGAATCGATAGTTGAAGCGATGTATAACACAGTGGTTCCCCAGGATTCATCCTATTGCCCAGGATTCCCCACAGCCGAGGTTGTTCATCAAATGTGCGGACTCATCGTTGCCGGAAGGAGTGGCGCCCATGGCATTTCGAGTTACAGTGGGTCCTGGCAGGGAAACTTGCCGGCAAGACATGAAACACTGGAAAAAAGGGTAGCACTGTATATCCTGGCGGATCAAAAGCTGTGTTGATGATGGGTCACTCAGGAAAGGCTTCACTGACATGGATTCTGGAGATGATTTTGGAAAGTATGGTTACTGTTACAGTATATGACAGTATATGGTTATTGTTCTCTTCAACTCTTGGAATATCCAATTGCCTTTACTCCTGCAACAGTGTTTCCGGAAAGACTCTTCCGCGTGCCACTTAGGAGCGAGATCTACCATCACATCAGTTTTCTCAGCACTCTTGCTGCCCCCTCCAGGAAAACAAGGGGAGTTGGGATCTCCTTTCAATGCTCGATGCAACCAAGCGCTTAGAAGTGTCAGTTCAGGTCCTTTGAGATGCCGCATGGGGCGACAGTAATTCGAAGGTGCCAAGAGCAAAGTGACGGCACCCGTTCTCAATGATGGACAGCGGAAGTGTATAGTACTAGTATAGTCCCATCAGAAGTTTGCATGGTTATTACATAAGTTATGTACAGTTCGATCACGCCACCAGGACCCTGGCTGTACAGTGCACGGGTTTCAGGTTCGGATTTCCATGGTCAGATAATGGAGCTGGTGGAGCACCTTCAACGATATTTCTTGACAGGATGGTTTTGATATGTTTTGATGATTCACAGATTGTTTATCATCATTGTTGTATATTGTTGTCATCATATGTCATCATTAGATATCATTACCATAATTATATTTTCTTTATGCAATGTCAATATACGTGACAGCATGTGACAGCGTTGCCAGCTTTTCTCACAATCCTCAGGTTTAGGACTTTAGGACGAACAGGCCATCAAAGCCAGTAAACAAAGCATGGCCGTCAGAGTGTTTTGCATGCAGCTGATGAAGCCGAGGAATGGACTGCGTAGCAAGTTCATGGATGTTCACGGATGGTGGAAAGCTAGATGAATGATTGTTGGTAGGTCCCCGATGGTCCCCGCAACAAGCTATGACTTGGCTAGTGGCTGGTGATTTTCAAGGTTTTACCTTTCCATGGGACTACATGAACCATGCCTGCATGACAGGTTCACGGATCTGAGGCTGTGAAAGAAGCAGCCGCATGGTCGCAGACAGGTGGCCTTCTGGAAAAGTTTGGGATCCGCGGGTCTTGTTGGTGAGAGCAATGATAGCTCCAGTGCTGGGAGATGTGATTTCGCAGGGTCATCAGCACAAGTTAGGGTCATAGTGTATGACTTGCAATGATGGAACATCAGCAAAAAAGGGTCAAAAGGCATTTCACCTCAGTACTTTCTTGGGGTCTTGGGTAGGTTCTTAGGTCTTTGGTCCATCAGCATCTCGAGCAGGTGGCCATACCGCCATACTCGTCGGATCTCACCTTTGGTGGCAATCCCTTTTAAGCATCAAAGATGACCAAAACATCCAGGTACGCAGACCATTTGAGGCAGACCAATTGAGTCGCAAGAAGATCTGTGGCAAAGGCTAAGCCGGCAAAGCGGCTAGGAACTTGCTGGACCTTTCTGGACCGTTGCTGTGGGGTCATCAGCTGATTAGCTTCGGTTGACCGAATTAAGCACGCCATGGAAATCGCCAAGTGCCTCAGTGTGTCTCGGAGCAGATTCCAGGGCGCTGAAAGGGAGGGTGTCAGACTGATGAGAGAAGATAGAGAAGTGCCATCAAGAATCGCTTTTAACCTTTGGGAAACCAAGCACTTTACGCGATCAGTCTAGGACTGCACTAAATCCCCTCTGACTTGTGAAGATAGAAACGCTATGCGGATGGTGCGAACAGTACTTTGCATTAGGTGCTGCGGCCTTGGCAAGTGCAACAGGCTGGGGAGATGGGCCACTGCAAGGGGATTGCCAAATTGATGGCTACTGACCACTTGACACCTGACGTTTATGATCCGAATGGCCTGGGTGATGAGAATTTGCGACAGCCATAGATTGACTGTGTCCATCCGGGTGACAGCCGGCCTAGTCACCTAGTCGTGGTGCAGAAGATCTAAAGTGATTCACCTCTTCTCTGTGCCTCGACAGTCCTAAACTCCAGCGTTTCCATGGGTCTGATCTCGGCTACACGTGTCCATCATCGTCCATCTTCCATTTATTTTAACATATATATATATATTATTATTATAGATTTCATATGATTTCATAGATTTTATAGTGTTCCTTTCGGGCTGGTACTTCGTGACCGATCCTCACCAAACCAGCACATGGCCGTCCAGGAGCTTCACCAACATGTTGCACGTCTCAAAGAGCCTGCCCTGTTGACCAAAATTCTGCAGCAACTTCAATCTGATCTGCCCTTGGTGTAGCTTGGTGTTGAGCCTCTTGAGCTGCCTCGGAGAGACTTAAATTCTTGGGCGGTGGGGCATAGCAAGTGGCAAATTGATACGGAATCAAGTGTACCATGTTTTACCATTGGCATAGAAGCATATAACAGCCCTCGCCCTCAAGAGAATCTATAGCGTTGCTCCCAACCATCCAATAGAGAACATCCTGGTGTGGCATAGCCTCCGCAGCCAGGTTGGCAGTGCTCGCTTCATGGCTAAACTTGGTGAGTGGCGGGGTCGAGTGGTCCTTTCGGGTGAACTTTGATGGAGTTTCCCTTAGTTTGCTCATGATTTGATACCCACTGGTAATTTAACATAGCTATTGAAAATGGTCATTTATAGTGGATTTACCCATTGAAAATGGTGATTTTCCATAATGCCAAGTCAGGATTAATCAACCCCCCCCCCCCAGAAGGTCGGAACTCTATCTTGTAGGTCATTTTCTTAAACACCCCATAATAATAAGCAACTCTGAACCATAAAACTTTGGATATGGCTTACGTCAATTAGATCTTAATAGAATTCCATTGGATTTGTTAAAATTTCATGGATCAGAAAGGTGGTTGATTAATTAGGGGCAAACCATGGTTATTATTACTGGGGGACATGGGCTCATGGGGGGTACCCTTTGGGAGCTATCCAAACTGATGTTTTTAATAAATATTTTAATTAGAAATCGATCATTTGGGGAATAGTTGTTTTTTGAAATTTTCAATGATCAACTTAAACCTGAAGTATAACAATGATGATTAAAAAAAGGTAAAAAACAATTGGAAATAAATAGAATTGGAAATAAAAAATGTTGGATAAAAAAATGGATTTCCGAAGTGGTGGTTGATTAATCGGGGGTAGGCCCACCGGTTTATTAATCTGTGGGGACCACCTGTTTTTAAATTGCTTTTTTTTTTTTGGGAGGAGGAGGTTGATTAATAACGGGCTGTTGATTAATCCTGACTTAACATTAGTTATGTTAGTTTACCAGAGGGTAGCCATGTTATGCCATAACTTGTGGGATGTTTTTTCCTTAAATGCCGAGCTAAGAATTGACTTTTGAGCGAGTATTTGAGATTATGCATGGAGATGCATGGAGATTCAACTCAAAGAATCCTCGCAGCAACGCCACCTTAAAATGATGATCCTAGGTGACCTTAATCGGTTTGAAATTACCAGCATTTCCGGTTTGAAAGGGGTTTGGTGAAATTGTGAAATCCTATCCTTATATCCTTATCCCATCCCTGCCCTCCGTGACTAAAGATCTTACTTCCCAAAGGCTTCGTCAGCAAAGTACTGGTATCATAAAGAACCCCCTGAAGAACCTATTTGTGCATGGCGGTAAAATCATGTTACGTGACCAGCAAATTCTGCAGGTCGATAGGGGCCCTCAAAAAAGAGGGGGTCATTCTCTTGCTTCATGTTTCTTCTCTAAGGAAGAGCTTCAGGCCCTGACAGTGCAGCCCAACCAGTTGCTTGAACAAATGGCTTCGGGGTGCCGTTTTATCTGTTTTTCCCTGCCTGGAAAGGCAACATCCAGCTTGATTTGAAGTTTTTTAATGCGCACTGCTTTATTATAATCTCATAAAACCGCATTGTTACACCAGATGATGTGATTTTTGCAATGATTACCCCAAACAAAAAGAAGATGGGCATCGCTTGAAATTAACGTTCGTGGGGTCAAAATGTTTCTGGCCATTCCAGGGCCACTACAAGCGCTCATGATCAGACAATTAGAGTGTTTGTAGGTTCGAAAATGGGTTCTGTTTGAAGCCACTGGGCACACAAGTGCAGATTCTTGTGGCATAAGCTGTCTTGGCCAGGTTTCACTACGGTGTTGCAGTCAGTGCATGTGCCAAGTTGGGAAAATGGCAACAAGCTGAACATGTGCTTTAGCCGCGTTCAGACCTGCATTTTGGCAGTTTACTTTGTTGAAATCCACGCCCCAACTTCAGGCCGTTTTAAAATTCAAACTGGTTGCTATACACTTAGCATGCAGTAAGTGCAAGTTCTATGATGCTTCGATCATTTAAGCGTCATCATTCTTCATCCCTGCTGAAGATAGTCCCATTTTGACTCAGAAATGCTCAGAAGTCGCTGGGTTGAAGCTGGAAACCAGCAACCTCCCAGGACCATCCAGGACCAAGGTCTTGAGCTTCTGAGGTGCTAGCGGTGATGGGAAGCATCTTGGATGACAGCTGGCCAGTTTTTTGACGTCAGCATGTCAGCTTCCCATGGATAGGAACTTCATATTGCGGCCTGGGTACAATCTGACTGGTGGTTACAGTATGTTACAGTTACAGGCGGTATTCATATGGTTTCATCATGTCCATCGCTAGTAATCATGTCTTTGGAACTTTGGGTATCTTTTTGATGGGATGGAACCACCGATCAGCAACCCGTTGCACCCCAAACATCCATTTTTGGCCCCATTGTTGCCATGCGAGGTGCGACTGTTCCACCCAACACGGTGCACCTGAATGGCTGCCTGGACGCTTGCAGCAAAGCTGATGCTTGGGAGGAAGCACTGGCACTCTTCGGCAGCTTGGAGGTGCAAGTGAGAAATTGGCGATGGTGGGTATGGATCAGAATTGATGACTCAGAAGGACAACAAGTTTGATGAGTTTTTGTTCATCCATCTTCATCATGAATCATCAAATCATCCAAGAGTGTGGTATCCAGTGGCGTGCTCCCAATTATGGGTGGATTCTTGAGCCATCATGGAGTTTCCAGCCTGACCTTTGGGGTTGGATGTCATGATATTTGGCGATTTACCTGTACGTTTTTTGATCTGGAGAACTTAAATTTGACACCCACACCTCTCATATCCTCTCATACTTCATGAGCATGATTGTCCAGGACCAGGACCGGTGAACGCTGCATTAGTTCACAGTGAATCAACTAAATCATGTTCCCAGATGTCCCCCCAAAACTGGAGACTCAAATCGGCCCAAGCCCATATGTTTTCGAGTGCTGGGATGATACCAGACTCTTCGCCCCACGGATCCCAAAGCTTCTCGCCAGGTGTATCCAGATTTAACCAGCTGGAACTCCTGCATAGCTGCATGTGATTGGAAGATTGGCACCCAACTTCTGGCAGATATGCAGGACAGATGATGGGCAGGATGGAAAATGGGGCACCCCCTCAAGGTTTGAAAAGGCTCTTGGAGGAAGGTCGCCGGAAAAAAGTGCGTAATTACTCAAATGATCCCGATTTCATGCGGGTATATTACAGCTGACTACTTGATGGATAACTTCAATCTGGCTAGTGGCTTCAAATATATCCCCCCCTGGTAAACCAACATGGCCATGAAAAATCGCCTATCTTAATATAGGTAAATCATGGTAAATCAACGAACTAAATGGGCCTTCGCTTCCTTGCATGACAGGAGCAGAAGGTCCAGGCCAACATCATCACCTTCAATAGCCTCATGCGGGCCTCGGCCAAGGTGTTTTTCCACGGACCTCAGCAGTGAGGGAGTTATCAAGGAATTGAATTTTAGATTGATACATATATTGATACGAATGTGTGGTGCGGCTAGGAAACGTCAACAACAATAAACAACACAAACACCAGGTACCAGTATGTGTAAATCTATGCCAAGTTACGCTGAACATATATTGGCATATCACACGTCATATATAGTATGCAGCCGCGCACCATTTCTTGATGGCACAGAGATGCACAAAGGATGCAGGGCACATGATTTTCATTGACCTTTGGTAGGCAAAAGGATGTCACCTACAAGGTGGTGCCCCATAGTTAGCTAAGTTGGTTTATAACTCCCATAACTATGGTTTATGGCAGATATAACTATAGTTAATGGGTGTTATAAACCAACTTATAACTAGGGGGCCCCACATTGTACACCTACACTCTTGGATAATATGCCGATCCCCTATCCTCCCTTTGTCACATAGTCCGAGCTTGTCGCTGCCATCGTTCCAACATCACCAAGCTGCTGGAAAAGATCATGGAGATGTCAAACGTGAGAAACCCATCGGAGACGTGCTCCAAAATCAATAACATTCTGCTTTTCTAATCTTTTCCATGTTTTTCGGGGAATTTGCGGGACACCTTCTGTTTCATAAAAAAATCTCTAAATTTCTTGGGACCCTTAGCCTCCCAGATTTCCCAGACTCTTTGAGCTTGCAGGCTGCACATTGGCAAGCAGCTTTAGCGTGCCTTTCAGCTGTCGTTTCTCAGGACCACACGGCCTGGAACCGGGATGTCCAGAATCTGACAAGGGCGGTATACGGTGGACTCTACGAAATTGTCAGATCGTTGATTCCTTTCATAGTGGAGTGGTACCATCTATTAACATCTATTAACCATCTATTAACCACTATTAACCATGAGTGGTTGCCTTTAATAGTGGTTAATAGTGGATAGCTACCGCAGCAAGGTGTCATAATATGTCATAATAGATTTTGTCATATCATCCGACTTCCCGGCACGGGCTTGCTTTCAAGGATCTGGAGCCGGATATCATCAGCTTCAACACCTGTATCAATGCGTGCGAGACACTTGGCCGATCAAAGTCTTGGGCTCCTAAAATGGATTGGGAGAGATCAAGATTTGGACAGATTTGGACACGGGCCCTGCAAGTCTGGTCGCCAAAATTTGTGTTTTGCCTGGTGGATATTTTCACTTTGATGATGGATTTATGGGTGAAAACTTGGACCTGGTGGTGGTCAGAGTGGAAATAGGAACGACCCCAGCGCAGCCAGGAAGAGTGATGTCTGGGAGACCGCTCTGCATCTCTTCGCACACCAGCAACAGCAGGGTGCTTCGGTCGCAACACTCTCACATCACATCATGGAAACGAAAGAATGTGGCGGTGGTATATCAAGAATTCTCTTATCAAGTGCAATGTCGTGTGTACTAATGTCAACCCTGGATTAATAAACCCCTAGATTGTTTAATTGGGGGGGTACCATTTAAGTATTGGATTGTGACTATTGGAGGAGTACCCCCCTAATTAATAAACTACCATGGTTTATTAATCCGGGGTTGACAACTTTATAATGGATTTAACAGTACGGTTTTCCATAACTGTTCGGACGCTCCTGTGGAGCCTGGCGCCCTGCAGCGAACAGTGACTGACCCGTCACCGTCACCGAAAGCTGAGGCTTTGTGAGTGCAACAACCGCAAGCTTCAACTCATGTATCGCGGCCTGTGGGAAAGGCGCAACATGCTGGTGCTTTGATGTGCTTTGTGAAGTCTGAGAGGTCCCACTGCTCGGAAATGGCATGAAGCCTGTAGAATCCTGTAGATACTTAGTTGACTATTTGGACAAGACAAGATCAGACAAGATGAGATAAGATACACAAGAGACGATCATTGTCAAAACTTGGGAAACTTGCCCATGTTGGGCTGAGAGATGGTCATCAATCCAATAGGGATTTAGATACCCATTGTAAGGATTCTCATGATGGGATGTGGCCATACCCAGATACCGCGTTTTGACAATGGCACATATGTTGGAAATTAGAGAAATAGGTTATATATATATATGATACATATATGTATTATATGTATATATATAATCTATATGATACTGCACATATAATATACATGCATGTATATGTATATCATTATTGCATATATATATATATATATTACTGTGTATATCATTTATATAGATCTGTTTGACATCAATCTCGCATATTATACTCTATTATACTATTATACTCCATTATGCTATATTATATTATATTATATTATGTTATGTTATGTTATGTTATGTTATATGATATATATATATATATGCAGCATGTTTTTTTTTACATCTCTTTGTGTTTGAACATATTTTACCAATATTGATCATCACGATGATTTGTTGCTGTTTTTTCCCCCAGTTCTGTTGGCCCTGCTGGTGCGATGAAGGTGAGCAGTGGCAGCTTGCTCTGAGCCTCCTGGATTCAATGACAGATTCGGCGTCACCTGGCAGCACCGGGAAACCCCAGCTGGACACTACAAAATGACCATTTCAATTGGGAAAATATGGGACAATGATGATCAAATGATGAATACAATAACCGTGATATTTTCGGAGATTGTTGGGGTACCCCATTTTCGGACAGTCCCACCAATGTCAAGCGCAGATCAGGCATTTCATGATTTCATGGTCAGATGTTACACAGGGTGTGCACTGTGCACTCCATGGGGGAAAGAGTTGCACACTTCCTACGATATGATACACTCAGAATTCAGAATTTCTCAATTTTATTGTTTCAGCCTTGAGTTCTGTTGACGCTGTGAATAGTGAAGCCTTAGCTGAGGATGAGAAAAAGTATCCTCAGCTACATGGCAGCCATGTCTTGTTGTGAAGGCAGGGCCAGGTCACAGTGAGGCCAGGGGAAGAAGTCCCATGACAACCCATTGCTACTCCATTGAGATTTCCTGAAGGTGTTTTAAAAGTGTTAAAAGTCGGCCCTTCCACGTGAAACCGGAGGGTTCCCCTAAATCTTGGAGAATTTTGGGACACGCAAAGCAGGCAAAGCTGCCAGCGGCAGCCTGCAGAGTTTGGTCCTTTTTTTTTTTCTCTGTGGGTAAAACAATGCCATAAACATCCATAAACCATCTCCTCAGGCCCTTCAGGTATCAGCGTTTTCATAGGTGGTATGTTTACCATGCCATACTGTACCATTCCCAGATTTCCCAGTCATGGGTGGTTTACCCGGAAAGACCACCAGGCGCCCAGTGGCCCCGCGCCTTGCACCTCTTTTGGACCATGGACGCGGATGGCATCAGCCCAGCAACTGGGCATTTCTAGGGCATGGAACCACCCGGATTTTCATGGTGTCTAGTTTTTGCGTAATTTGGCCAACTGTTAGTTAGTGCTCAAAATTGGAGAAACAAGGATTTCTGTATATATAATTATATATATATTGGGTGATTTGTTGGATGACATCTTCGTTCGACCTCGACATGACCTCGACAATTCGTGGGTGCGAAGATGTTCACACTTCAAGGTTGCAACAGTAGTTGCCCCTGATTCTTGTCACTTGTCACTTTAAAGGCATGGTTGGAATCCTGCAATCCAAATTATGTCTCTACGATTGCAAGCATCAGTTTCTTTATACTACTGCCTTTGGATCCGATACTGAACCAGGGTCTAGACGGATGGATGGATGGATGGATGGATCGATAGGATAGGATAGGATAGGATAGGATAGGATGATTAGATAGACAGATTAGATATGATTAGATATGATTAGATAGATTAGATAGATAGTAGATAGACATTCCCATTTCGTAACGCCATTTGCATTGGCGATCTTGCCCATTCCCAAGTCTCCACCCCTACCCTTCCCAACTTTTTATGTCTTCAAGCATGTTTCAACCGCACGCTGGACCCGTTCCAGACCTCGGGTGAAGCGTGCAGCTTGGCCCAGCTGCCAGGATGTGGCCGCATTCAATGCGTGCATGAGTGCTACGGGGCAATGGACCGTGGCGGAGGAGTTGTTGAAGAGCCACCTGTCAGCAAGGGCCCAGGGCGATGCATCCGTGTCTCAATACGGCCGGTCAAATTGTGGGGCTCCTGGGAAAAAAGGATTGGCTGATGATTTGAACAAGTTTCATGAGTTTCATCAAGTTTCTTTAAACCTCTGAAACATTTGGGGGAAAGCAAGGCCCACAGTGGGGCCCACAGTCAAATCAAAGCAAGTTTTCTGTTTTCCTCTGATTCATTTGCAATGTTTCATCGCGCCCTGGAGATGGCTACGCCACAAGGCATGGACGCCAGGAGACTTCGTCGCACAGCTGTGACATACGTTGCGCTGATCAACTGCTGCGGGAAGGGCGGTGAGTGGCAGCGGGCCTTGGAAGTTTGGCATCAGATGGAGGAGCCGTTTTGGCATCAGATGGTGTGCCTGTTAGTTTGGGGACATCCCAAATGGCGATTCAATGGTGAACATGATGATCAGATCCAATGGATTCTGGGAACAACCCCACATTATGAGTGTATGGCATAACTGGCATAACTGCATCATGCTTGTCTGCATCGGCCCCCACCAAAATGGCCCAACAGTTGTTAAAGGAACGTAAATAGTACTCACTCAATCGTACACATTCTTGGAGGAATTCCTTTCAAGGGGCTCGGGGCAGTCTCACCAAACTACTTGCATCGGGGTCAGGATCCAAGGGAATATCTAATGTGGATCAGTTTTTTTTTGTGGACCGTGGGCCCTCTGGGACACAAACATGCCAATTGAAGACATTTGATATTTAAATGATTGATTGTCCAGCTGATTATTCCAAATATTGATGATTATATATGCATATATTTGCATTATGCCGCTATGCTGGGTTACCCGGTAACCTTGGCACTTGTGACGGCTTCCTGCTGTCAGGAGGAGTATGGTCCAGATCTCTTGGCGACCAGTGCCTACATGAGTGCCTGCAGGAAACAGGGCGCCTGGCAAAGTGCGCTGGACGTTTTTTGGAGGTCAAGCCGTGCGAGGGTCCAACACAACCAGATCAGCGGCCAGCCCTAAGTTCAGCTGGGCTGGGAGGGTTTCAAGTGTGGGGTTTCGGCTTGAGATCTCAGAGGGAATGTGTCACAACATGCCTTCAGCAGATTATATTGCTGTGGTGGTTACCCTCTGGTAAACTAACATAACTATGGAAAATCACAATTTTCAATGGGAAATCCATGGAAATCCGCTATAAATGGCCATTTTCAATAGCTATGTTAAATTACCAGAGAGTAATGTGTAAGCCATCCCCATGGATGTTCGCTTGAATGTGTTTTTAAAGAGATTGAGAAAGCACGAGAAGGGAGGAATCGAGCGGTGCCAGCCAGCCAGCACATACTGCGCGAAGAACGTTTGGTAAGTCTTGTGCCTGGAAAGTCCGAATTAAGAAGCCATCAAGATGACGTGCTATAGAACGAACGATGACCCCTGACCGAAACCGAGCAAAATTGGAGTATATCAGTATATCTGGCCTTTCAACCATTTTTGATCATTGTCACAAAAGCTAGCTTGTTCTACCTGCAGTTGCTCTTGCTTTAGCAAGGAATAGGCACCAGGACCGTTGAATACACTGAAACTTTCAATGTTATACCCCCCCCCGCAGGCCTGGATTCAATCCCCCCTGGTCGCCCTGGTCCCTCTGGAAATGGATTGCCTACAGGGTCGTTATCTATGATCACTACCTCGTAGTCGTTGTAGTCGTTGTAGTCGTTGTAGTCGTCGTAGTCGTCGTCGTCGTCGTCCTCATCATCATCATCAACAACATCATCATCATCACCACCACCAGCATCACCACCATCACCATCACCATCACCATCACCATCACCATCACCATCACCACCATCATCATCATCATCATCAGCATCATCATCACCATCACCATCACCATCACCATCACCATCGTCATCGTCATCGTCATCGTCATCCTCATCCTCATCATCATCATCATCATGATCATGATCATGATCATGAATCATCATCATCATCATCATCTTCATCATCATCTTCATCATCACCATCACCATCACCATCACCAGCACCATCACCATCACCATCACCATCACCATCATCATCATCATCATCACCATCACCATCACCATCACCATCACCATCATCATCATCACCATCACCATCACCATCAGCATCAGCATCATCATCATCATCATCATCATCGATCATCATCATCATCATCATCATCATCATCATCATCATCATCATACGTATGTTGTGTTTGTTGGGGGTGTTGTGTGTCTTGTTTTTGTTTTTCTTCTGCTCAAAAAGCATGGCGAGACGATTGCTTCATTGGGGGTTTCTCGCTTGCTGGAACCAATAGACATTGCAAGCCTACAACAGCCCTGCCAGCATCAACATAATTCTCATTTATCCCATATCTAGAATCTGCAAATCCCGAATCTGTAGACATGCATGTTTTGGAATTTCTAGGGATTTTTCGAAGCCACAGGTTTCAACTCCATCATCTCCACCCTGGGTGCGTCAGAGTCCCCGGCCTTGGCTTTGCAGCTCCTTTCAGAGATGTGGCGACAGCAGGCCGCGACGCGGCAGGTGGCAGATGGAAAAAAACTCTGAGGAGAGCCATGGTGATTGGCATAAAATATGTAAAATGACCAGTTTTCATGTGTTTTTGATAGGGAAAATGATGATCAACAATTAATATGTAAGTATCAATAGGTTTTTAAATGTTTTTAATAGGGACAATGAAGATTAACCAGCAAGTTGGAGAATACAATACAGGCAACTTTAACAGGGGAAATGATCATACACCATCAATTTGGGTACTGTATCCTATTGGCAGACCCAATGGAGTGCATGAAGTGGGCTGAATGTATCTTACTATACTCTAATAATCTGATAAGACAAGTGACAACTCGAGAGCCTCAGATTCCTGGTGAAATTTGGCCATTCTCTGGAGAACGTTCCGGGCATTCCAGGGCTTTGCCCTCCACCAAGTCACTATGGGATGGTGTGGGGAATTTTTTTGACCCAGAATGGGACGGTTTACCCAACATGACCCCAGAAAAAATGTCATTCACGGCATCCAAAAGATGTCAGGTCACTCCAAATTGCGTGACCTACAGCTCTTGCGCAGCAACTTGCAGCTGGGAACAGTCCCTGGAACTCTGGGAAGATGCTGCTGAGCAGCTTGACAGGATGATCTGAAAATATCAAGCCGTGTCAACCTCGGATCTTGCGAACCCCTAGTTTTCTGATCATTGGGGGTTAATACCATTTTAGTATATGTTAGTATCAAATCATCACTATACTCGAGTTTTTGACTCTGGGGTTAACCATGACACCGGTTCCATTTTCAAGTGATTCCAAACCTGGATCCAACAGACTACAACGGCCTCAAGGAATCAGGTACAGAAAGATGCCATGGGCTACAGCAGCTGCATCAAGAGCTTGAGCCAAGGTGGGGGATGGTGCCACTACGCTTCCAGATCTTTCAGCAATTTGACAAGTTGATGCTCCATCCGTTCCGGCAGTGAATAAGAAATCAAGGGAATGATGAATTTCAGCTGATTTAAACTGGTCCCCAAAAGTTTGGATGGTATGTTTTGACATGTATTGGACCAGAATATCCCATCTACCCCATGCATCCCCATGCCTCAGCTATGCCTTGAAGCGTCAGCAACTTCTGCAACTTCTTGGCCAGGCCTTCAGGGGTCCAGTTGTGTTCAGCTGCTGGATGAAATGCAGCAAAAGGATCTTCATGTCTCACACGCTGCTTGGCGCTGGGGATATTTGGGGATGGCCCTGCAACAGAGTGGGGTACCTTTCCCTACCTATTTCTGCAACAGAAACCCGTGCAATAGAGCCATCTTCGAGCGGTCATATGTTCGAAACGTGGTGAACCTTCACTTTGGGCCATCAGGGCCTTGTGTTTTCACGTGTGTATACTGATGGATGAGGAATGATGGGCCTACTGATGGGGACATCTTCATTTTCAACAACCCAATGGCTGAAGTGTTTTCCATGGCCTGTTTACTCCGTTGTTGTCAAGCTCATCGGAACTCCTGTCCTCCAGATGTCGAACGTTGACCTCTTCCCCACTAATCAGAGGGAAACAAGGAGCATCGGTTCGCGCCAGTCTTTCTGAAAGTGTTGCATCCAGCATCCAGTTGATATATGGGTATGGGTCAATACCTATAGATTTTGGGGTTCACTAGGTACCAGGGTTTTGACCCATCCCCATATGGCGACACTTTGGAGGGCCTCGATCTTTGACATAGCCGAGGCCACATTCAAAGCCGCTGTGGCTGCGTTTCCGAGCAGCCAGGACATCCCTTGGGCGATGGAAACCAATCGGAATCTCTTGGCTTAGCAGCTTAATACTGAGGCTCAGTGCACTGTTGCTATGTCAATGTTTGAATGCCCTGGTTGGTACATGCCCATACCCAGCTGGAAGTAGGAAGCCACGGAAAGGCAACTACCGAACATGCAACTGCCGTTTAACGCTGGAATCAATGGAAACGAAAATTTGGGTGACTCGTTCGGGGCTGGGGTCTCAGGCAGGATGGCAGGGAATTACTTGCGCTCAAGGTCATCATCAAAATGCCAACGGCCCTCGAAGGCAGCAATTCCAGAGATGGGTCTGTTGGCAGCTACATTTGAGGTCATAAGTCATAAGATACTCTACCACTTCCAAAATTGTGGTGGAATTAACTGCAATCAGAACTGAGATCAGGGCCTCAAACCTGGGCCCTGCCCTGAAGGATTGGGAAGTGGCTTCCTATCTTCTCTGCCAGCTGGGGAGTGCTTCTGGCATCTTCAGTGTCATTCGGTTGCAGGATCTGGCGGGGTCGAAATTGAAGGTCCGAACAAAGACACGTTGTACAGGGATGTTCATGGACGGCAGAGGTAAATGGATGGCAGAAAAAACATCCCAATTGTTTAGGAAGATGTGCCAACTTTTTTTGACCCACTCGCAGATGGATTCAATGTTGTTCCTAATGGTTAACTTGAGACTTTCCAGCACCGGTTGGGCCTGTTGGGTTGCAAAACGAGGTATCCTTGGGCCTGTAAGATCTGTAAGGTAGTTTGGCTGCTGCCTGTTGCTTGTGAAGTTTAAGTATCCTGAAGCTGATTGTGAGAACCAAGCTGCTAGTGAAACTGAGGCTGCAGTGGCAGTTTGCGCAGCCAACCACTGGGAAAAAGCAACTTGTGGAGAAAGTGGAAGGATGTGGAGCGCGGTTGAATTTTCTATCACAAGCTAAACGCTACCTGAGCCCTCCAGTACTTGGGACAGTTGAGCCCCGCATTCAGAAGTGGCAACCAGTTGGGTATGCCTCCCCCAACTGCTTGGAGCTTCAGGCGGTGGATCTCTTGGCCGGAAAGGGAAGGGAGCAAGTGGACAGCTTTGCCTGCAGTCCCTTGGCTTCGGCTGTGCTAACGCAATCACTTGTGATCACTTGAGACTCGTGAACATTGAAGTCGGAAGCTTAGAGACACCCTGGGGGTCAAAAGTTCTGGTATTGATCATGTGGCACTGTGGCTTCGGCATATCAGAAGGTTGTGGGGCTCCAAGCCCCTGCCTTGATAATGAGGGAACCTGACCACTTGATGCACCCGGTAGAAGGAAACCTCTCAGGTTCGCCAGATTTCGTCCGAGGAATTCCAGTGAAGGTTGGTTTAGGTTGGGGAAACCAAAGCAACTGAGGCGCCATGCTGAGTGCATGCGAGCGGGTGCGGGCGTGGGCACCTTGGCATGGGAATGTCGCACCATCCCATGGGGATGGGGAACCCGAGTCTTTCTGCCATTTATGGCCGAATCAAATCCAAGAACTGAAACCTCCAAAAAGATATAACATATACAACAGTAATTTACCATCATTTACTGTTTTGGCTGTTTTGGTAGGGTTGGCCCATGGCAAGTCATATCGACCGGTGGATCGTCATGGATCCCCAACCCAGGCCCCTGCGCTGCAGCTGCTGCACGATATGTCCCGTTGGCACCTTCCGGTGCCGGATCTCTGTCGCACCAGCGTGATGAGTGCAGCGGTGAAGAGCCACCACTGGGACTTTTGGCACATGAACAACCAACAAAACTCGGACTTTAACCAACAAACTGGAACGTTTTGCAACCAAGACTAGGACAGCAATCAAATTGCTGAGGATTCAACTAACTATATAATCTAATTATACGATTGAAACATAGAAAACGTCTTGAACCAAGATTCAGAGGGGATGGCCTATTGTAGTCGATGTTTCTCAGGAATTGGCGCTCTGTCTCTTCGAGCCAATGCGCAGCAACGTGGTGGCGCAGTGTTTGCTGCTGGACTGCTGTGCTGTGGCGGGCCGCTGGGCGGATGCCCTCAGCATTTTCGAGCACTTGGAGCCCTCCAAGGAGCTATGGTGGCTCCATGGTGGGAAGGTGTCAGGTTTATGGAAAATCGATGAATATTGCTGATTAATATAAAGGTGGGCCTCAGTATGAGGAATTGAGTAGAAACCATTGCATGCATACTGCATACTGTACCATTCCTAGATATTCTTAGCATTTCTTGGAGCGCATTTGGGTTCCCTGGTGAGGCTGATGCTAGCTGCTTGGGCGCAGTGCTCAAAGCATGCGAGGGCGCTGGGCGCTGGCAGGAGGCCCTCCCAACAGGGGAACCATAGACACAAGGGGGTAACAATTGAATTTTGCCTCTTAATCTCCCAGTTGCCTCCCCTGGTATTTGGGATGTTAGGGGCAGCCCTGATATGCCCTTATTTTTGTGGTCAACTTTTTGGGGCCCATTCTGAGCCCATTTCTGAAAAATGGCGGCTCCCAAACCCCGGGATAACTCTTGGGAGGATGATGCGCTTCAGAATGCTTCAATTCAATGCCTTCAGGCAGATACATGTGATGAATGAGTTCGCCAGACAGCTAGAACTCTAGAACAGGATACAATCGATATCAATCGATACAATGCTGTTGATTGGCTGGCCTGGTGCGTTCACTTTTGAAGCATTGAGCGGGATTGAACAAAAAAAAGATGGGTTACAGCTGATGCCATTGACCTGAACAGCGGTTCCTTTGTTTACAGGAGATTGGCTTGAGAATTTCTGGACAACTAGTGGGCTCGCGCAAGTGTCCTACGGATGGCATGATGGAATTGATTGTGGGATGGAATGTTGACAGGTGTTGCTTTTGTGGCCCTTGCTTCAAGAACTTCAATGGCCAGATGCTTATTTTGCGGAGAGTCTATTGAACATTCGCAATCTTGGAGTATAAGCTGCCAGCAACCAAAATGACATGTCGATGGTTAGGGATGGTTAGGGTAGATTTTTTTTGCAGCTATCAGGGTCGCATCCCGGACAAGCTCATGGAATAGGGGCTAGCTCAAGGGTGTTTACTTAATTATATAATTAGTTGGTGGCTTCAAAGATTGCTTGCTGATTTGGACTGATGAATCATGATGTGCACCTGACTCGCATTCTGATGGCTAAACCAAGGAATTTCCAGCATTTTCCATCCCACACAGAAATTTCACCAGAGCTGTGCCGTTGAGGCAGGAGCACCAGAGCGCCAGCTGCCACTTCCGGGTGACTTCCAATGGCCCCTCCGAGGCTAAAGCGGGGGATGGCGACACCGCCTCAAAAATGATGCAAAATGATCCATTCAGTATTATATATTCTTATTGTGATACATTTACATACACATACGCGTACACATACACACATGCATGCATGCATGCATGCCTACCGACCTACCTACCTACCTACCTACGTACATACATCTACATCTACATCTACATACACATACGCATACACATACACACATACACACATGCATGCATGCATGCATGCATGCATCCCTACATACCTACCTACCTACCTACCTACCTACCTACGTACGAAATTTCATACATCTACATATACATACACAGACGCATATACATACATGCATGCATGCATGCCTACCTACCTACCTACGTACATACATCTACATCTACATATACATACACATACGCATACACATACACATACAAACATGCATGCATGCATGCATACCTACCTACATCTACATCTACATCTACATCTACATCTACATCTACATCTACATCTACATCTACATCTACATCTACATCTACATCTACATCTACATCTACATACATATATACATACATATACACATACACATACACATACGCATACACACATGCATGCATGCATCCTACCTACCTACCTACCTACGTACATACATCTACATCTACATATACATACACATACGCATACACATACACACATGCATGCATGCATGCATACCTACCTACCTACCAACCTACGAAATTTCATACATCTACATATACATACACAGACGCATGTACATACACACATGCATGCATGCATGCCTACCTACCTACCTACCTACCTACATACATCTACATCTACATCTACATATACATACGCATACGCATACGCATACACATACAAACATGCATGCATGCATACCTACCTACCTACCTACATACATCTACATCTACATCTACATCTACATCTACATCTACATCTACATCTACATCTACATCTACATCTACATCTACATCTATATACATACACATACGCATACACATACACACATGCATGTGCATGCATGCATGCATGCATACCTACCTACCTACCTACCTACCTACATACATCTACATATACATATACATATACATATATACATATATATACACATACGCATACACATACACATACACATACACGCATGCATGCATGCATGCATACATGCATGCATACCTACCTACCTACCTACCTACCTACCTACGTACATACATCTACATTTACATATACATACACATACGCATACACATACACACATGCATGCATGCATGCATGCATACCTACCTACCTACGTACATACATCTACATCTACATATCCATACACATACGCATACACATACACACATGCATGCATGCATGAATACCTACCTACCTACATACATACATCTACATCTACATCTACATCTACATCTACATCTACATCTACATCTACATCTACATCTACATCTACATACATACATACATACATATACATACATATACATACACATACACATACACATACACATACACATACACATACGCATACACACATGCATGCATGCATCCTACCTACCTACCTACCTACCTACGTACATACATCTACATCTACATATACATACACATACGCCTACACATACACACATGCATGCATGCATGCATGCATGCCTACCTACCTACCTACCTACCTACCTACCTACGCACATACATCTACATATACATACACATACGCATACACATACACACATGCATGCATGCATGCATGCATGCATGCATACCTACCTACCTACCTACCTACGTACATCTACATCTACATCTACATCTACATCTACATCTACATCTACATACGCATACGCATACACATGCACACATGCATGCATGCATGCATGCCTACCTACCTACCTACCTACCTACGTACATACATACATCTACATATACATACATAGACGCATACACATACACACATGCATGCATGCATGCATGCCTACCTACCTACCTACCTACATACATACATCTACATATACATACACATACGCATACACATGCACACATACACACCTGCATGCATGCATGCCTACTTACCTACCTACCTAACTACCGACGTACATACATCTACATATACATACACATACGCATACACATACACACATACACACATGCATGCATGCATGCGTACCTACCTACCTACCTACCTACCTACATACATACGTCTACATACTGCATACATACACACACATGCACACACATACACACATACACACATGCATGCATGAATGCATACCTACTTACCTACCTAACTACGTACCTACATACATACATCTACATATACATACACATACGCATACACATACAATGTATGCATGCATGCCTACCTACCTACATACATACATCTACATATACGTACACATACGCATACACATACACACATACACACATGCATGCATGCATGCATGCCTACCTACCTACGTACCTACCTACCTACGTAGATACATACATCTACATATACATACACATACGCATACACATACACACATACACACATACACACATGCATGCATGCATGCCTACCTACCTACCTTCCTACCTACCTACCTACCTACGTACATACATTCATCTACATACTGTATACATACACACACACGCATACACATACACACATACACACATGCATGCATGCATGCATACCTACCTACCTAAGTACGTACATACATACATCTACATATACATACACATAAACGTACACATACGCATACACATACACACATACATGCATGCATGCATGCATGCCTACCTTCCTACCTTCCTACATTCCTACCTTCCTACCTACCTTCCTACCTACCTACATCATACAATCTACATATACATGCATGCATGCATGCATACACACATACACACATGCATGCATGCATGCATACCTACTTACCTACCTACCTACGTACCTACATACATACATCTACATATATGTTTATTTACATACACATACGCATACACATACACACATACAGCCATACACCCATGTATGCATACATGCATACATGCATACATGCATGCATCCAGTCCATCCATCCATCCATCCATCCATACATACATACATACATACATACATCCATACATCAATACATCAATACATCAATACATACATACATACATACATACATACATACATAGATAGATACATACGTAAGTACGTACGTACATACAGACAGACAGGCAGGCAGACAGACATACATACATACATAGCCTTTACTTCTGTTTTGGATGCTAATCATCATTTGCCCAGACACCGATACGATGTCCATTGCCAACTGCCATGGCTCAGGTGACGTCCCATTTGGTCCGCGCCTTGGAGCTGCAATGGCTGCTGGGCTATCCTTTGCTACCACCTGGTGAGGAGCAACTGACCCATGGACTGCACCTTGGACATATGACCTGAGTCAGGGACCAAAAGAGGTGGAGCAAGTCTCCAGAGACTAGACATGTCTAGACAATCCTAGACATAGTCTGAAGACATATTTTCTTTTCCAAACACTAGCCAAACACATTTGAAACATGGAAAACATATATTTCTGTCAGCATGGCTCTCCCTTGCAGCTTGGCAGGTCCCAGGACTGACCAGCCACTGGGCCACTGCCAAACCCAGCTGCCTAAAGGTACAAGTACCTGGCCGGGATGCAGGCCATGACAGCAAGAGAGTTGCTGCGGCTGGTGCCGGATGCAGAAATGGTGCCTCGAACCCTGGTTCGAAAGGTTTTCTTTGAAGAAACAAAGTGCTATATATTGTATAATTATATATAATATATATGATGATATATATATATATAATATTATATAATATATGATGATATATATATATATATGTATTTACTTATATTTTATATATTATATGTATTATATATTATATATATGTATATCATGTTTTATATTATGGTTGATAATTATTTGGTTCAAGGATGTTGAACGATATTTGAAATCCGGGAAGGCCTTCTGAGACAAGCATGAGGGTTATCAGAGCCATTTTGTGAGAACGAAGGGCCATGCACAGCCACCCTTTTCAGAAGAACCATGTATGATATTATATAGTTGTAGTGGAGTCTTCCTTACACTCTTCAAACTTTGCACTTCTCCTCGAGCTGGTTTGTGGTTTAAACTTTAAACCATTCCTCCCTACTGGCACATGACTTTTCATGACTAGAATCAATTCAATCATGAAACAAGATAAACACATGATCTGAGAAATTCACCCTCACCATGCCACCAGCAGCCCCGCTCGCGCTGTGCCCAAGGTCCTTGATCCCTTCTGTGGCTCTGGTACTGTGCTGATTGATGCTGGCCATGCAAAGTTGTCTCTAGTTTTCACACAGAACAACGGAATATACCACGTTGATCCATTTTGGGGATCATAGGCGTAACATTTACATTCGTGCAGATACATCATTTGGATTCACGGAATCATTTAGAGGATAGTTAGATGGTCTTTGGAGATGAATCCCTCATCTTCGGGCGATGTGTTTTGTTTGGACATTTCAACACCCCAGTGCTGGAGCCAAGGAGGCGCAAGTGGCCGGCAAGTCCGCCATTGGTTGTGTCACTGGGTTGCGCTAATTTCTGGCATCATCTTGATGGTTGGTCATCCTGCCATTGACATCGGGATGAAAAAAACGAGCTGTGGAGGATGCATCCCCGTCAGCAAGTGGGTGCAAGTGGTTAATAGCTATTCCATATGGAATTGGGTCAGTTTTAGTTACTTATGTTTATATTACATATACATAATTATACATATACTAAGGTTATATTTTCATATATTTTCACCATGGGAGACTATCCCCCAACGCTGAGGATCTTTCACCATTGGCTGCCTTCGTGGCTGCACAGCATGCAGATGTGGAGGATTGGCCACCAGAGGATTTCAACCAAGGTATGTTCATCCCACCTTACACTTTAGAGGTGTCCTTTTCCTCTATATTTGCCAGACTTTGGGATTTTTTTGGAACTTTTGGGGCCACTTCTCAACTTGTGAGGGAGCCACCCCCATCATATCCCATCATATCCCCATGATCCGCTACCAAACCCAGTTCTATCGTCGTAGGACATCGACCTGACAGCCCTTCGCGGTGCCTGTGCCAAGATCTCCGACTTCAGCGGCACCAACTGGAGCGAAGCGGCGAAGGGAGGGTCTCGACACGTTTCGACTCATCTCCGGTTGAGCTTTTGGTCATTTAACGTAGCGAACTGGAAAATCATCATGTTGAGGTCATGTTTCCCATATTTTCTAGGTTTCCAGCTTTTCTATCTTTTGAGGGCTACTATAACACCAAATGATATCCATACCTGGAATGATGATCCATTAGTTGACTAAGTCTGGTCATGCTTTTGGTGTGAAACCACCAACCACAAGACCGAACAACAATTTTCTTCGCATTTTCTTGGTACAACTAAGGGTAACTAAGGATCATGGCCTTATTACTGATGACCAATAATTTCTCTGGAATTGGATGGTGCTTTCACATCAAATAGTTTGGTTTCCAGCTTGCATGCAAGAACAATCCCAATTGACAATGAGTCTTGAAAACCAGCAAGCTGTTCCGATCTTGCCTGCCTTGTGTGGTTATTTTGTCGATGCTTTATGTGTTGTACACTGGTTTGTCTTGTACTCGACGGCTGCACGAAGGAGGTTGTGTAATTAGTTGTGCTCTTATTGATGCTATGACATGACATAAACAGGAGTTGCGTCAGCAGTTGATGGCCTGATTGGTGCTGTTGTTAATTTTTGGTGCTAGTACTGGTTGTTAATGTCAAGTCATTGTGCTGTTACAATAAATCACCCTTATTTCTAGATGATTTTCCCATTCAAACCTCCATTGATTACGGGAGGGTAACAAGCAACAGCAGCAGGAGCCTGCAGCAGTTCAAGACCCATCTGCGGAGCTCCGTCCCCGACAAGGCCAGCTTCAATAGGATTTTTTTGGGACCCTAAAATGGGGGTACGGTACCAATCCGTACTATATAAAGTTATAAAGCCATAGAAATTAGGGCCCTGAATCATATACCATACTATACCTTACTGAATTTAGGCAAATGGCCAGTGAACGTTGAATCATTTGGAAACCCGAACGGTTCACATCTCATCTCATGACAACATCCCATTGCCATCCTGGTGATGTCCAAGAACTTCAACTGGGGTGAGTGCTTCGGCATGCTCCGACTCAAGGGCTCAAGTCGGACCGTTGGGTTCCATCCCCGTGAATTCTTTGTAAATCTTGATACCCTCTGGTTATGTCAAAATAGCTATTGAAAATGGCCATTTATAATGAGTTTTCCCATAAAAAATGGTGATTTTCCATAGTTATGTTAGTTTACCAGAGGGTACATCTGAATATATTTTGTAAGATCACTGCTGATGCTGCAGAGTGCTTTCATATCGCAACTGTTTTTCATAGAGTGCTAGAGCCAGACACTTCACATCACTTCACCTTCCTCTTTTGCCCAACGGTTATCCTCCTGGACCCCTGGAACCGTTTCAGCCGCAGGCCATCCGTCGGGCCTTGAGATTCGCCTGGCTGGTGGCCACGCAGTGGGATGAGAGGTGCCAGCTGACACCCCGAAAACTTGGGCATTTCAATAGGGAAACACATGGAATATATGGTGAAACTATATGAAACTATGATAGACTACAGGGATTTGGGTGGCCATGGGTGGCCTATTTTACACAAAGAACCCAAGTGGCCCAAGTGTTTTCCGTCTGAAGGCTTGGTGCGGCAGATTGGAGCGGCATACTGGGACCATGGCGGGTTTTGTGGTGTATTCATTTCAGCCACAATCATCAAAGTTGCTGAACTGGATCCTATTTGCCCATGCCATCGCGCTGAGAGCATCCTAGCTAAACTTGTTTTGAATGTCCCATTGGTTTTTTTTTCCTTTGAACGGCATATAGCTATTGGATGCCATTGGTTCATCAGAATCATTCAAAATATGTCACATCTTGGTAGCTCGGTGAATGAATCTCAAAATGCATGGTACTGTAAAGTTCATCACCCCATAAGTCATGGATTTTGACTTGATCCCATCCCCATTTCTTGGTTGCAATGTGACATGAATTATGGGTTGCAACCCGATATTATGATGGTTAAATCCTATTATAGGTGTTGAATCATTAAATCCATGATGGTTATCCAAAAAAAACTGGGGATCAAAACCAGGATTAAAATCATCGGTCAAAATCATGTGATACAAATTTTCGCGAAATCTCCAAGTCATTTCATGGTTGAATCCCTAGGTTTTCCATGGTTAAACCCCCTCATTGGCACCAGGCCTGGCCTGAAGCATTTCACCGCTGCCTGCCAGCTGTTCACCACACGCCTTGCGCGGCTTCGAAACGCCTCGCGCTCGCGCGGCTGTGAGACCGGGACCTGCGCGCGGGTGCGGCAAGGTGACAATCGAGCCGCTTGGGGCATCCAGGGCATCCTGGTAGCTGATTTCCATGGGAAAATCATGGAAAATCCCACCGATATGCCATATCCCACCCCAAGTAGCTGGATGATTTCGGGGTATACCCATTGTTTGGAAACCCCCCAAAAATGGGGGCTGTATTTCACCATATTTCACCAGTCGACTTGGATTTTTTGGTTGGTAAGTGGGCTTAAGTTTGTAAGCCATTGGATTTCGATGAAGCATTTTTCTTTGATCTCCCCAAGTTGAATCTGAATTTTTCATCATCCCCAGCTGAGGAGCTGGTTTTGCAGCCCGTGGATGCCATCATCACCAGCCCACCATACCCTGGAGTCTATAACTACATGGCAGCCGTCGAGGAAGCTGCCAAAGACTTGGGTTTGAGGTGGGAGATGGATATATGGATGGATATGGATGGCTATGGAATGATGATGTTTTCCAGTTACAACCACCATTGATGAGCGGGTCAAAGAAATGACAAAAAGCGCATTGAATGAAGGCCCAGCAGTTTCTCATTGGATGATTCGATGTAAGCAAGAATGGAAAAATCTTGCACCCACTGGCTTCTACTCGTACTACTAGAGACCACCGAATTCATGCATGGTAGGTCTTGAGTTAGTTTGAACATCTAGAAATTCGAGGCGTCAAAAACCCTTTGTTCTCCGACCCTCGCATGTCGTTCCTCCATTTGATGTGGGCCCACCGATGAGGCCTGAAAACACGGCAGCTGCATTGGAGATAGGTCGCAGAGACGGGTGGCAACGGACAAGTGCAGAGGATCGGAAAGATGTGGGGATGGATCAAGAGGCAGTTGAGGTTATTACTATGCTATGCTATGCTATGCTAGTGGGATATAACCACCATAATATATCATAATATGGGGTGACATGATATGACTATGGTAACTAAGTAATAACCATCATTGGTTGGCATATATGGGTATGGATCAATACCTATTAATATCATTTTTAGGGGGATCAACATCCATTTACCAGCTATTTTGATGTTCACCAGGGGTACAAGGTTTTGACACACTGCCATATATCATTTTTTTTGGACAAACATCCATTTGCATCATATTCTAGCTATGTGTGTGTTCACCAAGCTTCCGGAGGTTTGATCCATTCAAATTGGACTGGGCTTGTCCAGTCCGTCCATGGGGGTATAAAACCAAGCATTTTCCTTGGGGATATACCCTCTGGTAAACTAACATAGCTATTGAAAATGGCCATTTATAGTAAAAATTGTGATTTTCCATAGCTATGTTAGTTTACCAGAGGGTACCCATCAATTATGACATGGCACTGGTTCTAAAACTTAGAAACTTGTACTTCCAATGGGGAAAGTGATGAACGGTCGGATGTTGGGATTGTTGGGGTAACTTTCGAGGCGAAACATCAAGCCAGGAAGATGTTCCATTACAACGTTACTAGTTTCCCAGATGGACAGCAATTTTCACGTATCAATCTTTCTGACAAATCTCCATATATAATATAAATAGTAATATATAGTAATACATATATATATAAGGTGTTTGGTCATACCACGACAGTGGAATCTATACCGTGGTGAAAACGTACTCTCTCTCTCTATATATATAGTAACACATAGAAATATATATATATAGTAATATATCGTAATATATAGTAATATGGTGTAATATATAGTACTATAGTAATATATAGTAATATCGAGTAATATATTGTAACATCGAGTAATATATAGTAATAGTAATAGTAATACATAGTAATTTATAGTAATATATAGTAATATATATATGTATACACTGGTAGGACAAAAGTTGCGCTTGTTGAGCTTCCCACAGTGAACATGGTTGGTTTCTTCTTCTGCACACCCTTTCCCCGTAGAATCCTAGCATGGAGCTTTGTCGTACCCCGGTCGCATTCCCACCCTCCAAAAGCTTTAAAATCTTATATATTTAAAAGAGGGTGATAATTGACCGTCCCACACCTGCCACACGAAACGGACTTGAAAATGTGATCCGCGGTTGACCGAAATGGATGTTTTGTAAAGCTTTCAAGAAGCATAAACTTTGTTCCTCCTGAAGGGTACAAAAAGCTTATTGAGTGGGGATTGCCAAGTCATTTGCTGATTTTTGCACCTGCTTCAGCTTGGTCATTACTCCACATAACATGCCTGCCTCCATCCTCTTTGTCTGCACTGCTACACATGTGCCGTGACGCACTGGTAGGACAAAAGTTGCGCTTGTTGAGCTTCCCACAGTGAACATGGTTGGTTTCTTCTTCTGCACACCCTTTCCCCGTAGAATCCTAGCATGGAGCTTTGTCGTACCCCGGTCGCATTCCCACCTTCCAAAAGCTTTAAAATCTTATATATTTAAAAGAGGGTGATAATTGACCGTCCCACACCTGCCACACAAAACGGACTTGAAAATGTGATCCGCGGTTGACCGAAATGGATGTTTTGTAAAGCTTTCAAGAAGCATAAACTTTGTTCCTCCTGAAGTATATATATAGAAACCGATGGACTGCAGTAGTAAAAAGAAGAATCCATATAAATTTACCGCCGCAAAGAGCTTTTGGTGCGAGCTTTTGGTGCACCATGACCTTAGCCGTCCAGGAGTTTGCTGCACAGTGGCAACTGGAGCAGGAACAGTGGCTGCACTGTGCGTTCCGCAATCTGGCACCAGGAGGCGCAGGGGCTCCAGGGGCTCCGTTGCACAGGGTTATCTTCCATGTTGCTGCCGCTAAATCTGGATGACACATGGTTTTACAATGTTTTATGTGCAATGTTTTATGTGTTATAAACTGGGCCCAACTGGACACAACATCGATAACATGGGCCTTTGTGCCAGTTCATTTGGATGGTAATTGTTACAGTCGTCACCATGGGGATCGGCCAGGCACTGCGACCTTGATGATCGGCGATGGGGACGAAGATGAAGCAGGAGATGGTGACTAGACATGAAATATAACGATGATTTCAATGAGATGTAGTAATATTCAATTGATTATAGATATGCGAATAGAATGTTTCAATATGCTATGAGATGGAATGTCAATGGATTTAATCACCTGACATTCAATAACAATGGCACTATATATGTATATGATTATATATGTAGGTATAAAATTACATGATATTCAAACATGAAAATAAAACATTATCATGTTGCAATGATATCATATATTTAATACATTATCTCTCTCCATTATATATATATATATCAATGGTACAAGTATCAATGACAATCAATGTGGGATGTAATGGGAATTGACTGATAACATTCATGCAATCGGGTGATTTAGGTCACCAGCGATCTTTGGCAGAAGGATTCAGTCCCCACGTGACGTGCCAGTCTAGACATCCAGTTTGTCTTGAGGATTTGACTGTGAGACTCGTGAGATTGAGGGGCTAGTCAGCTAGAAACATGGACAAATAATGGGGGTTTGGGTTTGGGTTCCAGGATTTCATAGTCGTGACATGTTTCGTATTGTCCCATTTGAATGCATTTGATGGTGGTACCCGCAGGTGGTTCCCAAAAGACCAGTTCAGCGGCCATCCAAATAATTGGGACTAAGATGGAATAAGTGGATAAGTCTTCCATACTCTTCCATTATCTTCGACCCTTGTGCGGCAACTCAAGTTGCAGAATAGTGTTGAAGCTACCTTCTGGACATAGAACGATATAATATATATATATATAAAACAACAATCATTTAGCTTACTATTTATAGAGGGATTTCCTATTGCCATCAGCCATTTCCCCTGCCAACCAACATTGCCATAGATGTGAACAACCCAGAATATATATATATATATATGCACCATATATAGATCATTTGTGATCATTTTCCTAGGTTTTCCTCATGGCCATGGCTTTTCCACATCTGGAAACGGCGGTAGCGGCTTCTCAGGTGCCTTCGATTGCCTAAGTTCCACGCTTTCCGCCGCCAGAAAGGTGGGCTTTCAGCTGGTGGCCAGGGCGACCATTGCATCAACACGCGCCCTGGCGGTTTAACGCCCAGCTGGGGATGTGTTCAAAACCTATAGCCTACTGGTGGGTATGACTATGGTACTAAGTCCCATAATGGTTGAATATGGTTGTATATAGGCTAAAAGTAACATAGATGTGGAAACGCGATGGGAAAAATGATCTGCATTCATGGTGGCCTTTCCACATACCGCCACCATCATCAGGAATACGCAGAAGTGAGCGGCAATACTCCCCCAAGAAGCGGTTTAGAACCAACATGAACCGACGATCCTGACGATATCTCTCGTAGTTTTTGGGTATCCAAAATGCTTGGTAGTTGAAGTTTCGATGAACTACGCAAGAACTATCCGAAACCAGGAAACATAATGTAGCAATGTAGCAGAAAATCCAAACATCAAAAACCTTCAAAACCTTCAGAAACCGTCAAGCAAGTCAAACACCAAGAATTAGTTGTTCATGGGTTTTCTCCTTTTGGGCACAGCCCTTTTCCAGCCAACTTTCCCAGCCTTCCTCAGTTCCTGCGAGGTGACAATCCCAGCGAACGCTTGCGGGGCATGCGCCGCACCGAGCATATGGTGCACCTTCGCAAAGGGGAAACACCGGAGTTTTCGTCAGCATTTTGCGCAGATCACGCTGTGAAGACCCAAAAACATCTGGATCAGAATTGGGCATCCCTAATGGCACTTTTTAGAGATGGGTATTGACTATAAAATCAAGAAATTGGATGGTTAATGCCATTAAATCCATGAATCTGCAGGTTTCAGGCTTCAGGGTTTCAATTTTGACCCACCGCCATGTTCGGCTATGGGTAAAATAACTGACCCCGAAAAATGGATGCTGTGATACTAATAATGACACATTTTGACTAAAAATGACCAATTTTGTGGATCCATTGATGTTCCCAGTGTTGGCCCATACGCTTAAGTATTTGCTGATGTCGCTGCAAACTGAAGCTTTGAGTTGATCAAGCCCACCGAACAAGTGTGGCCATCAACTGTTCAGGAACACAAGGAACACACGATCAGTCCATGGTTGCTGGTCCATACTTTCTTGCATGCACTGAACTGAAAACGCAGCAAGTTTTAACCACATTCCTGAGTTCACTTTGCAACAATCACAGGCACCCCAGCACCAGCTCTCATTGCAGCCTAGACAGACACGCTTTCACAACGCTTGGCCGGGAGTCGCGGTGTGGGGCGGTTTCACCGCGTCGCAGCACGAGCCCAAAGGCGGGCATTATTCCACGCAAGCCCATGAACACTCTCGTGGAAAGATGTTCAGGTTGGAGCATGTAGGAAATTACATTTTTCCAACATTTTCCAGATCAAACATGGGATTTCAGTTTCCAGATCAAAGATGATAAAGATGTCGAAAGTGATCCTTGACGTTGGGAGCGAGGCCCCTCAAGGGGTCGCCAATGGCATGCAGCTCTGCCGGGTGGACCAAGGGAAGGACCTGAACAAGAATGGGGTGTGACCCATGGCGTTGGGGGCTAGAACCAGTGGTTCTAGAGAGACAAGCTGAGTGATACTTGTTGTTTCAAGTGTTTTTTAGTCTTGTCACTCTCTGCCTAATTATTTAAGAACGTAATTAGCTATGGAAAATCACCATTTTGAATAGGGAAATTATCATAAATCATCTGCAAATGGGCCATTTTCCATAACTATGTTAAATACCCAGAAGGTATAACGTCCCTCCTTAAAAGAAATGGGATTAGGCAAGTTCTATCGTTTGGGACGAGTTGAAATGGCAAACCAGCCTGGTATCAGCTTGGTCACAATTCGAAACAAACGAAGCAAAATCTGCTCAAGAACATGAGGAATCCTATGCATTCCCCTGCCAGCGGGTCACTGTACACAATCAGCAATTATATTAAGAATATTAAGAAGAGTGTCAGTTCTTCAGGGTTCTTCCTACTGGCATCAAGGGTGCGGTAAACCAGCCACATCAGATTCTTGGAGGAAACCACCTTTGGAGGAGCCAACATGAGCAGTCTTGAACCCCCCCAGCTGGTTAAGGACGGATAAAGGTGGGGATATCAAACTGAAATATCTGAAATATTTTTGGTATTATATGGTGATCATTGGATTTTATTTGATTTTATGGAAGAATGTAGCAGCATCACAAGTTATCAAAATATCCAAGATATACGTGGATTTTGAATGTACATACTACACACATGCATATTATTATTATTCTTATTATTATTATTAATTATATATATATAATATGTCGAATACACATATCTCATAAAGAATGTATGAGCCATACATCATATTGTACCACTTAGTTCAAGCTTGCTCTCTTTAGGCCATCCATTGTCCAAGGTCAAGAAGTGGAAACCGATTTGCGGGAGCTCAGTCCGAGAGCTGAGCACTTTCTTGGGCAGCCGAAAGTCCGGTAAAACATATCAATAAGCCTTTTTAAGAACGTTAAATCAAGGAGAATCCAGCAAAGACGGCAATATTTATGGAATTTATGGCAACCCTTCACCCCGAAATCCAGCGAGGTGGTCTGATAGGGATCTCCCAGTCCCGCGCTAGCGGTACCTCCATTGCTGTTGCGAGGCCAGGAATGCCGCAAGAAGTACCCTTTGATCAAGGAGCTGAATCAGCTTTCGGCTGTGTGATTATTGGCTGCTTTCAATTCAAAGATCCGACGAAAAACGGAGGGCTGTGTAATCCACAAGGAGGAAGAGAGAGAGGGAACGGACCTCAATGGGCTTTGATGTGGTTGTTGTGATTCGAGCATTGCCATTTTGACATGAGAAATCCTGAGATGATCCCACCTGACTCCACGGATTCATTTTTTTCACGGGTTGAACCCACCAACCAGCATGACAAACAACAGCAACAGCAGCAACAATTCTGCTTTTCCAATTGCAATAGTTGAGGATTAAAACACAAACACCAACATAAAATCATGAGCAGCAACATATTCACATCCTCACATCCCCAGAGCCCTTTTGAGACATTTCTTTCGGGGTGCTAGGAGTACACGGACCGGGCCATCTTGAAGATTCGCCACCACAAAGAGGATTCCAATGGGGGTGCGGCTTCCCGGTGAACTTATGAGGGCTTTGGAGGAATCATGAAGAATCCCTTCCCCCCAATATTAACATTATTAACCACCCCAGAAACCATGATTTATTGATTTACTAGGGGAATGGAACCATGTGGAACCATGGATGGGGTGTTTATTTTTTTTTTGGATGGGATCAATTTGGGTAAGTCTGATGAATGGCGTTGTTGGCACATTGCTTTGCATCTTGATGCATCTTGCAGTTTGGAAGTTGCAGTTTGGAAGGTTGAGGGGGTCGTTACTGCATGTGATCTTGCTATGACGTTGCCAATGCGGTAAACCTAATTAATGAACCTACCATTTGGGGGTTCGAATCGAACCCATTTATGGTGATCTTGGCCGAGTTTACGTTTACTATTGGGTTTACCACTAATAGGTGATCATATATCACTATTATCCCATTAGTCATGTTACTCAGTTTGTTGCGGGGTGACTATCCTAGTCACACACCACAGCTGCTAGGTGCTCCTTCTCACTTCCCGTTGGAGGAAATCTTGCGTGCAATCCTTATGGCTTGGACCTGAGGGCCCGTCAGGCCGTCAGCGAGTCAAAGTGGCTGTATCGATTTGTACTGTTTAGCCTGTTTAGCTGTCTATCTATCCATCTATTTGCCTATCTATCAATCTATCTATCCATCTATCATTAATTATCATAATCTATCTATTGTTCTTTCTATCTTTCTACACATGTCCAGTCGCATCCGGCTAGTGGAAATCAATGCCATGAATTGAATCCATTAACTGCATGAAGTCCTTTGGCCGATCTTTGGCATTGTCTGGAGGCTCCATTTGAAATCCTGAAGACTACTCAGGTTCAGAGTGAGTCTTGAATTTTTTTTTGCTCGGATTGTCCTGTGAGTTTCCAGGATGTGCTCATCCAACTAAAGACCCAACTTGCATATCTTCAATCTTAGGCCAGTCACCAGCCAAGATCTTCCAATCTCCCGCAGGTTCCATGCTGTAGCTGAAACCACCAAGGCCTGTGAGACTTTTCACAACAAGATCGTGTTGATCTCGCTATCATGCCTTCAAAGGCCCCTTCTGCCAGCGGGATTTCAGGCAGCCGATTTCATAAACAAATATCTTGTGGCTGGTGTGGCTGGTGTGGCTGGTGTGGCTGGTGTATGAACCGAGAATGTTACACCTACTCGGGGTGATTGTTTTCCAATTGGACACAATTAGAAAGTGCATATGGCATAGATATTTGCAACTATATTTGCATATACTTGCCACATAGATCAGGATAAATGTAGTGTCGCCAGGAGGCCTGGAAATTAGTTGTTTCACGATGTAGCTAATTACAGCTCAAGAAAAAAGCATAATTATGATATATTATGATTAGATTTACCCTTGGCCCGCTTCCGGTGCCAGAGTCCGCTATTCCGATTGGAAGGTTTTGCCCATTTGTGCTAGCCATCAGCGTTAGCACTGGGCTGGCTATTTGATGCTATTTGATTCAAGCCGCTTTTGTCCCAAGACTGGAGGCCCCAAGGGGATGATTTGAATACATTTCATGGCATTTCCAGCTGTGATTTTCCAGGCTGATTTTGCGAGAAGTTGTGAAAGATGAGTCCGTGGCCATTGTGGTGAACCTGATGAAGGAGCAGGTGAGGGCGTCAGTGGGAAGCGGCCAAGTGGGCTGGTTGGGGGAAGTGTAAGAATTTCTAGGATTATTGGGGTGGATTGTGTAGCTTATGCATGTATATTATACCTCTTATGTATGTATACATATACACACACATATATATATATAGACATATGACCACCGCAAACACAATATATCTAAAATATAATCAGATGTATATCTATACCTATAGCTATTATGTCCTAGTATGGAGAGATAGCTGCACTTGAGCATTAATACATATAATCATGGGCTGAGACAGAGAGATGAGCCTAGAGAGGCAGGTCATCCGCAGTTGCAGGCGGCCAATGGCGATGAGACTGCCGGGCATCTTATGACAAGTTACCGGGGAGTGGTTCAGAAAGGCCTTGTGTCAATGGCCATTCCAGGATCCTAAATTGGAGGTATCTACCATATAAGGCCTATATAAGGCCTATATAATTCCCATTGATTGTGTGATGTGGACTTCTCATCCCCCCATCTTCCTATCTGAATCCGGTGGCTGATCCAGGTGCAGGTGAAAGTCCTCCAGATCGTCATGGCAACACCGACGCTCGGCAGCACACCTCTGCCAGGGATCAGTGCAGATCATAGCTATGCTGTGATGATATGTGGTATACATGGTATACATGGTACACTGAGCCCCTCATCCTTTCATTATGAGAAACCTATCCCAAACCATCCATTTCAGTGGAATATGTGCTTGCCATTCCCCTACAAGTCGCCCAAATGTAGGCGTTTTTGGAGGGAACTTCGCCCGGGTGATCTGTTGTAATTAGAGGAACTTTCTGAGTTCTTTTTTTTTGGGGGGCCTTACAAGGCTGGGAACTTGTTTAGGGAACTTTCCGTTTCGCACTTTTGCCGGGAATTCTCTTGGAAAACACATATCAGGAGCAAACTTCTGATGGTTCAGGCCCCTGGTTCCGCATTCTATAATTACCCAAGGTGGCTGAACATGAACACCTGCATTCATCAACTTCCGCACAGGTCGCACATCAAGCTCATGAACGAGACCGTGGTGGAGCAATTGATGCAGCTGGGGCCCAAGACGTTGTTCTTCGAAGTTTGGCTTGCACTGGTTGTTGCAAGAGACCACTCAGATCCACTCAGTACTACAGCTCTGGGGAGGGATTCCTTCCATGAGGTGAGAAGGAAAATTAACTGAGTGGTACTCATATGTACTCATGGGATCACCATAATTTGTGTTTCCATGAGCCAATGATTTTGCGGAGGTTGCTTTATAGCCTGCACAACTCCTCCAATGCAGGAGCCTTAGCCAATCTCCTGAAAATTCTCAGGGGGGCATCAGGGAAGTTTCAAACATGTTCCTTTGCAACGATTGAGGTGACTTTCCCAACTGTTTGATGCACGTAACTAAGTACTTATGCACTAAGTACCAAACTATTCATTGAAGTTTGACGAAACCTTGCTGATCTTGCTGCAACCTGGATTCTTTAATCCTCCGATTCCAGATTCCTTTCCAGCAACGACTGTTTTCTAACCTGTTTTGGCCAAGGCAAATGTTCATCACACAGCTTGCCGGAGCCCCAGGAGGATGTGGGACATCTGGGCAATGGAATCGGTGGTGATTCCTGTCCCACCAAATCGCCATGGCGAACCTCCAATTAACTGGTTGGTGGTTTGGAACATTTTTTATTTTTCCATATATTGGGAATAATAACCCCAACTGACTAATATTTTTCAGAGGGATTGAAACCACCAACCAGAATTGAATAGTTGAAGAAAGCGATATCATGTTGCAATATTTTTTGCCGTTTTTCATTCCAATGATATCCCGTTGTAACATCCAGTTTAAAATGGCTGGTTTTTATACCTCATAGCATTATGGGATGGTCATCCATTGGGATTCACATGGATTCACCCAATTTTTCGATTCCGACATGAACTCGAAATCGACCCAAGCAAATTCCCATGAAATCCGATATGAATCCTATGAAATCCTACAGAAAACATGATAAGACCCGTCAAAATCCTTCAGTTTCCTTGGAGAAACTGAGCCAAAGCACCTCAGGTGCTGGCCTACGCCAGCTAGCAGAGCACCTGGCAGACCAGGCGCACCATGCCGTGACGCAGGCGCAGCCAAGCCGATTTCATGGGGATTTCACCAGCGAAGCTCCCAAAAAATAGCAATTTCATGTACTTTTCGATCTAGAATCTAGTTGAATGTTTTACTTATCTAATCTCAACTTATCTCATAAATATTTATATTATATATATATACACATATATATAGTGGGATTTTAAGCAGTTCCGCAATGTTCCGCACGATTGCATTGTCCAAAGAACTGGCATACACGGTGATTTGTGGTGTTGTTTAGCAATTTTAAAAACTTGTATCAAGAACAATAGGATTCAACCATCAAAATCGTGAAGACAGGAATGATATTTAAATGTGCTTGTAAATTAAATCAAAATCATCATACAATATTTGTTTAAAATTATCAAATAAAGGCAGAAATGAAGCACAAAAAAAGATCAACCACATTTGGTTGATAGTTTGGTTTTTATTTTCTAAAGTCTCCTCCAGCTGGAATGATTGTTCCCCATGCCCATGACGAGCGTATTTTCCGGAGGTCAAACATACGAAACTCGCTAACTAGCAATGTCTGTCTGAGGATGAGGTACTTTATGCTCATCATTGTTTATCAAAATTGATCAAATTTGCATATGTGCATATATTATATTATATATATAGAGAGAGAGAGAGCGCGTAAGTATAGAATAATGTATACATATATATCACACTACACAACACACACACACACACACACACGCATATGGTAATTATATATATACAATCTAATTATATATACCTAATTAATTATATATACCTAATTATATATATAAATATAAATAAATAAATATATATATATATGTATGTGTGTGTTGTCGGTTTGTTGGTTGTGATAACGAAGAACCCGTCTCCCACTTGGATCCGACTTGCAGATGGCACCCGCATCCACCGCAGAGCTGGAAAATATCCGTGCAGAGCTCAATGGAACGTTCCAATCGGCGCCAAGACGTGTAGCAGTCTAGCTGCAAGTACTTGGCATGAAATTGGCATCCAATAGGCGAATCAGGAGTCAGGACTTGTAGTGAATTGTTTGTGCCTTATTTTCTTCAAAACTGGTGTCCATTCTGTTGATGAACGTGGCTTTATAGCTGAGCAATTCACAATCGCCCGTGGTGACCTGCTGCCACCATACTATGCAGAAAGAGCAGCAAGAGAGACACCATCCATTGCTGCAAAAGGAGTAGTTGATAGGGATGGACACTTTGCAACTCAGCTTGCCTTTCGGACATCAACTGAAATGCTCAGTGTTTTAATATCCTATAGGATTCCCCAAAACATGGTGTGATTTGTTTCTCTAAGGATTTTCAATGATTTTCAACTAGCCGAGGGAATCCTTCCACAATTTCTTCCCCATTCTATGCCCGCAATGACGAGCAGCCAACATGTGCGGCGCTTTCACTTGCGATGCTGGGCCCCTGACCATCCAGCGCTGGAAAGTCCGAGGCCATTGGAATCCACTGGCCATGTCGGATCATGTCGGCTTGCAAGAATTGCTTTCTAAGAGATTAGGAAGAACCCCATCATCGGAATCCAGGAGGCTCATGGATTCCTCTGTATACGCAATCTGCCGCAGATTTGTTCATTCTTCTCAATCCTGGATTCCAAAAATCGAGGCTCCCGCGGCCCCACTGCCTCGGCTCTGCCCACGGTACTGCCCTTGGGTTTGGAGGGCGAACTTCGGGCGAAGCTCCTGGGCCAAAAGGTTGGGAATGATGCGTGCTTACTGCTAATTGCTAGGAACAAAATTTGTAGAGGAAAGTGCTAGTTGTGACTGGACGAAATCCAATACTTGTAACCGGGGTGTCTTCACATTATTTTTATTTTTTAAATTAGTAGTTCCTTGTTCTTGTTGCTCTTGTTGTTGTTGTTGGTGGTGGTGGTGGTGGTGGTTTGCTAGTTGCCACTTTGGAGCTATTAATAGGGGCCCTTCGTGGGGTAAACTGATGTAAACTGGGGGGACGATTACAGTGAATTGATGGCAAATGGAGAGTAAGTGGGCGAACCATTTTCTAACTTGAAGGATTAACCCACGAAACCCCTGGGATCCCCTGAATTTCTCAGTACATGATGTGCGTGAAACACTTGGTCCTAGTTTCACAGCATGTTTTGTTTCTTTTTTCTGGGTAACTACTATAACCCCTGTGGGGAGAGACAATGCCTAAGAATTTGTTGGATTGACAGGTTGAAAGGTATGTTAGTGTTGAGTCTGTGCGGACCTTGTCCAAGTGCAGTCTGGATTTGTTGGGTCATTCAGGCTGTGTGTTGCTCTGGCGACCAAAGAAGACCAGCGCATTGCAGAAGAACGTCAGAAAAGTCCTGAGAAAGCAGTGCCGAAAGCGCAGGCAGCATTTTGGCCCCAGAGCATTTAATGAGGTGGCCATTGATTGGTCCATGTTGTAAAACCAATGCATCATGCCAATAGGCCTTTAATAAATTGGGATTCATCAGCAGGCTTACCAAATTTCGATCAGAAATCATGTGGAGTCACCTTTTCATGGGTGAGTCCCGAGTTATTTGTGGTCTTTTTTAGGGGGGTCCGAGCCTCAAAATTCTTTGCCAACCTTTGCCCCATGTAGTGAATGACAGCCTGATCGTGTTAGAATGAGCCATTTTGGAGGCGTCGAATCCAGTACTTACACGTAATAATGTACGTTCTGAACCAGGATTTTTGTCAAGGGGTGCAATGAACACCAGGAGATACCAGGAGGAAGAACTCATTCATGTTTGATCCATACCCATTTCCACCAAAAAAAGGTAGCCCTGTGCACAGGAGAAGTTGCCGCCCCAGCAGGGTGAGTGGCGCCCAAGGTGCGGATGTCCCCAGCTGGGAGTGTTTTCAACCTGATCCTGGCGGGAATCGAATGGAAACCCGAAGTTGTTCCATGTTTTTCCCAATAAATCATCCACCAACCAACAAATAGTTTTTCCCAGCATTTTCCAATGGAGCGCGGGCAGTTCAAAGATTGTATGCTTTCACCTATAGGTTGTTTTGCTTGTTTTGCATTGGTCTGACCTGAGCCAACGACTGCTCCAAATTGGTTCGTTCAGATTCGCGCACCACACCCATCCTATTGCCCCAGGTGGCATGTGCTTCGGGACCATGATGCCTTTCCCGGACAAGACTTGGGCAAAGTTCCCATTTCTCAACTGGCCGAGGCCAAGGCGGGTGGTTTTTCCATGCTCAGCGGCTGAAATGCTGTTGTTTTCCCGTCGTTGGGGTACCGGCGCTGCCAGAAATCTCGGCAGTTTCGCGAAACTGGCAGATCTGGCAGGCATTTTGCGAAAGAAAAGCTTTAGCGGGGCTGGTGGTCTTTGGAGGACAGGGTCGTTCCCATCCCGACCCATTGGGACCATTGGGACGCCGAACGCCGCCAGGAGTAGCCTACCTCAGGGCCCAGCACTCGGCAGATGCGCTCCGACAGGCAGCCAATTTCCAAGAAGGGGCCGATCTGCTGTTGAGGCGCCAGCGGAGTAAGGACCAACAGATAGGCGGTGCCCAGGATGACTTACAGCTGATATCACTGATATATCACTGATATCCTTTACGAAGTTTCCTGTAGTAAAATATCTGTTTGAAGAAAGATCCAACTACACATGCTTGGAACTGGGGGCCCACGCAGTAGCAAGCAGAGAAACAGACTGAAATCAACACAGACTGGGCAAACAAATTCACATCCAATGATGATCAAAATATAAGTTCGTCAAAATTTCAGAGCGGACATGGAGCATGATCATCACTGATATCACAGAATGTCTGTTAACCTATTTGATGATAGAAGCTGACATTGCAGTAATTCAACATCACTGGAATGTGTTGCTTTTCCCTTCACATTTCTGACGGTTATTGTAAAATGATATACTGTAATATGTATCACATCCTCGCCTGACAACATGTTATTGGATTGAAGTTAAAACGCATATCCCATCATATCCCCATTTCACAGCCATTTTGCCATGATATGCTGGGTTGAAGCGGTCTGCCAAATATTGTTATGTTTTTACATTGCTACACAATAATGTTAAACTATTTATGTTGCTATAATTTGAAATTGCTAAAAGCTGTTATATAACATGCCATAGGATATAAATCTATAAGAATTGGCCCGTACGCTATATCGTGTAGCGCACGGGTGCGGTCTATTTCATTTCTTAATGGTCAGGACTGACTACGTTGTGGATGTTGCTATGTGGTTCTGTATTTGCCTATCAGTACTGTCTATGCTGTTACACTGTTCTTACTGTATATTTTGTTACATGATGCTATGTCCGGCAATGTCTGGCTATGAATCTGTTGTTATAGATATGCTGGATGCTTCAAACCACCTTTGCGCAGGCCGTCTCTAGAGTCCCCAGCTCGACCGCAGGCGCCGAAGGTGGAGATCCTTCGGTAGGAACATCGTCTTTTTATGAATATCATAGAGATTTCCAATGATTCCCATTTCCAGGTTGCACGGATTTGCACGGATTGCCGGAGGGTATCGGATTTTCATGGATTTCCTTGTTCGTGTATGAAGAATCCATCCCACAGAAGTATGTAAAGCATTTAGTGAAGCTGCATACATCACGACTCAAAGCATCAGACATCACGCATGGGATCACCAGGAGACAACACGATTGCGCGTAGCTGTGCTGGCGACGCAGGCAGGGAAGTCGCAGGTTTCCATGGTTCTGGAATGTGGTTCTATGCTGATGGAGGGGTAGCCGGGGTAGTAACACATGACATCTCGGCAAAGGACATCGCCAGTATCTTTAAGCATGGCTGGGTTGCAAGAGCAAACGTCAACAGGTACAGAGACCAACAGCCAACAGCATGTTGGATCTTTGGCAAGTCACAAGCTGTTTTGATCTGGCTGTCTTGCAGCCGGGATGTTGATGTGGGCTATGGGTCATGTATATACAGTATCAACACCTATTTTTACCACATGACATCATTGAGGGAAAAAAAAAACATCCATTCACCAGCTATGACGACCCGGGTCCATTCAGGATGAGTTTGATGAGACCAGCCTGTTTGACCGGGCCCCAGGGCCAAAGGCCAAACCTTGGCAGTGTGCCAGGCTTTGCCTGCAAGATTTACTGCAGATATATATATATATATATATGATACAGAGTCAATATATAGATATGCACACACACACATATATATATATATACAATATTACTGAATATTACTGAGCTAGTCCTACTGTTTACCATATGTTTGCCATTATGTTCCCATATTTTCCCCGTGAAAAGTTACATGTTCAATGTTGGAGGGCTTTGATTGGAAAAACCTGCAGGGAGGTGTGGCTGCAGATCTTGGCAGTTACAAGATAGTGCAACAAGATTTGCATTCAACTATTTAGATTATCACACATCCATATGATATATATATATATGACTATAGTAATTACACTGTATATATGATATGTATTATATTATATATATATGCATGTATATAACCGACACATTTAAAATGTGGTACCCACACATTTTTTTACATGTAAATATGAAAATGTAGTACAATATAAACTATATATCAATATATATCATACATATCTCCGTGGTAGTATTGCAAAAATGCATCCCACTTATTCCTTCAACCGCAGCTTCCAAGGACCCCGGGATGGTCAGCAGCACCGGCAATGGGCGGCGCTATGCAGCGCAGGCCCTGGTGAGATCCGTGCAGCAGAGCCGGGAGTTGGAGCTCACGGCGGTGCTGGTCTATGCTACTGGGCGGTTTGGAACCATACCCTCTGGAAAATGGTGGTTTAATGGGATTTTAATGGGATTTTATAGTGATTTAATGGGATATTAATGGGATTTACCCTCTGGTAAACTAACATAGCTATTGAAAATGGCCATTAATAGTGGATTTTCCCATTAAAAATGGTGATTTTCCATAGCTATGTTAGTTTACCAGTGGGTAAAACATGAAAAACAAGCTGGATCATGCTGGATCTAAGTAAATGTTGATATGAGTTAACATAATTCTTATAATGTTTTATCAGGAATAAAGGTTATGATGCTTTACCATCCAGGACTTGTTGATGTTGAATAAAATTATACCATGGGGCACTTTCCGGGATTGATGGCTTCAGGCTCCAACTTAAAGTTTATCAATCCATCGCACCAAGGATTGGAAGAACGAGAAAGGACATTGGGCAGTGCCCAGTGAAGGGCCGCAACAACTGACGTTGACAATCCGTGGTGGTGAGCCAGTAGACGCCTCAGATCAAATTAAAAGATGGTGATGGCGATGGCGATGGCGATGATGATGATGATGATGATGATGATGACGATGATGATGATGATGATGATCATGATCATGATCATGATGTTGATGATGATGATGATGTTGATGATGATGATTATGTTGATGATGATGATGATGTTGGTGTTGATGATGATGATGATGGTGATGTTGATGCTGATGATGATGATTATGATGATGATGATGTTGATGTTGATGATGATGACGATGTTGATGATGATGTTGTTGATGATGATGTTGATGATGATGTTGTTTTTGATGATGATGTTGATGATGTTGTTGATGATGATGATGTTGATGATGATGATGATGTTGTTGATGATGATGATGTTGATGATGATAATGATGATGATGATGTTGATGATGTTTATGATGATGATGTTGTTGATGATGATGATGTTGTTGATGATGATGATGTTAACGATGATGATGATGTTAATGATGATGTTGTTTTTGATGATGATGTTGATGATGATGTTGTTGATGATGATGATGATGATGATGTTGATGATGATGATGATGATGTTGATGATGATAATGATGATGATGATGTTGATGATGTTTATGATGATGATGTTGTTGATGATGATGATGTTGTTGATGATGATGATGTTAACGATGATGATGATGATGATGATGTTGATGATGATGATGTTGATGATGATGATGTTGATGATGATGATGTTGATGATGTTGATGATGATGATGATGTTGATGATGATGATGATGGTGGTTTTGGTACTACTATTCTGGTTTACTGGTATTTATTTATTGCTATTGTGAGTAGTTTTATGCTGCCGGTTATGGTGTTTGTGGGGGTTGTGATGGTGATGATCCAGTTGATCCAGTTGGACATCAGGTCACGGCATGGCGTGGCAGCATGGGGCAGCTGCTAGGCGGCTTGACGGAGGGGCTCATGGCCCGGGCATATTTCAACGTGACCTGATGGCGATAGAGAGAGATAGAAAGGGAGAGAGATTTTGATATAATATTGATATTTGTTATTTATATATGATAAATATAACTAATTTTTACCCATTATAAATATAATGTGTAATATACATATATATATATATATATACATGTATTAGCTGCAAATTGGAGAATTCGTCAACATACTACAGCTGACAACAAAATCACTTCATTCCCAGGGCCCAGACTTGACCGCATCGGCATAGGCGCTTGCGCCGGCGACTTGGACACAGACTTGGCCGTGTCCATCCAAGCGCGCCGCACGTCGCTGGAGCTCATGTTGAGGACGCTTTTTGTTGGGTTTTCCACATGGAAATCATGGGGGTTCAACAATGGGGAACAGTATATTTAAGTATACTACAAAAAGGGATACGGATTTATGATTTATCAATGATGGTGACGATAATATGGGGTTTTAACATGATTCAAGTATTGTCACCACAAAACAACAATACCACAAATGAACATGGTGATTTTTCGTAGTGGCATATGGTGGTTTAATCGTTGAATCGGTTTCAGCCCTGGCCAGGTCGGGGATCCCCCACAGAAATCATTTGCGGAGCTTTGGGATGTTCAGCTGGTTGCAGTCTGGTAGAGTACCAGGGCGGACTCGTTCACACCCATCGCTTGCTAGTCAGGAGCATCAAAGCCAAGAAGTATGTGGTGACTGGGCCATCAATAAGCTGGGGCAGTACATTGATGTAAAAAACGGGATTCATTTTGAATAACATGCACTTCATGCACGCCATCGTTGAAAGGGGCCATCCTCGAATCATACAACATCATGCAACATACAAAAATTGTTGTTTTTATTGAAATCACAATGGGGATAGGTAAGTGCGAAACTCATGGCTGTGCCCTGCAGGAAAGGAACATGCAAGTTGGAATCCTTAAAGTTTCCACAGACAACACCATCAATAGTGGACTGCCCAGATCTTCCCAGGTATTTTTTTCAGGAACAGATCATGGTCCATGGGATTTTCAGGTTATGGGCCATGACTACAACCTACCCTTTGGTCCGTGGGGGATGGAGGTGGAGCCTCAGATGCCACTGGTAGAGCAATGGAGCCGGGGGTTGGGATGATTAATGGTTATATATATATACATAACATGTTATAACATGTTATCACCATCATACTAACCTCCATAGGTTGGGATACACTACATTTTTTCATGTTTGTTTGGTCATGTTTTGTAATTCCGCAACTCTGCAGTGTTGTCAAGTGAAGTGTTTACTGTGCCTTGCAGGCATGAACTGCTCAGCAATACAAACTTCACTTCAAGAACCTGGCTAGACACTATTTGGTGTCTGATGTTGGCGGGTTCAGTTGTCGAAATAGATATTTAAATATATATATATATATATATGTTACATTATATTACACCATCCGTCCCTGTTGGGCAAGATCATCAGTTGACATTTGTTTTTTTTCTGCACCTGCGACCCATGGGATCCGGGCCGTGCGCAAAAGGTTGGCCTTGCACCAGACCTTCATCCAAAACCCCAAAATCTGCATGTGCCTTGGCAGCGGTGCAGATTAGGATTTTTGATGATTTAAGTCGTGTAGGATTTTTGAAGATTTTTGTAGGGTGTTTGATGATTTTTGCGACGTTTACAAGATGATCCGGGATTGAGCAACTGTGTGTAAGACGGCCATAGGCGTGACTTTTGTTGACGGCAATCTGTTATCTCTACCTAAAATCTGGCATAGAAGTTGAAAACTGCTAATTTCAACGGTCGTGAATTGGTACTTCAATGTCCAGCTTTTTTTGCTCAGGTTTTGTACTTCTCAGCACTTGGCGGACTTTGTTCAGAAATTTTCCCAAGGCCGGACAGATGGTGGGTAATACAACCCAAGGAATAGCAACCCCTTTTGGACAGTGGCAGGCAAAGTGAAAACAAAGCTGTGCTACTGTGCAGACTATGGTTGCTAGGCTGCAAAGCGTGGCATTGTTTATCGATTCATCTTCTACTTGTTGGAACGCCATTGATGCCGTTGTTGGTCTGAAAGCACATGTTCGGGCATACATAGCTTGTAAATTACTTGGTTTGTCGTAACCGTCCATTGGGCATTGTAGCAAGTTAGTGTGTTGCCGTCCTTTTGAAAAAGGCTTCGGAGTGAGACTTCCTTGGGCAAGTTGGCACCGAAACATCATGCGCTCAGGCTACTTTGATGGCAAAGTGCAGCCTGTGCAGCCGGATGAACAGAAATACGCGGCTTGGCGTGAAAGGACCGACCAATCAGACCACCGCCCCTAGGGATCCAGCCCCAGTATGACAGAAGTTCCAACAACAGCTTCACCATCCTATTGGCACTTAAATACAATTTTGAGGATGTCATTTGACCTTGACCCCTGGGGTGCAGGAAAATCTTGAAAGGCTTGCAGTACGATTTCTTGAGATTTCGTTGCCAATATACACTTAGTATTACTTAGTGGTCATTTCCCTGCAAATGCATCATGTCATTATACGTAGACGTAGATATTTACAGCCTGAGAACTACAGCTGGATTCTCAGATACCGATTCACGACGCCCTTGTGGGCTCCAGCCATCTCCGTGTGACTGAGGTCACCTTCATTAGCCCTTGCCCAGCCAAGGGCTTGGCCATCGTCCTGCGCTTGGCCTTGATGTCACCCGGCGGATTTCTTCATGGAACATTCAGCTCGCCCTTTTTTTTGCCCACAGAGGGCAAGATTTAAACAACTCCCCAAAAAGATAGACATTTCATGGCATTTCACTGACAATGATTTTAAGAGGATGTTACCTTCTAGGTCTTGGGGTTGCTATAGTTGGAAAACAGCTGGCATACAATAGAGGATGCTACTCCTGGGCTTGCAATGAAGTTGTTGTTTGCTGCGCAGACGAGTGGTTAGTCCTGGGGCTTTGAAGCGTTGACAGTTTGGTATGGATCTTGGACCCCCCAGGGGACATAACAAGGAGTCCTGGTAAACCAGGACATGTGAGCCTCGTTCACACTCGAGGTTTCCAAAGGTGGAGTTCCTGTGTGTCAGCACTGGCTGGACTAAGACGTTGCACGAGGTTCAGTTGCAACTTGTCTGACAAGATTGGGACTGGATTGGAAACCATGGTTTTTACCATCAAATATAGGGCTTTCCTGTAATTTTTCCCATAATCCAATTCTATGAGATTGGGACTGTTTGTGTTTTGCGCCTTCCAAGAGGGATCTATGTGGCCCAGCAGTAAACCATTCCTGTTTTCGTTGGATTCCTTTGGATTCGTAAAGTTTTACCCTCTGGTTATGACTAACATAGCTATGGTATAGATGGCCCATTTATAGATGGTTTACCTATTAAAAATGGTGATTTTCAATAGCTATGTTAAATTAACAGAGGGTACCTCTAATCTGTGTTCGGTTTATCAGGTGTAATCATCATCTGCCAGGGCCTAACATGCAGCTCTCACAACCTCATGGGCCATGGATCAGCAGCGGTTCGTGGTGAACCTTTACGACTTGATGATTTGTTCACCAAGGCGCGCGCATGGCAATGTGAAGATTGTGCCTGGCACTGATGATTTAGATGCTGTCTATCGTCAGATACTTGGAATGCGAGTGAGCCAAGACATGCAGTGACACGTGGAACGTGTTGGAACCTTTGAAGTATCCATCGCTCGCACTTTACAAGATAGTATTGATCAAGCTTTAGGAAAGTACAATAACATGTAGGATTGCGTCACATTTGGTTCGGAATCATTCCGAACGACTTGCTTTTTTTGTTTTGCGTTGAGTTGGACGTGACTTTCAAAACATGGAACCTTGGCAGAAACTGCCATCTCCTTGGACGTCCCTTCGTGAATCCTCCAAATCGGACCATAGTCCTGCCTTGTTTGCCTGAATAAACTAATATCTTTGCAAAACTAATATCTTTACCGTGTATAAAATCTATATTTATTGTTGCCCCCGTTTCTTTTGCCTCTTCGTGCTACTGCCATTGCCACCAAAAAATCGGCGATGATGCTGGCGACTTCTCGACGTGCAAATTCCACATGCATGACTCCTAGCCCAAATCATATCTGAAATCACACCCAGACTCATACCCCCGAACCATACCCCATCAACACATCAACTGCATTATAATTCATGTGCAGCAAACCCTTTTTTTGGATGGTCATTGTATATGATTTTACATCATCCCGTTTCTAGAGGTATATATATTCAACAATAAACCTCTATTGGGGATTATTGGGGATGGTCTATTCTAAATATAGTACTATAGTTGTACTATATATAGTTATCCGGTAATTATCCATTATTATCCCCCTGTTATCCCATATGAATCCACATTATCCCATTAATATCCTTCCATATCCCATCATTCTTGAATTTATAACATTACTAGATTTGGGTGCCTTTGTTTTGAGATAGAGGCCCCAATGGTGCCCCACGTCACGTCACTTCCTCAATATCTGGACATGGGAGGCGCACCCCACTCTACACTTGGAAAGATTTCGTAAACCTATCTTGGGTAGGTTACAGTATGTTATCGTAGTCCCAAAAAGATGGAATAGCAAAATCTGACTGACTAGACTAGTTATAAATTACTTTTCTATTTTTCTAGGGATTGCTATAATAGATTTGCGTTTAGTTTGGCCACGCCTGCGGGGATACAATTCCCAGCCAACTGCTTTTCTATATGTGGGTCAAGATTCGCCATGGAAAAATGGCAGATCCTTCATGCCGGGCTTCAGGACTGCTGTGCTTATCATGCCCTCGCTTTGGCAAGAGTCTTTTGGCCTCGTGGCAGTAGAGGCATAGCCTGCCTTGGAACATGTTGAAAGCTGACTGGTGGACATGTACAGGGTGGTCCAATTCCCACCTTAGGTATTTCAGCATGGGGTCAATGGTGCAAGTTGCACGTTTGCCACAGGTTGTAGGCCCATGTAGGCCCGACGAAACCTTGAAGCTGATCTGTGGGAGGTATTGAAAGTAGATCTAATTATTCTAAGTGGCTCACACCCTTTTCTTAATCCCTAATTTTCAGACAAAACCATATTATAATATATTATAATCAAAATCCATATATCCATCCATATTGTATAATCATGTATAATCCATATTAGTCCTTATTATATATGGGTTCTTTGGGAACCTCGGGGGTTCCCTATGGTTCGGTCCCGTGCCAGGCTCAGCTCCGGGGCATCTGCGTGGTGAGCAGCGGTTCCTACGGCCTCAGGGAGGCCAACTTCATTGAGGCCGTGACATCGACGATGTCGCCGTTGGGGTTAGCCGCTGGCCATGGGGATTTCACCAGCAAAAATGGTGGTATGATGTGGGATGTAATGGTATAATGCGGATAGATGATGAGGATATATGGCGCATATTCGCCAGAAAAGAGATTGAGAGAGAGGGGTGCTTGAATGATTCATGAATTATATGCCCGCACCTCTCAATTTGCCATGAAATTCAATTCAATATCCATCATTCTGGGTGAATTTCCATGAATTTCCGCTGTTTTCCTTGGAACAATCCAGCTGTGACCAGGAACTGCAGGCTGATGTGACCTTAGTGCATGACTCCAGGCTGGCTGCCAAGAGAAAGGGCCTCAGGGCCTCCATGATTTTTCCATGTTTGAAATCTTGGGGAGAAACCCCAACGGATTCATAGCAAACTCTCCAATTCTCTGGACATTGTATAACAATGAAAAAGATAGATAAATAAATAATGAATAATGAATAATGATAAATAAATAAATAAATAAATATATAAATAATAAATATAAATAAATAAATATATACATATATAAATCGGCAACCAATATTTTCACATACACATACGCATACACACACATGAACAGCTGCTGCTGATACCTGAGCTGTATGGTAAGCACCTTTCATGCCCTGCAGAAGTGGAAACCATTGTTTAGAAGGGAAAGTACAACAAGAACGGTGCGCCAGGACGCGTGAGATGCTAAGAGGCATCACCCTCACAGAGGCGGAGGAACGCTTGGATCCTCTGCGAAAACGACGCGAAGGCGAATCTGTGGCGGTTGTGGATTGGGAGCATTTGTGGTGACTTTAGGCACGGATCATGATGGACATTGATGGACCATGTGGATTATACTATGGTGATTATCATATGTTGATTGTATGATACATCTTCAGGTCTAGATATGTTTATGGTGATGTATGGGCCATATGGAATCATTGTTTTTATGGTAACAAGAATGGTGAGGTTGGCCACATGTTTTGTGTTTTTTTTCCTCATAAAGATGGTGACTCTACCCATCCAACTGGTGATTTGCCTTATCGATAGCCTTGGGATGTTGCACCGAGGCCATGATCACATTCACATGGCCCACACCCTGATTGCCACGGAAAAGGAAGTTGAGGGCTTTGCACAGCTTTTGCACCGCTTAGTGGTGCCCTGGCTGTTTAGATGGCCGCCTCCGTTCATCTCCTGTGTTTGTTGTTGGCTGGACATGCGGGAATTAAAACAAATGAACCCAACCAGCTTCCACCGTCAAAGGCTGAGCAGTGCTGTTGAAATTGATGTTGAAACCACCAGCATCATCAGCATTTGCCAGCCAATGTTTGGAGTGATCATCATGATTCTGACTATTCTGACCATGACTGGTTGGTGGTTTAGAACATGTTTTTCCATATATTGGGAGTAATATTCCCAACTGACTTTCATATTTTTCAGAGGGGTAGGTATACCACCAACCAGATGATATTTATTGGGCCCATGTCTCTCAACCAGCCAGATGTTTTCTCCATGAAGGTGGCAAGTGGCCATGCCATACCGCTAGTTTGATGTCCTCATGTTGATGACATCATATCCCATAGGATCCATGTATGGTATATATGCTAACATTTGGGGTATATTGCTGGTAAATGTTCCCATATATAGCATACATGGATCCTATGGGATATGACATCATATGATCAGCATTTCTGAATCATATGAATCCCCTGTAAACAAAGCTAGGATTGGGTGGCTGATCGGCATTAAGGTGGCTGACGATGCTGCAGCTGAGCGGCAACGCTTGGGCCGTATCGCCAAAAGGAGGCGCCAGTTCCGTGGGATCATCGAAGTGAGTGTAGCATGTTTGGAGGTCTCTTTGCTCGAATTAAGAAGAATTGTATACTAATGTATACTAGAACTCCCATAAGAAAGAGTATAGTATAGTCCAAATATGTCCAAATTAATCCAAATTAACTGTGACTAATTTCGGGTTTCAAGTTTGGAAATCATGTTTCACAGGTAAGCCGCTGCATAAACTGTGGCGTGAGCATTCCGAAACCGCCCGCACGGATGCAAGTTATGTTTTGCAGTATGTGGTAATTATCACAACGTTCATCCGATGACATCCAATTCATATGATCTGAAACCACGCCAAGTACTCTCAGTGAATAAGGGGACTTGTGAGTCGGCAGGTCCATTTTTGATGATTTTTGCAGATGTCTTTGTTGCCATATGTTGCCATGACAACATGAGACCAAGATCCCAATCGCAACGAGACTTCAGGGCTGAGGAGCACGTTGAAAGTCGTCGCGGTCAATTTGCAACCAGCCTCAAGGAGCAGCTGGGGCGTTATGGGTCAAACGGTTTGCCGTGCAGCGCACGTGTTGTTCTATCCAGTGACGGGTATCCGGGTATCCATATTCCGTCACATTCCCAAATGGAGAGGCAAGGAGCTACTAAGAGTTTCTCAACCACAAAGCGAGTGTCTTCCCGAAAGCTGGGACGATACAACATGTATTTGCTTAGTCGCCTCAAGCTATGATTCTATGATTAACCCCTGCAGGTCCCTACATTGCAGATATTGCAGATGTTTACGATGATTTTTCAGGACAATTCTTTCCCCAGTCCCCATCCATGTTCGTAGACGTAGGAGTTACTACAAGAGACGGAGGTGAACCTCGGATTTCAATGGGTTTCTGTGTGGGACCGGTGCAATTTCTGTGTGTTAAATGTGATGAATCCAAGACATTGCAACAGATCGGCCCCAGCTAAGGACCGCTTGCACCACTATAGATGTGGCCACTGATGACGTGCAGATGAAAAAGAGCTGTGCGGGCGCAGATGGAGGGGCATGAGGACAACATGGAACAACCAAAATATCAAAATGGATTGGATGACATTATGTTAAGATTGTTTGTCAATTACAGGTCGGTATTCATCAACATTGGACCCATTGGAGACCCTAACGGATGTTTTTTTTTGGCATTGCTTCACCGAAGGGTTGACCCGGTTGGTCGATCTTGGCGCCCGAGTTCACCTCCAAGGACCTGTGATGCGACAAAGGGCATTGCTGGGAGCTTGGTTTCGATCCGAACTTTTTGCCAACAAGAATTAAGGTATTGAACCAAGCATAGATAATTAATTATATAATATAATTAGGTAATTTCATGAACATGTAACATGTCTTTATGTTCTTTTATCTATGTAATGGATAATATTATAATTAGTGGTGGATATTGAATCCCGTTGCGGGTTTTTCGAATCACGATCCGCCCGCATTGAGGCCGAATGTGGCGCCCAACCAGGCGATTTTTCAAAACGGTCCTGGTCGAATGATGGCCAGGGATGGTCCTGGCCAATGGCAAGATCGCCATTTCGATCGCCATGTCTAAGGGGACAATGAAATACAATGAACCTATATAATATTATATATATATAAAACCATGAGCTATAGTATGCCAGAGTGAAAAGGCTGATTTTGAAAACTTAGGATCCCTCTTCTAGTTAGTAGCCTCTGGTCATATTTAACATAGCTGTGGAAAATCACCAATTCTGTAAGAGGTCAATCGTCATAAATAATCTACAAGTGGGCCATTTTCCATAGCTATGTTAAATTACCGGAGGGTATATCTTAATTTCTGCAGGTGTTGAACTTGCCGTTATCCAAACTGTTCTAGTATTTCCTCTTGACTGTTGACTTGAATGCCTACTTCAAGGGTGACAGGAATGCTACTCAGCCTTAGTCGCCGTTTGTCTTCAATTTATCCTCCAAGAAATTCATCCGGATAACCTCAGCTACTTGGGGGACTGTGATACCACTGTCAGGGATGATGATCCCAATTCAATTGACCTTTTTTTCCTGAGTCATATCATTACTTACAGTAGTTCCCCCCAAAAAAACATAAGATGTTTTGTTTTTGGTCATGCACTTATCCATTTTTGTTCATTCAAATCATGAGGGACTTAGCCCTGAAATCGGTGAGGCTCCTGAGGAGCTTGCAGGGCCTCCACGCTTGTGGGGCAGCCCGATGGACTTCAGGATGCGGTTGGGCGGTTGGTGAGATCCCTATATTAGATGGCAACATATGGCAATGGTTGGGGGACCCTATGGCAACAGAAGGGGAGGAGAATGAATAACTGTACTAAGGTGGTGCTAAGTTGCTAGCTGTGTGTCACAATACAATTAGATGCTTAGTATATCTTAATACTAACAGACAAAAATCTGTTGCCCCGACAGCCCCGTGGGTCTTCAAGTTTGACCCATACCCAAAGGGGAGATGGACGAGGTTGCTAGTTGGCCTGTGCTCCACATGAGGTTCTTCATTTTTGTCCAGGACCTGTGCGTCGAAGACTCGGGTTTTCAAGGACCCAGCGCAGCCTTTTCATCAGCGAATCATCCAGCTGTGGAAAGGGGCTGCGGCTGGAGCCGGCCCATATTGCAACCATCAAGGCATTTTTCACCCACCGATTCATCACGATGAAACTGACCGCATTACAAATTGTGGGCAGGACACAGCAGGACACTTTATTATCTTTCTTTGGGCATTTCAGAGCCGTGGTAGTTGCCAAAAGATACCACCTTAGCTATGGAGACAGTCGGATATACCGCACACATCCACACAAACGATTCAGATCTCACAGCTGCTTCATGACCGAAGTCCTCCAAGGTCATGGCAGATTACGATGCTTCCAGCATGCTGGATGCTCAAGGGGTAGCGACAACGTTCCCCTGTATAGTGACTACCTGTCAGGGGCGTTGAACCAACTAAGTGAATGTAGATCCCCATCCAGGCCCATCCAGGCCCATCCAGTCATAATTATATATAACATTATATAGATACAATACAACTACTGCATAGCAACCCCCAAGAGGATACTTTCCAGGATGGTATAGATAGATGATATTTACTTAATATTTGCAGGTTTCCCACTTTTCTATTTTGAAGTTGCTATAGAGCTTAGGTCTACCCGCTATTCCATGGACGCCGCCGAACGGATGCGGACCGGACACCGGGAGGCACGGTCATGGCATCCAAGGACTTTAATGAGATATCATCCAACGATAGGATTACAATGGACGCATCTTGCAGGATTATTCAATCCGAAGATGAATTAAGAATTCTACCAAGCAACATGATCATCAATGGATGGATTTTGTTGGGAAAATCTGCGGTTGAACTTAATGTCGAGGCTTCCGGCGAAGATTCCCCAAACAAACCGGTTCAACGGGGACTGTCTCAGTCTGTCTCCGAGATTCAGCAGATCTTCCATGTACTCGTGACATGTGGCCTCGTTGGAGGTGAGTGGCTACATTTCCATATAGATTTCCAATCTTTCTCAAGCACAAACTTTGTTGATCTCTGTTGTATAATGGTCGTAATATGTCGTAATCATGCAACCCACACCAACCTGTCATTTTCGAGGCTGAAAAAAGGGGCCCCTGGGGTAAGATTTTGGTCAAGATCCAGCCCGATTCCAGGGCTATTGGCTTGCAACCGTCAAGTTTCCCCGACCCCTTTGCACCTTGGCTTACTGAACAGGGGATTAGCAAACCACCGGGACATTGACCAACGCCTTCTGGAGGCCATAAACTGATGAGGTGAACATTTGCGGCCCCCAATTTTGAGATGTTTTGAGTAGCTACCTGGAACACACACACACACACAAAAATACCAGCAGTTTCTGCTTTGAAGTGAAACAACCCCGTGCTGCCGAACTGAGATGACAATCAAAAATGTAGTCCTCCTTTCAGCAGAAGTAAGGTTGTGCGTCAGTGTCAAGTTGGCGTCACCCTTTTAAATCTTTTGAATCGGTCTGGTAGGCAGATCGGGGTCTTTCTGCTTCATTCATGTTGTCGCAGCGATTTCGGAGCAAAGTAGAAAGCCCCCGTTGAAATTTTCACTGATTCAAACAGTTTTCAAGACACATCGCCTACTCATTTCCACATCGTACGACAGATCCTTGGAATCAAGTTTCGGCTTGCCTAACTTTGTTCTTACAAACAACCCCTAAAACTCACTATCTTCGGCTACCCTGAGCTTCACATGGACATGGACATCATGGACCAAGATAGCCTGAGACTCGATGTGGCATTGCCTAGTGGACGCTGCGAATCTGTGCAGTTGCTAGTGGGCGACAGCATTACTGACCTGAAATTGGCTGCGCTGGAATCTTTTGGCCAACTCTTCTTGAGGCTTAGTGGTCCCAATGGACGCCTACTGGATCCAAACAAATCTCTGAAACGTGCTGGGCAGATGGGGGCAGCATTTGTGCCGTTGCACAGCAGCCAAAGGTAGCTGCAACATCGCATGCATTTGCATTGTGGCAATCATTGTGGTGTGTTGGAGGTGACAAGATTGTAACATGGGGTAGTGAATTCCAATGAATTCCATGGTGATGGCAGTGCAGCTGTCCGGGACCATCAGGAATGTTCAGCAGATTGTCGCCACAGAGTCTTCTTTTAAGCTGCAGTTTTGGTAGATGGAAGCGTGGTAACATGGGGCCGTTCACATACAGGCAGTGACAGCGCCAGAGTTGTAGATCTGCTCCGAAACGTTCAGCAAATTCATGCAACCCACACTGCTTTTGCTGCAATTTTGAATGATCGAAGCGTTGCAACCTGGGGTGATCAAGACATGGGCGGCGATCACACTGCAGTGATGGATGAGCTCCGAAACGTTCAGCAAATTCATGCCACAGCTTATGCTTTTGCTGCAACTCTGGCAGATGGAAGCGTTGTAACGTGGGGCCATCCAGACATGGGCGGTGACAGCACTGCAGTCCAGAGTCAGCTCAGAAACGTGCGTGAAATGCATTCAACTCACGGTGCTTTTGCTGCGATTTTGGCAGATGGAAGCGTTGTAACGTGGGGCCACGCAAAATTTGGCGGTGACAGCACTGCTGTTGAGAACCAGCTCAGAAATGTACGGGAAATTCATGCCTCTGGTGCTGCTTTTGGCAGGTGGAAATATTGTAGCATGGGGTGATCCAGTGCGGGGCGGTAACATCCGTGCAGGGACGGATCAGCTCAAATATATGTAGCAACCCATTTAAGTTGTCAGCATTCACAGTGACGGTATCAAACTCATCAAACTCTTGGAACCGACCAACCAACCGACGAAAGTAAAGAACCCTTGCTGGAAACTCATGTTTGCTGGATATTGCTCACAGAAACCGTGCACTAGCAAGAGTGGAGATTTAAAATTTGCAGAAGGAAAATACATGTCTGCCTTCAGGCAGAGTGTCCGGATGGATTGTAATTGTAGCCTATCTTTTGTTTGTTGTGTTTCGGGTTTGGTGACCGGATCCTGCTAAAACGGTGGGTTTATTATGGCCCATAATATGGGTGTGTCTGAAAAGGGGGTACATATACCGAAATACCTCCATTTTTACCTATTTTCCAGGGAACATGATGATAAATCATTGGATTTGCTTGCCGTGGGTTGAGCTTAAGTGCAGCTAAGGGCACACACGTTGGATATTTATGGGCGCTTTATTTTCAGACAAACCCATATGGAGATTTCCTGATATAGGGGTACCCCTGAATCATCTATTAAAATAGTAGGATGTTCCATCATAATGTTCCATGATAAACCTTCCATTTTGGGGTACCCCCATTGATGGACATCCCATGAAATCCCATATCTATCCATGTGATCCATCCGACGGTCTCAGGTCTTGAGCTTTTGAATGCTTGCATCTCCTCGTGCGAATGCCCAGCGACAGGATGAATCACCGGGTTGGGTTGGTTTAAGGGAAAATCTATAGGAAACCATAGGAAACCATAGGAAAGCGTGTTTTTTCGTATCAAATATGGAGTTGTCCCGTAGATTATAGATTTTCCTTTAAACATATTATCTAAACCATTCTAAACCAATATCCAATGAATTGAGGGATAGTAAGGATAATAAGGCTTAAAGGGAACATCTAAAGGAAACCATAGTTTTGACCATGAAATTTGGGAATAAACCCTGCAAAACCTCTCGATATCTCTCGTAAACCTATTTTGGAAATGAAGTGATGAACAAATGGTGAAGAGTGGTGATAATCCCATCCCCTGATATTGAATTCATCTACATGGGCCCCAAAATTGAACAAATTAATTCAGCACGACAAAAAGGTTTCTAGTAGGTCTTTGATGTTGTGGGAAGGGATGAAAGATAGCCGTAAAATGCCGTAAGGATTGGTCTTGTTGTGGGTCAAAAAGTATCAAAACTGGGCATCCCCCGACAAGTTGATGCTGTTTGAAGGCTTGGGCAAGTATCGACCCGAATTGAATCAAATCGGTTGTTCCCTGAAATCTTATCAACCAAAACCACAAGATTAGATGGCCATATTTTTTGGACAATTTGTGTCACAAATTGATGCAACTTTGAAGTCCGTTAGTGTTTTTTGCTTCCTGCATAGAAACAGCTATGGCCTTGACTTCCTGATCTTCCTGCAAGGAAACAGATACTGCTGCACTACCTGATGTTTGATATCTCTTTTCCAACATGCCTAGCGCAGTAGTCACACGCAGGACCACCATTTTTTTTCCACATGCCGTGCATCATCCGAAGGCATCCTGAGATTTTCAGCACAGTTCCGGAATATTTTGCTTTGCCAGGGCCCTGGTTATCTCTGAGTGGGAAGATCTTACATCATCTTACATCCTCTCCAATGGTGATCCAATGGTGAGCAATGCCTGACTTGCGAATGTGAAGGCGATGTCATTCCCCTTGTGTGTAAATCCTCGATCTTATGAGCCCTAATTAATGCTGCCGATGGGGATAAAGAAACCCATCATGATGGTAGCTGGTTGAGAATCTCCAAAAGGGGTCAGCGAAGGCAGACACCAGCGCATGAGGAGAGGAATCAGGTCATCAGGTCGCTAGGTGGGACAGCCATGGCATGGTTTTGTTTCAGAATTCTCACCTTTCTTTCCAGTGTTACATCCGCATCCTACATCCAATGGCAAATCATTTTTGTAGCCTGCTGCGGCCAACCGGGGGGCCACTCAGGCTGCGGCACAATGTGTGGACACCCGGCTGATTCGGTTGGAAAGACGATTGATGGGATATTCATGAATGTCCGCGAGCAACTCAGAGATTTTCGCCAGTTACAGTTAGGTTAGATCCCCTGCAGGTTTGCGCGGCACTGTTGAAAAACCTCCGGGGCTGCTTCGATTTTGCCATTTTGTCAGGGGACCCCAGATGCAGCGACACAACCAAAAGCCCAAAAAGTGCCGTTTTCCAGCTGCATTTTGACCTACACCCCAGCAAGGAGGCCTTGGGAAGTCACCACTGTGCTTTGACACCCCAGGGCTGCCAATGGTGCAGCACGCGGCTCGCGACCCAAGGATTCGTTCCGTTCATCTACTACAACAGGCATAAGAGGGATGCAGGGCTCTGGAAACTCAAGCATTGGTTTGATGTATTTCATCAGACTGTAAGGATATAGAAGAATCCTTTAGAGCGCAGAATGAGTAGTTCAATGTTTTCCGTCAAGAGCCTTTGCAGACACGCTGGTGCAGGCTATTGTACTCGTAGGCTTATCGTCACAGTATGTCACAGTGTCAATCACAGGATACACATCGAATCACAACCACTTCGTACAGGAACCTACCAACCCGTATCATACCTGCATCTGCATAAGAAAGAAAGGACACTCCCCTAGGACCAGGCAGTTCCTCTTATGAACAAACATAGTGTGCTAGAAAAACCCGTGAGTTAGACCTCATTTTGTCGATGACTACCCTGCGATAATCAAACATGGCTGGCGAGAATTCTATGTAATTTTTATATTTTGAATATTAACCAATAACCTAGATTCCATAAGTAAATATAGATTCGATATATTATGTGAATCTATGATCATATATTTGCCTGTCAAATGGTATTTTCCATGGCGAATCCTATTGGTTGTACCCTTGATACCTTGCCATGTGCTGACCTTCGAATCGCCCAGATCTTCAAGTCGCCAGTGTTAGCCTCCAATATGCTGCCTGAGTTGCAGGTCTCTGGGTGTTTACCGTGGAAATTTGGTGCAAAAAATCAATCGATGGATTGGATAAATGTGGATAATGAAAACCAATGGGATTGCGAAAAAACAAAAATATAATATACCAGCTGGTTATTTAACATAGCCATGGAAAATCACCATTTGTAATAGGTAAACCATGGTAAACCATCTATTTCTATGGGCCATCTATACCATGGCTATGTTAAACAACCAGAGGGTAACATCTTGATCAATGGATTGGGTTAAGGGATTGTTATTTTGAACCGGGGATTCCCGATTCCCGCCCATATTTCATGGGAAAATCATCCTGGTTTCCGGTTTAGATTCGTTGCCTTAAAGCAATCCATTGAAGAAACTGATACAGCCACCATGAAACCGTATGGAAGCCCAGTTTTCTTTTGAGCAGCGTCATGCAACGTCCAACTGGGAAAGCGATGTTCGAAACTTATGTTTTGTTTGAGACAATGCTGGATGGTGTTCTCAGGAACACATGGAGGACAAAACGCACACCATTTTTTGGTCACCAAAATCACCCAGAATCATATTATGTGGATAAAACATCGATAAAACTAAACAATAATAAAGTTTATACCACCTGTCTATGGTGAATTTGGGGATTGTTTATTATTGTTATACCAACATTAATGATATCATATATAAATATTAATATTAATATATATATATATATAAATCAGTACATGTATTTATATACAGTGTGAGTATAATAGTATAACTATGCTTGGAGCTTGGAGGAACCTACCACACTTCTTGGGTCTTGTTGCCCACTGATGCCACGATGTCCGGTTGGGAGCGTGCCGTTGTGGGCTCGAGCCACGGGAGAAAAATGGAGTTGAAATCCACCGCCAGTCAGTCGGAATGGGAAACTCAGTTGAAAACGAGAGGCTTCAGGTTTTCAAAGGTCCCTTTATTGGACTTATATTGGACTTCAAGGGTGAGAGTGGTAGCCTGGTAGCATTGCAGGATGTGATTTCGGATTTTTAGTGGCTGAGGTTGAAGACTTGTCACCGTATGTTCTCTGAGTGAAGTTGAATCAAGACTCATGGTGGTTGACAACTTTCACGGGGTAGTCAAGAGTTCTACACTATGATGGGGATATAAAAAAGAGATGAACATCAGATTCCTCTGTGAACAGGCTATGAGATCTATGAGATTTGGGGTGCCCATGGGTGCCCTTTTCCCAGAACATATCCATTACTAGCGAAACATGTGTCCATTGAACGTTGCACCCAGGAACGACGGATGCAGTCATTGGACCAGCAGGTGCCAATGTTGATGGCTATGACGGCTATGATGCAGTAAAAAGAGGGGCCCAAATACCATTAACTCCCTTGTATGACTTTGGGAAAATGAATGTATTGTCTTTAATATGTACTTGATTAATCTTGATTATAGTATAGATATACTAGATGATACTAGATGGAATTGGATGAGTAATTGTGGATTATGACACATGTACTTCAGAGCTGATGATGACATCCAATTTATGTTTCCAGATGTTTCACAGGCAAAAAAAACTGCAGGCATGCTCGGACCACGTGCTCTTGGGATTTCTAGCCACATGTGCCCCGAAGCTGGCGGCAGGAGAGGGAAGTGCACCAAACCCAACTGCGTGTCCTTCGAGATCAGACCTCTTCCTTCGTGCGGGATTTGGCGGCGTCCTGGCATTGGAATGGTAGGATGATGAGTGCCCCATAGTTAGCAGAGGGATGCTAAGGGTTATGGTAAGTATATCTTCACTGTTAACGACGATTTAATTACCATCTTATGACTCAGTGCACCACATTCAGGATGATCAATGGTACCTGTACTTGGTGGAGGGAAAGAGAAGAAGGCATTTTGTGTCCTCATCTTGGCCGGACTTTTAATGATGTTTTCATTTGTCACAACCTAAATTGTCACAACTTGGATTGTAGGCTTCTTGTCGGCTTCTTGTGCCCATGGTTGTCAAAGGTAGCCAAACATGTGCTTTTGCAATCTTTTTCATGTGCAGGAACATCATGACCATGTCCCTCCTTCCTCCTCAATCCACCGCTGCTCACTGTTCCGATTCCATTCTCAGGGGCTGTGCCCAGGCTGTAAAAACTGAGCTCGTGGGTTTGAAACTCACACTGGGGAACGTCCAAAGCAAGAGTTCCTCTGAAGCCCTGCCGCATTGGGGGCGATGTGGTGAAGCATTCTTCACAGCACATCCAGGAGGTGCTTAGGCCTCTAGGGGGAACAGCTTGGACATTTGGAGGTTCCTGGATTAATCATTTCATCAGATTTCATCACACAAGAACCCATGAAGATGGTTACTTTCTGGATCTTTTTGCATGCCAAACAAATTTGCGACATTTGGGGAAGAGTTTGCGGCCCGGTCCAGTCCCCCGACTGAATATCCAATTGCTGTATTTCATTCTTTACCCGCACAACATCTTTCAACATGCCCTTCTGAAGGGTGAAGTGTAGATGATACAACTCTCGTAGGGCAGTAGCACACGTTTGGTGTTTCATAACTTTTCGTGATATGCCCAGAGTTGAGGTATGTTGAGGTGCTTGTTGTTTCCCCAAAACCCTGAGAAGCCACAGACTCGCCAAAGCTGTCCTGTTAGGACAAGAGTTTGATTGAAATCAGTCAGCAGCTTGCCTGAATTGGCATGTGGATGCTGTAACGGAGCTGATGGTTTCTGGTTGCATCAGAGGGTTGCTGATGGTCATGTCCATCACTTTTCGGCGGCATGGGTTCCGCATGGTTCCGCACCATTAGGTACCTCCATGTACCTCCCAAAAATAGGTCAATGGCCCCCATCATCCCCCATCAATCAGCCCGTACAAACGGTGGCTTCTTATCATGGCTTATTTACCTGCCAATGTTGGTAGTTTTACTGTTCTCCCCCTAATTTGGGATCGTGGATGATGACCCCCCATGACTTTACATGATTGATATTTTTGGGACGGGTTGAAGCCACCAACGAGCCCGAGAATTGTTGGAGGGTAGCTAGCTGAGGAAGAAGCACATGCAAGTGGTGGATGGGCTTCTGAAACAGCTCATGGAGCAGAACCAGCAAATGGCCACTCAGGACATGACGAAGCCTGCTGTTCCCATCCCAAATGGTGGAATAGATCGTAACTTGATGATTGGATAGACATCTACGATTCTTGGTGGGATTAGTTCTTTGTGAATGATGTATAGCAACAATTATATAGATTTACCGAGGCTTGAACTACTTGTAGATTAAAGGAGGGATTTGGCAACTGTACTGAACATTGTTGCTGTTGTTTATTGACTTTCCTACTGTAGATTCTTGTGGGACCCTAGGAGCCAACAAAACCCGCAGAAAAAAATGTAGCTTCTTCATATATGTTCTTAAAATTGCCTTCTTGTGGTTTCTGGGTGGAAGATGGCCTGCCGTTTTTTTTTTTTAATGTTCGCTGATGCTGTTGCCAACATCGTCACTGATAATTACTGATGATAAATATGATCACTCATGATCACCTATGCTCACTGATGATAGTGATAATGACACGACAAGAAAAACACACCACCACCACCACCACCACCATCATCATCATAATAATATATCATCATCATCATCATCATCATCATCATCATCATCATCATCATCATCCACATCTACATCTAACACTGCATTCTTCCAGCCCCATGGCTTTGCAGAATGCCATGTGCAGGACAAGCTTGCTTCGGCGACGCGGCCGCACCAACCACGAAAAGGGCTGGTTTGGGGCTGCCCAAATTGGGTTTGGATAGGATTGCAGTAGGTCATCAAAAGGGACCATTCGAATCGTAGGACGAACATTTAGCTGCCTATGTTTGATGTTCACCAGGCTTCCAGGCTTTGATTATATTCTGAGTCATGATTGATTGCTAAATGTTGTTTGTTTTAATTCATGTTTGGCAAGGAAATCCCCACTTCTAAAAGACTGGGATAATTTGCCCAAGCACCAGTTGCAATTTACCCGCTTGTCATTTTCAAGTCACTGTGGCACCAGAAAGGTCAAAGAGCAGATGGAGCTGTCCTTCAGGGAAAAATTCCAGAAGCTGGCGGAGGCCTTTTGCTTGCTGTCGCTCATAACTTGTTTGGACTTTATTGTGCAATTTGGATCAATTTGGTATGTTCAGATGATGCTGTGCTTGGTTCAAAGTAACAGGTCTATATATTGATTTCCAAGAGCGGTCTCGTCTACTGTATCCCACCATCATCCAGGATCTCAGTCGATGGTTTGGTTGCTAAACCGTCATGAAATCACCTTTGAAGTAACCAATGAACCGTACGTCCCGATAATTGGAATATCAGAACTATGATGTAGTATAGCTGTGTACTGTTAATTTTCACTTCACCAATGGCTACATCATCAATTTCTTCTCTTCCTCCATAAGAACTATGAATAGAAAAAAAACAAATCTCACCAAATCTGCGTTCCTGCTCGTGTTAACCGTTGACATCCGTTGACCGTTTCCGACCCATCACGCACAGAAAAATCACATGTGGATCACCAGATATCACCAGAAACCGAGAAACCGCAGTGAATGTCATACATGTCATAAACGTCATACATGTCATAAATGTCATACATGTCATATACATGTCATAAATGTCATACATGTCATAAATGTATATAAATATATAAATATATATATACATGTCATACATGTCATAAATCGCCATTCAGTTTCGCCGGTTGAAGCATTGGTTCCGCCTCCATCGAGTCCACCCCTTCTTTTCCAGGCGGAGAGCTTGGACGGAAAGGCGCAGCAACGTTTGGAGGCGCTGGAACGACAAGTGCCACTGGGCGTGTGGCATCCATGTGCTGGGTAAAATAGGTGAAATGCTGATGTTAAAAATCCCACAGAAATCCACTATAATTAGATCATTAATTCAATGAAATTGATATAAAATGAAATGAAACCTTATAACTTATTAACAGTTTAACAGTTACCGTAAGAAATCTAGAATCATTTGGAATGATTCGCACGTATTTTTTTTAAATATATATATATATATATCCCAACAGTTAGCCAATCCTGTAGGTGACACCCTTATTCCATCCCCTGGCTGGCACCTGCCACCAAGGTCCGAGCTGCAACAGTCCCTGCGGCAACACCAGGAGAAGCAGCAGGAGATGGTCCAAGACCTCAAGCTGGACCCAGCTTTAGTATTTTTGCCTGACTATTCCACACCGTTCCAAACGTTAATTCAGTGTGGCATGTTGTTTTTGATGCTGTTCGGTTGCGCCTTTGAGCCTGCTAGGAGCTTGGAGAGAAGATGACCATTCAGCACGGGCTGATGCAAGACTGCCTGGCAAAGTTACAGGATGGGGCGGGCCCTGCACCAAGAGACTTGGGGCCAGTGCACGAACATACCGCATACCCTATGTATGTACCCCTTTTCGTGCATTTTTTCACGCTGCACAAGACACTGCATCATGCAGCCATGCTCTGGATAGAACATCTTATTAAAAAACACCCTTTGTTAAACAGCTGGACGGCGTTCTTATTTAAAATCTTTTTTTTCGATACACCAACACCGGTTTTGTGCGTCTAAGATGATTTTATCCAGAGCATGACTGCATGATACAGTGCCTTGTGCAGCGTGAAATGACGCACGAACAGGTGTTTATTTACAGAAAAGGATGCCAGCAGGGCCCCAATGTACCATGTTTCTAAAAATGCAATGTTTTGATGTGCCAAAAAACCGCATTTGAAAGAGAAATATGTTTGCTTTACAGCTTTCTCATTGAGTATCTAAAAAGGAAATAAAATTGATTGATTATAAAGAGCGTCTTGGAAAGTCTAAAGCTTCAGAATGCATAGAAAGAAAGTGATTGCTCCTAGGGAGTATAATATATATAATATATATATATATATGTATATATATATACGTATACGTCATATATATATATATATATATTTGTTTTTTGAGACCCTGCTTAGACCCAGACCCCCCCTCCCCCAGAGCTCCGAGTTCCCTAGACCCAGCTCCAACGGTCTTTGCACTCAGTTTGTTTATTCTAAAAGGAGCGTCATCAGTAAAAGATATAAACTTAACAATTTTTGAGACTCATTACCCTTAGACCAATACCAACTATAACCCATCTCATCTTGGATGCGATATTTTATTTTTATTTTGTAAAGCTTTCGATTTTCTTCACTGCATGGCAAGGACATACTAAGCTTAGAAAAGAACAACACTATGTCTTAGGGCCATGTTGTGCCACTACAAGGGCCAGTGCATGATATCTAAAGTTGCACAAGAAGATAACAGGATGGAAAGTAGAACAGTTATACATACATAAATTTATATATTTATATATCTATCATATTTGAAGAAAATCGTTTAGTTCAAAAACATGCTACATTTGTCATGGCCATGAATCTCAATATCTATTTGAATGAGTAATCTTGAATGGCCATCTACAGTCTACAGTCATCCCAGGGGAGCAGGCAGCTAGATCATATATTTTTCGTGATGTACGTAGCCAATTTTCTCTCATTGAGGTCTTGTGCAGTCCATCTCCACACATGGGTCAATTCAAGCTCGATTTCAAATAGAGCCAACAATAGTCAACTTTTCAAATCTACAAAGACAAGCTTGCAACGTATGACATGGCGCAATGCAATGATTACTTCTATTTGGTTACTTACAAGGTAATTCAAGAGATAGTTAGGATCACCCTTGCTGCAGTATCTTAATCTGCTGATAATATCTTTCGGAAAATGCGGAAAAAGTAGGCATACCCTTGAAGATGTTTGCTTGATCAGCACATTTACTCACAAATTTTGATTGCAGGATTTTCTGTCCATATTATTTCCATACTGTTTTCATATTTGATGAAAAATGCATAGTGTAGCATGAAAAGAGCATGATACAACTCACCACTCTGCAAAAGTATTGCCAGTGAAGAACATGTCATGTGCAATTTCTGAAACACAATGATGAGTCATGTATATGTATGTTATTTGCTTGTGTACCTAGCGCAGCTTGTATGTGACACTATTTGCAAAGTCTCCTGTTTACCCGCATTGTTGGCTTACCAAGATTGGCTCTAAGCATTCTTATATATTCCATGCACGCTATATAAAAGTTGAAAAATGAGTTTGCACTGCACATATGTGAGAAGAGTGATTTGCCCCATGCCTTTTCATGATCACTATTAGTTTGTGATGAAGCTTGCACTTTATTGCAAGACTTGGTAGAGCCATTGAAATCTGTTCACACTTGGGTTTATCTTGGGACAAAACTTGAGTCCTGTAAGGTTTCAAACCCTGATATACCCTTTGCAAGTACAATTGCCTGCATTTCTCATGATGTTGCAAGCTGTACTTTAATTTGTTTCTGGTAGAAACCACCAAATCGAAGCAATAGTAATACAGTTGCATGAACAAATTTATATGGTGATGTCAAACGGGCACTTGTTCAACATGGACTATGAGATTTGCTTAGCTTTTCTCATCGACCATTTTTGGGTATTGTAACATGTGTGTATATATATACATACATGTTACTGTACATGTTCATACGATGATACACATATTGAATTTGCTGCTTGCCATTGGTGTATTTATAACCTGTTTATGCAAAAGAATAGATAATGTAGAACCAAGGGTATGGGCCCTATCTCCACCCCTACTATACCACATGCGGCAGAATGTCATGTGCCAGGTTCTATCACCAAAAAAACAACTTCTTCTGAATACCCTTCGCATAGCCGGGTCGAACACACACTGCTTGGAATACCTATCATTACCTACCGGCGCAACCCTATCCACGCATTCCTCCGCAAACCAAGTGGCTACAGGACCGCCAATGACAACTGCATGGGCAGTAGGATCCTCAATTGTGACACCGTTGAATCACGACATGGAAGCACTCCAAAAGACCCAATGCTTCACATCTCAAGATCTAGGCACTGCTGTCTATCTGTGGCTTCTTAATGATGTGGCCCCAAAAAAAAGAAGACAGAGAATCACAAGTCTGGGTCAAAGCAAGTGAGCCACAAGAACAGATGTCTTGAGAGGTTTGGAGGCCGGGCGGGCCCCCAAATCCATAAATAATTTTGGCAGGGTTGAAAGGCCAACGCAGATATGAGCTTTCCAGAACCAAATGAAATATACAATAGGTAACAATGCAACAGAAACAAAGCAATATAAACAACATAGAAAAAATAAAGAACAAAACCTATCAGTAGAAATAAGCGCAGTTTATCAAAAAAAACATCACAAAACACTAAAAATAGGGCCCTGGTGGCGTCCCTCTCTCTTTATTTAAAACCACTTTTTAAGCGTCAGCTTACCGGAGTTCTCCGTGCTTCAGCACAATCATAAGGGGTATTGGCGGGCTAGTTCGTGCAACACGTAGAATTCTAGGCGTCATGTCTTAGATTTCAGTTATAAAGGGGGGGGGAGATGTCCCTGTAGTCCAGCATAATAAGCATGTTTCATTTCAGCCTCAGTAACAGTTGCTACAAGAGGTCTTAAACCGAGGTTTTTAATAAAGCCCTTTTCGTGCATCATTTCACGCTGCACAAGATGCTGTATCATGCTGTCATGCTCTAGTGTTTTAAATAAGATGTTCTATCCAGAGCATGACTGCATGTTACAGTGTCTTGTGCAGCGTGAAATGATGCACGAAAAGGGGTTTATTTAAAACCACCTTTTTAAAATCCATCTCAAAAAGGCTCCTGGCCACGATTTTGCCCAAAATGGCCGTTTCCAGTTTTTCCTATGTCAGCGGTTTAATAACCAGCTGCGCCAGCTGGGGCCTGCCCAAACCCAGCGGCCGTTTCCAGTTTTTCTTATGTCAGCCTGCCGAAATGCCAAAATCCAGCTCCAAAAGGCTCCTGGCGGGGATTTTGCCAAAAATTGCCGTTTCCAGTGCTTCTTATATCAGCGGGTCTTTCTTATGTCAACGATTTAACGGCCAGCTAGCGCCAAAAAATGCAGCTCCAAAAGGTTCCTGGCCAGGATTTGGCCCAAAATGCCGTTTCCAGTCTTTCTTTTGCCAACGGTTTAATAACCAGCTAGGGCCTGCCCAAATCCAGCTCCAACAGGCTCCTGGCCACGATTTTGCCCAACATGGCCGCTTCCAGCTTTCCTATGTCAGTGGTCTAATAACCACCTGGAGCCTGCCCAAATTCCAAAATCCAGCTCCAAAAGGCTCCTGGCCAGTATTCGGCCCAAAATGGCTCTGATAGCCAGGTGGAGCTTGCCCAAATGCCAAAATCCAGCTCCAAAACGCTCCAGGCCAGGATTTGGCCCAAAATGACCGTTTCCAGTCTTTCCTAGGTCATAAAAGCCAGCCGGGTCTTGTCCAAATGCAAAAATCAATCTCCAAAAGGTTCCTGGCCACCCCCATTTAAGACTGCTTGCAGCAACCGTTGCTGAGGCTGAAACATACCAATTATGGTGTACTACAGGGACATCTCCCTCATGGAGAGTGTGCCTCTACTGTGACATTTCCCGCCAGTGCTGAACAAAAGTGGCGCAGCGTTTTCCTTTCCCACTACACTACCTTTCGTCCGCCTCTGCTTGCTCTCAAGTTTACTAGGGATTGAATTTGACAAATGGTGAAATCATGGTCAAAGTATGTAAAAGTGGAAAAAACACAGATCCAATCGCTAAGCTGCTAAACGTGCTCTACTCAGCAAGCTCTTCTGACAGCCTGTGTCCCTGATAGGAGTCGCACCAGAAGGCGAGCGAGAAGCACGAAACCTTAGCAAGGACACTTGCGCCAGAAAGGGGGTTAAAGCTGGTGGAAGTTTGATCAACCATGCCATACACCCCAATGCTCCTGGTGAAATTGTAGTATTAGGGAGATGGGTATCAAAGATCAGCCTTCCTTTATAGGTTTTTTATGTGTATGTTCGCAACGATCCAAGCAAGCTATGGTGATCGGACGGCTTGGTGTTTGGAGTTAGGATCATTAAGGAATGCGTGCGACTATGTTTTGATACCTTGAGTTCGACGACAGATGTTCCATACAATTTTTGATAGCCGGAAATCAGCCCCAAATGCCGGTGCTCGAGCTTGTTTGCCGATGCATTGGGCAAAGCTCAATGCCTTATTGGCGGCAATTGAATCAGAGGCCCAAAGATGCTTGCCCCATCTTGCCCCTAGAGCTAGGCTTCATGGCCGCTCCCTTCCCCGGGGTGCTTTTGACCCGAATCTTGCCATCCTGTGTCTCCCTGGCGTCAAACGTCCGCTCACAGCTCTGGAGGCTCATTTTCCATTTTTTGCTGCCTGTTCTGTTGTTAGTCCACCCCCTGCTTCCCCTCTAAGAGGCTTGTTGGTGTGACCGCAGACAGATGTTTGGCCCGGTAGCCACCAGGATACCAAGCCTCACTGCATAGCCTTTGTTTGGCAGTGTATAGATTTGTCAGTTGTTCACATTAGGAGAGTTTTCGATACCATTGTATGCCTGGAGGGTGGGTCTTGGACTGCCGGTGAATTTCAGACTTACATCAGTTCTTAACTGAATTTCTGAACCCCAGAGTCCCAGGGTGATCGTCATAATCAAGCCACATGTCTCAAGGTACGTGGACGAAGTGACAGGCATGGAAAGCAGCTGTAGTTGGTCAGCAGATTGTGCCTCAAAAGGAATGTCACATTGGCCACGTTGGTGTTGAGGGTGCCCTTGGCCATACCCCACCCAGTTTACAGCTCCGAAGTTTGCTGAAAGATGGGCACATCTGCAGTTCCCATCATTTTTTCCCCAAGACTCCTGTGACCCGCAGGGGAAGGTGGTTGCATCCACAAGAAGCTGAATGACATGCAGGATCCCTGGTGATTCGAGAGCGATTCTCCTTTGAGCTGATCCATTGGGTCAGCAATGTTTGCCATGTAAACTCCTTGGGAAATGGTTGTGATGATGGATATTCATGGTGGAAATTGCTGGAATTGCCACTAAAATGAGTTAAAATGATAAATATTAAATAACTACTTCTAATATGTTCGCCTTGGGCCTTTGCAGCCGCGCAGGAAGTGGCGGTGAACGCTGTCCAAGAGCATGTGCATTCCATTCGGGCACAGGGACGCAAGTTGGAGGCTGGGTGATGCCGGAGAATCAAGCAGTTGACCGTGTGTTTAGCCAACCAGGGATAGCAATGAAGCTGGCAATGGAAAACTCTTGACCCACAGAAGGTGAAAATATAATCTTAGCTTCGGATTAATAAGGGAGGGCACACCACCCCTGCGTGCAATAATGCAAAGCTACCCCGCAATTAGATGTTTTCAGGATTTCAGTTTCAAAGGGGTTTGAAACCGGTTCAGGTCAATTCATTTCAATTCCATACATACATACCTACATACATACAAACTTTTTCCCCTTGGTGCCACATGTTTTCCCCTTGAATGCACGTTTTCTTGCTTTTCGTGTCCTCAAGGGGAAAGTACGTGGCACCAAGGGGAAAAACCCGCATCATTCATACATACATGCATGCATACATACATACATACATAGATACATACCTACATACCTACATACCTACATACCTACATACCTACATACCTACATACCTACATACCTACATACCTACGTACCTACGTACCTACGTACCTTCATACATTCATACCTGGGCCTTCCAACTCCTAAAAAATATCAGTCGTTTTGCACAATCAGGCGTTTCATCAAATTTATGGTCGCATCGAGCGTTTCCCCAAAAAGTTAGGCGTGGTATGTCCTGGCTGTGTTTCCCATTGGCATGGCCCTCCTCACAGTCTTCTCACCAGTATTTTGCTTTCAATCCGCACATCCAAGTTGGTTTCTGTTTAATTGTGCGCTCCCAAAATTATACCAATTTACCAGATTCTTGGATTTGCGGGCGTTTGCGGGTTTTTGCGGGCGTTTTGCGGATTTTTGCGGGCGTTTTGCGGGTAATTTTGGGCGCAGTTTTTTGCATTTATATGCGTTGGTGCTCGGGATATGAGAATGTCCTGGTACTGTATGTCCCTGGGACGCAGCCAGGATGCAAGCCATGTTCAGTCATATTCAAAATGTCACTTGTGGTGATAGTGTGGCCACTAGGAAGCAAAACCAGGCAAACTAGTAGAAGCAGACGAGATTCTGAAAACTGGGTCATTTTAGGTCATACTCCAAAACAACCAAAAATAATTGATCGAAGGAATGTCCAGGTACATTCATACATTCATACATTCGTACATTCGTACATTCGTACATTCGTACATTCTTACATTCATAGATACATAGATACGTAGATACGTAGATACATAGATACATAGATACATAGATAGATACATACATAGATAGATACATACATAGATAGATACATACAAACATAGATAGATACATACAAACATAGATAGATACATACAAACATAGATAGATAGATAGATAGATGGATAGATAGATAGATAGATGCATGCATGCATGCATACATACGAAAAATCGTGAGATCAGTCCTGAAACAATAAATCAAGGAAAAAAACCTGAGATCAGTCCTGAAACTATATATTGGGGGAAAAAACCTGAGATCAGTCCTGAAACAATATAATATATAGGGGAAAATATCTTGAGATCAGTCCTGAGGCAATATGTATGGGGCGAGCAGGATGATTTGATAATTAGGAAGTTATGTGCATGGTAGCTTCGGAGCTTCCAGAAGCTGGATTTCAGCTTAAATCTAATAAAGGTGGGTTTAAGCTAAAATCCAGCTACTGGAAGCTCCGAAGCTACCATGTAGATAACTACAGTTGATGACCACTGAAAAGAAGGAATCAGCATGATATTTTGATAGTTAGGAATTTATGTGCATGGTAACTTCGGAGCTTCCAGTAGCTGGATTTCAGCTTAAATCTAATGAAGGGGCTTTTAAGCTAAGATTATTGAGGGGGTTTTGTCTAATCGGAAGCTAAGATTAGATGCTTTTGAATTTCAACATAGGGTTCGTTTGTTACCATGTTAGATTGCCAGAGGCTGTGTCTCTTTGACCGCCGCTGACAAAAAAAAGGCACATCAGCTGTCTTTCGAAGAGCGCCTGGAGCACTTGGAAGGGTCAGGGTGCCCTGGTGGTTTGGGTCGGTACCCCAACAATGGCTGGATGGTAAAAATGACCAAAAAAAAACCATTGAGATCTGGATGATCTGGGGGGTCCCCTCATGGAAATCCTCATGTAATGTACATGTGTAAAAATGCAATACTTTTGTTGAAATTATACGGTGGGCTAAAGGGCTAATGGCTAAAGTATGATGTTACATATCTATCAGCCTCCATGTTCGGTGGTCACAGCATGTTGTGGGTAAACGTCCTTTTTTTTGTTTTACCCGACTAGAACTGTTCATCAATTTAGCAAACATGAGCCAGCTTATGCCCAAAAATTGGGTTTCGCACAGTTTTTGATCCGAACCCAAAGGGTTTATAGGCAAGATGTATCTGGCAGGCATTGTCTGGTGACATTTAGATTTTGATAACCCTGGCGACTTCCCAGCCATTGTATCCAGAAAGCCGAGGATGTTCACGGAGCTTTTTGAGAAGAGCAACCGTGAGGCGGAGGAGGATAAGGAGGATAAGGAGCTGCGCAAGGATAGATAGAGGGATGGTAAGGTAAGATGGAAACGACAGGATGGCGGAGATATATGAGACACTTCACATCGATCCATACTCCAGCCATTTGACATGATTCAACTTCTGCAAAGTGTTGCAGAAGTTGACAATCCAACCAGTTGCAGCACTTGGTTGAACATTTTTTGTGGTTCAGGAGTCTCTACGTGTAGTCGTTGAGCGGATGGAATACTTAGAACGCCTACTCGAGCGGCGAAAGGGTCGAGGCGGGTGGTGGCCTTTCAATCGCCATTTGATCTTCAAAATGTTCAACGTTGGTTTTCAGAGATTTTCAGGGGCGTGCATCTACTGGCATGATAATTTCCCTTCAAAAGTGCCGAGAGGAAAGGTGGGGGGAAGGGTGATTACGAAAAATTACGAAATCAGGAGGGCATCTTTGTCGTAAGCTCAATTGGAATGAGAGACTGAAGGAGTGGTCCTATATCCAGAAAGACATACAGATCCTCACATCGTGCACGGCCCTATCCTGCAAGGCGATGATGACGATGGGAAAAAAGTGAGTTCCAAGGTGGCAAATTAACGTTCCATCTGCAAATGCTCGTGACTACCGTTGGTGGTGGCAGCGACCTGACAGGGCCTAGGAATTATGCTGAATATTGTTGTAGTATGTTGTAGTTGTGATGTCCAGCGGGAATTGGGTCCCTGGACAACGGGTCAACATGCACAATTTTTCAGCATGGACTTGGTAACGGTCCACAGCTGCAGAGGGCAAGCAATAAGCAGTTGGATCTTGACCGTTGACCGAGGCCTTTTCCCAAACAGTTCCTCAAAACTTGGACTCACCAAAGCATTCTGTATTCATGTTTTCTGATCCATCCGTTCTATGCAGCAGTTGCCTGATGTTGCCTGCCAAGTTGTCCTTTCTTTATTATTGTCCATTGGTGTGGTCAACATGTGCAGTACGGAATAATTTCCCTTTGTCCAAGTCTATTCATAGCAGGCAGTTCTCTTACTTTGGCCAGTCCCTTTCTGTCTCTTTCATGGTAGTGTACGTGATTTTTTCTTAATGCATATTGATGATTATTTCCACGATGGATTGTGCCGTATTGATTCCATATTGTTCCATTCTAGTTGCTTGAGTGTTGAGTGACTAGTCAGAATGGCTCGCTTTGCTCATCAGAATCTAGCCGGACGGCATGTGGATTTTCACAACACCATTCCCACTGTACATATCTGTACATCATTTACCAGGTTGTTTCTTGATTTTAATATCATAATAAATAAATAAATAAACAAATACATAAATAAACAAATGCATAAATAAATAAATCAATAAATAAAAATACATACGTAAGCTCACAAAAGCATTGTGCATCCAAAACCTCGCACTGTGTATAATTGTTGTATTACAGATGCCATTTCCATCTTGACATCCAGCTGGAGCAGGTTCCAAGTGGTAAGTCAGGTGGCAGGTGGCATCATGTATCATCTCTCCCAAGGCTACTCCATCCATGAGCAGCTGACAGACCATGATGATCGGCTCCGGGGTCTTGAAAGCAGCACACAGGAGCAGCAGTCTCGTCTCTGGCCGCTGGGCAGCGGGAAAAGCATGGCAGGTGATTCATGGGTCAGTTCTTAAATTGGGGAGTCCCCAAACTCCATAGTTTTCGGTTTCAGTACCAAAATGACCTATAGTTTTGGATGACAAGCCAGCCTAGAGATGATTCTAGCTGGGCAGTTTCCACCTTTTAGATTGGAATGTTTGCCATGAAGTCGCCCAGTTCACACCTCAGGATGGCCATCGACACTCACACCCATGACCTTTCAAGTCAAACGCTTCGAAAGTCACCGTCCCATGGCAGCGTGGAGACATCTCCCATGTCCCGCAGCCCACCAGTCACCAGCACCGCACCTGTGCTGGTACCCAGCGTGCCTACGGTGCCCATTGTGGCAGGGGGTACACCGCATGGAGCAGTGAGGGTGGCCACAGTCTTACCCATGAGTCCCATGGCCAAAGTGAATGGGCAAGGTCCAGCACCTGGATTTGTGGAGCGAATACCTTCCAATGTGTCCAAGGCGGGCAGTTGAAGAAGTATAGATGACAGACTAGATGGATCTGTTCATGATCTTTTCTGATTTTGTTTGCTTCTTCGATCAGAAGCTGTGGGCCTCCTGAATTGCACCAGTCTACTCCACTTTTAAGTTGATGTGTTTTATCCATTTTTATCCCAGTCGTTGCATTTACCATGTTGTGGGTCCAGATGTTCTCAGGCAAACATTTTTTTTCTCACTGTTTGCCTGAGATGAATGAAACCTGAACATCCTCCCTGCAAACAGATTAACTATCCATGATTCCCCCAATTTTAACAATGATTTCATGGTTTCATGTGCTACCAGATCAGCGCCCCCCAGCTCAAAATCACCAGATTCCAACTGGCCACTTTCACCGCTCCAGGCGGCCAGCCAGAGACAGTTCTCCAACAGCCTTGCCAGCGTCAACACGGTGAACACCGTGAACACGGTGAACACCGTGAACACCATGGCCTCAAGCAGTCGGACGTTATCACCCTCCGCAGTACCATATCCCTGGCCGGAGGAGCGCGCAAGTGCGCGGGCCGAGGGCACAGATAGGTAGTCCGTAGGAGATAGGTAGTCCGTAGTCCGTTATCAGTGTCAGGGTCACGGTCACGGTCAAGGTCCATCATGATCATGATCATCATCATCATCATCATCAGCAGCAGCAGCATTTGTATCCATGGTCATGGTCATTCCCATCATTCATCATCCCCATCCTCATCCTCATCATTATCTTGATTTTTATCATCATCAATGATCAATGGCACTACGTGCCACTGATTTTCGAAAACCTGTTCATCATAGACCCCAAACCTCCATTGGTTTTGGTATGTTTCAACAGACATGGGGGGTTCCCTCAGATGGGGGTACCCCCAAAGCATCTAGAATTGGACCTTTTTTTGGTTAGTATTGACATCTATGGTTTTGAAATCATCTAGAATTGGACCTTTTTTTGGTTAGTATTGACATCTATGGTTTTGAAATCATCTAGAATTGGACCTTTTTTTGGTTAGTATTGACATCTATGGTATTGAAATCATCTAGAATTGGACCTTTTTTTGTTCGTATTGAAATCTATGGTATTGAAATCATCTAGAATTGGACCTTTTTTTGTTCGTATTGAGATCTATGGTACTGAAATCATCTAGAATTGGACCTTTTTTTGGTTAGTATTGACATCTATGGTTTTGAAATCATCTAGAATTGGACCTTTTTTTGGTTAGTATTGAAATCTATGGTTTTGAAATCATCTAGAATTGGACCTTTTTTTGTTCGTATTGAAATCTCCGGAATTGGACTTTTTTTGTTAGTATTGAAATCTATGGTATTGAAATCATCTTGAATTGGACCTTTTTTTGTTCGTATTGAGATCTATGGTACTGAAATCATCTAGAATTGGACCTCTTTTTGTTCGTATTGAAATCTATGGTTTTGAAATCATCTAGAATTGGACCTTTTTTTTGGTTAGTATTGAAATCTATGGTTTTGAAATCATCTAGAATTGGACCCTTTTTTGTTCGTATTGAAATCTCTGGAATTGGACCTTTTTTTGTTAGTATTGAAATCTATGGTTTTGAAGTCATCTGAATTGGACCTTTTTTTGTTCGTATTGAAATCTATGGTATTGAAATCATCTAGAATTGGACTTTTTTTGGTTAGTATTGAAATCTATGGTATTGAAATCATCTAGAATTGGACCTTTTTTTGGTTATTATTGAAATCTATGGTATTGAAATCATCTAGAATTGGACCTTTTTTTGTTCGTATTGAGATCTATGGTATTGAAATCATCTAGAATTGGACCTTTTTTTGGTTAGTATTGACATCTATGGTTTTGAATTCATCCAGAATTGGACCTTTTTTTGCTCGTATTGAAATCTATGGTTTTGAAATCAGGACTTTTTTTGTTCGTATTGAAATCTATGGTATTGAAATCATCTAGAATTGGACCTTTTTTTGTTCGTATTGAAATCTATGGTATTGAAATCATCTTGAATTGGACCTTTTTTTGTTCGTATTGAGATCTATGGTACTGAAATCATCTAGAATTGGACCTCTTTTTGTTCGTATTGAAATCTATGGTATTGAAATCATCTAGAATTGGACCTTTTTTTGTTCGTATTGAAATCTATGGTATTGAAATCATCTTGAATTGGACATTTTTTTGTTCGTATTGAGATCTATGGTACTGAAATCATCTAGAATTGGACCTCTTTTTGTTCGTATTGAAGTCTATGGTATTGAAATCATCTAGAATTGGACCTTTTTTTTGTTCGTATTGAAATCTATGGTATTGAAATCATCTAGAATTGGACCTTTTTTTGTTCGTATTGAAATCTATGGTATTGAAATCATCTGGAATTGGACCTTCTTGCGTTAGTATCGAAATCTATGGTTTTGGAGTTCCATCATTTTAGGAAACCTCCTGGAGCTGCGCCCAGCTCAGGAGGTTGAGCGAATCTCTTGCGGTCAAGCACATTATGACGGGAGTAGATCTTCCTGTGCAGAGCTTCCCAAAGGATGACGGGACGAAGAAGAGAAGAACGAGACATGAGGAGGTTGTCAAGGTATTAGCATGCAGAGTGAATTGGCATTTGTTTGATTTATGATTCACAATGTATGTGCACACAAAACCAACACACACACACGACAGTGACACTATATATATATATATATCATAATGTGTATATATGTATAATATATTTTATGTACATAACATATACATATATAATTATATATTTATATATGCATTCATATGTTATCTTATGATATGATTTTCCCGCCAGCCCTCAGCCCTGGAGTTTGTTTCCAACTGGAATCTATGCCAAAAGAGAGAATCGCAAGTTAACCACCAAACACCGTTGACTACTGGGTCTATGTGGTAATTAGACTTGCATAGTCAGTCACCTTTATTTCTGGATAGTGTTTTAAACACCTCGGTGGTATGGTTTATTATTCTTGGGATTGCCACATCACATTTGCATCTTCATGGGCCCATATCAGCCAGTGGCCCAGCCGTGTCAACGTCCCGGTACCCGGTAGCTGAACAGTAGCGGCCCCCGTCGAAGCTCCCGCTGTCAGCCCAATGTGCCATGAGATCATGGGACGTGATAGTCCTGCAGCATCAAATTTGTCATTTGCTTCCCAGGCATGTTAGGAGAATTGACCTTGTTCTGGCAGGGATCCATTGCAAGTCTTTCTCAATGTCCGAAAAGGTGGCCGGTGGGCGAGAGCCAAACTCATGAGCCAATATGTCTGAGACTGGCTGGTGGTTTCAAATAATTCATGGATTTTCCATCCCAAAACTCCGAAGCTTGTGATGAAAAACTGCATATCAACCCCAACCAGAGGATAATGCCCGTCCAATGCCCTTGATGTGCAAACAAGCGTGCGCCTTGCCAGTGGTGGAAGATAAAGGCCCCCCACTGTATCCACAAATTTGTCAATACAATTAATTGCCCATCATCAATCAAACATGGCAGGGAACGCTATCTAAAAATGATGGTTATTTGGATCGTCTTGTTTGCGTTTTCTTCAACAGTTGGCGACATGAAATCGGTGTCAATTTTTCTTCAGGAAGGGGGCATGGGTTCACCTCCACATGGTTGCCCCCACCAAAATGCATCCTTTTTGCAGAAACCAGTCAATCCCCTGTTGGTGAAACATTCCCTGCATGCATCTCCCATGGCCAAGTGTTTCTTGGTTTCAATTGGGTCATGAATCATTGGGTTGTTTGCCACCTGCCAGATGCTGTTCATTACTACAAACTACCCCGTTTCTTAGGGAGTTGTCATGATATCAATTTGGTCAATTGGCCATAGCTCAACCAGTCTCAAGCTACTTGACCCCAAATGGGAGAGTTTCCCAGAAATTTGTAGTCCTGTGTATTTTTTGAACCATCTCCACTTTCCGATGGCGCCAGGTTTTTCTACATCTGATGCTCGACCTCACCAACGCGGAGCGCTCTTTGCGAGGAGACGCAGCACCAGATCTCTTCGTGGGCCACGAATGTGGGATGGGTTTTAATAGTGGGGGAAGGGATTCTCAATGAAATTCCCCACGTTGACTGGGACAAGATGATTAGAACTTGGGACAGAATGCCGCCAGCCCTGCCTGCCTGAGAGATGTGTGTTGTCTTTCAAGCCCCGAAGCACGAACATATCTCAAGTTTCTGCAGCGCAGGTGGTCTAAAAGCCTGGAAATGGACATGTTAGCTGTTACTTCCACAAATACACCCAAACAAGTTGAATATGATATGCTGCTTTCCATGCATTTCCATCCCATTTCCCTGGTTCTCACCCTCGTCGAACTGAGAACATCTTAATTTTAAGACGCTGGCAGCCGCTGGTGTGACCTGCCTCAGCGGTTGAACCCGCAGCCGATCTTTAAAAAAATCCCTGTGACTGGGATGAGCTATGACAGCTATGATGAGCGGTTGCAGCAAAAAAAAGTTTGTTCATGATTTTTCTATGTACCATGAAGTACTACCCTAGGGTAAACATGGGCAACTGGGCAAAAAGATACAAAAAGATGTGAATAAACATCCACATGTTTGGTATGTTTACAGTAGGGTAAGATGGGTAAGTTGCTGCATCCCCCAAGTTGCATCCAAGGTGGCAGCGGGCAACCTCCTTAGAGTTCTTGCGATCGATTTGCGAGGAGATGATGACAGATGATGACTTGGAAGTGCAGTTCCAGTTGCAGTAAGTTATAATAGTTGTAAGTGCGTGTATGTGTATATATATATATATATGTGTGTATATGGTGCATGTATGTGTATATATAACTATAACCATAAAAGTCAGAGAGGGTTATTTCGTTTTATCCCGACTTATGAGGTTTACTACCATAGTTGCACCCCCAGGGAAAAGAAATCACCTGCAGTTGCCGGTCTGTCTCCATGTGATGGTGCCCGTTGTTGACAAAGGTTAGGCGCTTAGCCATGGTCAAACCCTCTTCTATTGTCTTGATAACGGTTTCTTACATCAGGTCAAAACGGGTTCACAGACAGATGTTCACGTCATATGTGTGCATGTGACTTTTTATGAATATATACACACATACATACCTTACCTTACATTACCTTACCTTGCCCTACCTTACCTCACCTTACCTTACATTACATTACATACATACATTAATCATTGTATGTACATACATGCAATTGTGTGTGGTATATATATATACATTTTTGCGCATATGTGCATCTACTAGGGTGACCGGTGACACGTGGGATCCAATCTCACCCAGCGTGGGCAACACAGTTTGGGCGGCAGCGAGCAACAGGACTCCTCCACGGTCGCGGTGCTGTACAAAAGCGACCCAGGCAACCCGGAAGTGTTTCAAAGGTGGCAATGGGAAATCCTCACTGGAAATCCACTGATTGTTAAACCCAGCAATGGATAGAGGAAAGTTAGCTTAACTCACTTTGATTGAAACATATTGAAAGTAAATAGCAGTTTTCTCAGACCCACCCCATTTGCCCTGTCATCACAGCCCCATGAAGTCGCCATTCGCCATGTCCAGCATGTAACGCCTCACAGGTGCGGACGACCAGCGCCTCTTCTCGGAATTGACCAATGCTCTGCCGGAAACGTCCAGGGGCTTCTTTTCCTTGTGAGACGTCTTGGGGATGCAGCTCCCAAACATAGGTTTAGGTGTATGCCATTGTATACCGGTATATCATGGTTTAATGTTTAATGTTATATATATAATACCGGTATATCATGGTTTAATGTTGTTATATAGTAAAGTATATATAATAGTAAAAGATCCCCAGAGAAGAATTGTCTCCAACTGGTAGGTTTTACTATTGGGTTTATCATGTTACCCCGAAGCCATTTGCAAGCATTTTTCCCAAATGTTTGAAACAATTGCGCTATTATCATCCTTTATTAAAGTAGTTTATGGTATTTGCGTTTATGGCAGCCTGAGGGCTATCGCCCAGAAGATTCTTCCTGAGCAGTGTAACAGGACAGAACCCCATAGAACCCAAGTCAGGGGACATCATTGATGCATGATTATACAATCATCCACTATATTATATAACTAATCTTTAGCGACTCTAGGATCTCAATTTCGATGTGGATGCAAACCGCAAACCTCACCTTGAGTTTGGGCTGAATTATTGGACGGACTGTTGGTACACCATCCTTCACAGGGTATCAATTTGAGGATACTTCAGGATTTATTGATGATTCATTGGGACTGAAACTGGAAACGTGCACTAGAATATTTGCTGGATGGCTTCCATGGCATTTGGGTCATCAGTCCAGGTCAAAACTCATGCATCAGGTTGGATGGGCTGTGGGGTTTTGCTGAGATCTGTGGACGACGGAGCCACCATTCACTGGGTTTCCTCATTCCCGCAGCTCTCTTTGTGACGGAAATTTGAATGCAGCCGAAAACCACCAATGAGTTCATTGTAAGTTCATTGTGTTTGGGTTGGCTGTGAACTCCTCCACATGTGCTGTGAGAGATTTATCGAGGGTTTGTTGTATTCCGGGGGCTACCTCAAATGCCAGTCATCCAGGCTGATCCAGGCCATCTCTAGCCCCACAAAATGTGTCGAAATGTCATTAACAGACGGTCAGTTGACCCCGTTTCATCCCATTTCATTCCCATTTCTGCAATTACTGAGGCTTTGTGAAATTTGTTGATACCCAAGTCGTATCAATTTCTTCCATGATGGTCATCCATATTAGCATTGGGATGACTGGGATGACCCTGCCGAAGGTGTGCTTTTCTTCTGGAGGGATCGACTCAAATGCACTGCAATCCGTGCGGGCTCCAGACTTTCCATAGCTTTGCACATGCTGTTACAGTGTACATTGTACATATCGATACATATCGTATATATTATATAATTTATTATATATTAACTATTATATAAACCATGTTTGTTTTCTTGCGGGCATTCTTGGGGGAAACAACTGAGCTGTTTTCCATTTCCAGAATCTTGCAGAGCGCAAATGAAGGCATCCTGATACGCACGGTCTTGGGGCTTCAGTCCCGGACGGTTACCGCCAGAAAGTTGTGAAAAATACTCTGATTTGTGAGAGTTTAATAGTTATACAAAGTTATACGGGTATGGCATAGGCCAAAACTGGATAGCCCTGAAACTAGATGATCAATAGGTAAACACGACCAATGGGCCTTGAATTTAGACATTCTTCCCCGTTCTTTAGCTGATGTTCTGACTTTAGTCTCAGAATTTCAGCCAAAATTTGCCAGAAAGCCGTGGAAAATCTGTTGAACCTGGGGTTTTCCAGTTAAAAATCATCAAACTCCACTTGAGATACCTGAGGTGACGAGCACCACAGTGGTTTCTGCCGCATCACGTGTGGCAGGTAGGACCCCGCCCTGGTCGTTGCTGGTCGTTGTGTTTTGTTATCTAATTCTGCTGCCCAAAGTATGGCTTTTCCCCTTAGAAACCAAGATATCCAAGATGTAAAAAAAACCTTCATGACATATCAATGCATATCATAGGCCATAGGAATTTCATGGAAAAAATGTGGAATTTCCATGTTCGACTCTTGGCAAAACAGAGGGTTCAACCGTTGGCCACACAGGTCATGAGAGCCGTTTGAGTGGACAAGGAGCTGGGCAACCGAGTTTTTGGAGCTTCGGTCCACATCATCCATGGGTTTTGACATGGTCTTGATACGGTGATCAGCCATGATCAGCAAACAAATTCATGTTGGATTTCTTGCCCAGAAAACGGGCATGGAACCCTGCCTAAAATCATCTAAAATCCAGGTCCAACACCACATGGAACCCATGTTTTTGCTGCATGTTCAATTCATGTGAACAAGTGACAACTGCCAAAAGCAGGGTGGTGACTTCATGATATTTCATGATCCATTTGCCTTTTGCAGAGAAATTATCTGATTGGTGGTGACTGGAACATGGCTTTTATGAATTTCCCATCATATTGGGAATGTCATAATCCCAACTGACTTTCATATTTTTCAGAGGGGTAGGTCAACCACCAACCAGTAAAACACCTTTGGGTCGAAGCGGGGGTCGCCGTTGAGGTTTCTATCCTGGACCGCGCGGGGTTGTTGAGCCAAGCCTCAATGCCCAACTTCCCAGGCCTCGATGGGCGCGATGGAGATGTGATCACCATTTACCCTCTGGTAAAATCACATAACTATGGAAAATCACCATGTTTAGTAGGTAAATCAACCATAAGTTGGCCATGTTCAATAGCTATGTTAAATTACCAGAGGGTATGTGTGCGAATATGTTGGCATATATTGGCATGTCATATATATATATTTATATATACACAGAGAGAGAGAGAGGTAGATAGAGATAGAAAGAGAGAGAGAGAGAGAGAGCGTGATAGATTGAAATAGTGGTTCGCTGGACAAATTATTCCTACATGCTGATGTGTCACATCTCTTCACACACATACATACATGCATGCATGCATACCTACCTACCTACCTACATACATACATGCATGCATGCATACATACATACATACATACATACAGTGGTACATACTTACCTATCTACCTACCTGCCTACCTACCTACATACATACGTACCTTCCTACATACACACGTACATACCTACCTAAATACATTCATACCTACCTGCCTTCCTACCTACATACATACATCCATACATGAGTATGAATATGAATATTATCTACATATCAAATTATAAGCAAATTAATTCCTGTGTGTGTGTGCAGAACATACCTTGGCGCTCTTCAGGTGCCGGTGCGGGTGCCGAAGGCCCGTGGGCCCCAACTCACCTTGGAAACAATAGGGATCCAACCCCCAAATAATACTGCTGTGTTTTTTCTCCAAAATATGGGGATCATGAATGGTAATGTGGGAAAGCCAATGCCATAAACCTACCATTCGGGGATGCTTCATACCACCCATAAAATGGTGATCTTGGGGATGGTGTTTTATTATTGGGTTTACCCCATTATAGGAGGGATACAGCTATTACAGCCTTGCTGGCAATGAAATGAAGCATGGCAACAGGAACGGGGCAGACATTGCGACTCCACCAAACATTCAAGAGAAAGAAATATCAGATAGTGATGTTCCACTGTGGATCGCCCAATTAAATCTCAGGACGAAATGCTATATTGATTTGCTTGATGTACCCATCCATAGGAAACATGTTATAATATATACGTATATATATATATATATACATTTCCATGGCCATGTCAGTTAATTTCTCTGGTAATTACTCTGAACATACATCAGCATATCCGTGATAACCCTCCGAGATGGCGATAACATCGACCTACCAAAAGATTGCAACATAGACTAGTAACAAAAACCAGACCGCGAGGGAGGGAGGGAGAGAGAGAGAGAGAGAGAGTGACAAGAAGCATAATAAGCTATGGTTACTCTTGAACCATAGTTATTTGTCTGTGTTGTTTAACATGTAACATCTGGCATCATCCCAGTATTGTGGCCACTTTGGGGAAGGCCCAGCTCCGACCGCGGGGCGGGCAACCAATCGCTCCCAGGCAGGGGACTGCAAGATGACATGGTGATGACACCAACAACAACTGGTGCTTAATCAGCCAATGATACCAACAACCATGGAACATCACATCACGTGTAAACACTTTCTGTGTTTGGTGACGGTATTACTGTACAAGTTTAGGATGGGGCCACTTGACAGCAGCACGACTTGCCGCGCAGACCCTGTCAGGTCAGACTACTGCTGTTGATGAATGAAACCGAGCCACCTCCGATCCAACCAGCCTTCCTGGTGTCTTTGGTGGTGGTCGCTCAGCCGCTCTAGAGCATCCCTAGACGAAATTGTGGGATTTCATTGATTTCAATGGGTTTCAGCAATGGGGCTGGGTCATATTTCATCGAAACTACCTGGAAAACTTGAGCTTCTGCAGTAGCTGGGTCATATTCCTCGTCGGACTTTGCCTCACTGCGTGGTCAAACGGAACTGAGGAAAGTGTATTTGCCCTGGCGTGTTTCCCAGTGGGCGTGGTGAACTCTGTGGATGAAACTGCTTTGTTCTGTTCAATGCCCCTGGTTGGTGGTTTGGAACATGGCTTTTATATGTGATTTTCCCATCATATTGGGAATGTCATAATCCCAACTGACTTTCATTGATTCATATTTTTCAGAGGGGTAGGTCCGGGTAGGTATACCACCAACCAGTTTCATGTGTGAAGGAACAGGCAGAGGTTGACAAGGATCATCTGGATGGATGTTTCCTGGAACCTGTCCTCTTCGACCATTTGGGTCGCAACAACTTTCAAGTCTATATGGATCAAAACTTATTATACCCTATCAATCCGTATTCGTCCATATTAATCCATATATGATGTCTTTGGGTGGATGGTGAACGTCTATGTACCAGGTTTTAACTTTCGACCCTGGCATTGCTGGGTGGCACCACTTGGAGCTAGGTGAGTTCCATCTATCGCCTGCTGTTGGCGACTGAGGAGGTCGGATTCCATGGGGTATAGGCACATCACGCATTTTGTGCTTAACCCCCGATTGATAAACCCACAAGTTAAGATTAAGCTTGGTACCCTACCCATTAATACAGCATGGGGTTTGTTTCAATGGGAAATTCAGGATCCTTAATGGATGTACTGTAGCATATATAAGGCCATGTTTCCTTGGGGTATTCCCTTACATGGCCCTTACATAGGCCTTACATATGGTACGTACCTCACTCCAATAAATTGGTTCCTGACATGGCCATTGTTTGTTTGTCCTGGCTTCACATTAAAACAGTGTCTACCATCCACTGCCTCCAGGGTCCGAGCATAGCAGAAGAGCCAACGGCCTGGAAGCCTGGAATTTGGAAGCTTCCTTTGAAAGTGGACGTTGCAAGACTTGGCACTGGATTTCGAGGGAAGGTGACGATAATCCATAGGCTTATTAGCATTGTATGGGATTGTAGGGTGCCCAATTTTCAGGCATACAAATCCCAGAATTATAGGCTGTACTTGATTGAGACCCTGCAGGATCTATATCTGTTGAACACAGCAGAATATGCAGAAGTTGTGAATCAATTTGAAATCAGAAACAGGTTGGGAAAGGATCAGGATCATCTAGTGCGAGATTTTGGAGTACACCCAGGGGCCTGGTTAGTGCAGATGAGGCAGCACAGGGTGGCACACGCAAGCTGGGAAGCATGAATGTATATGAATGCATGAATGTTGTTTGGTCTTTTGAGTCATTGCCACTGTGACTGTGGTGTTTTCAGGTAGGGATACAGATTTCAAGAAGCCTAGAAGAGTGGTGATGGGAATGCGCCCCACTTTTCACCGCAGATGAGCTTGGCTCTATAATACACAGCAAGGCCATGATGAAGATCCATCCACAGGAGCATCAAATCCAGCCCATCACGGTGCACCCAGTGATAGCCATTGAACTATCTGAAATTAGATACGGCTGACGCAAAGGATCCTCTAAATTCATACGCGCCATCTGATTCACGAGACAAATTAATTATAGCGATTGGATGCTATTGGATGCTGGCATAGTGGCCAGCCCCAGCCTCACCATGTGCCAATGACGTGCCATCGTTGTTGATTAGCCTGGAGGGGTAGTAGATCCAATGGCAACGAACCATGGATCCTCCGTTTACTCGCCATGGCTCTCGTGCCCCGCGTGCTTCAAGGGCCTTTTAGGAGCATTTTCCGGACTCTCAGGACCGGTTCTCACCAGGCACTCTAGGACCAGTCATCCGGAACTTGGTTCTCCTTCTGCAGTAAGCAATTCAAGAGAGAACTGGTTAACGGTTAGACGCTTCAAATATGTTTGTTTATGTTTGTTTATCATCATCCCTACCCAGGATGATTGACTGGATTGAACACCACTGAAAACCACCAGGTAGATCCAGTTGGTTTCTCCCCAGTGTCATCTGTGAGCGTCCCCCAAATCCGAATAACTACCTCCACTTTTGTTGGTGGCTCGACCAACCAGATGGTACATCATTCCATAATTCCATGTATATTTGAGAATCCGCGCTTTCATTTGCGCATATTTGCGCAGTAGTCTTTGGGTGGCCAAAGCTGGCCCTTGTCCACACAATGAATGCATATGTGTGGATGTCTATGGATGTTTATTATGTATTGTTGTGTTGCTTAGACTATTGCTTTCATTCTTATGTTTGGTGGTTTTTGAAACGGTCTGATCTCCATCTTCATTTTGAGGTGCCATTTCAGAAGCTCCACCCTTCACAATTGCCAGGAGTCAAGAGCCTGGTACGACCCAGGGACGTGAGGGTCGCAGTGCCCCAGCTGTGATGGATCGACAGTACGGTAGCACAAGTTGCAAACAGACTGACCAGATCAGCTTCGATAGCTTCCCCAAAACTGATAGCGGATAGCAGGATAGGAGCCACTAGATTGATTATAACGTGAGTGATAGGTATGTGATATAGGTCAGAGAGATATCACACAGCCACACATCCACACCCACATCCACCCCGACACCCACACCGACACCCCAGCACGGACACGCGCGCGCACACCCACACATGTACTGTTTAATATATATATATACACACACACATCTTTTTTTTTGTATTATTTTGTATTTGTATTCATATATAATACAATCACATCACATCTAAACGCGTACACTAGCACATCAAGGACGGTTGACATTTTGATATCTCTTGTCAATATCACTCACTCATTCTCTGACACTTCCTCTGAGGCGGTGCAATGCTCCTCCAAAATGGGCAGCAAAGAGGCTGTGAAGGAGAGCACGCTACCAGTGGTCAATGATGGGTCAACCTTTGGGGAGAGAGACTTTTTGACCCAGCCCCCCGTGCAGCACGTCTAAAGGTTGATCTAAGCTCGAAATCCCTAGAATTAGATGATGATCGCAAGATAGACAAAAGCGCCCGCAACCACAGCAACAACAACAACAACAACAACAACAACAACCACCATGCAATCACAACAACAACACCATATAACAATAACATACGATAACAACAGCAAGAAACAAGGAGATAACAACCACAGTCGCATCAAGATGGTAATCTCTTGAGGGCCCCTGCAGACCAGATCCATCCCAAAGTGGAAATTGAAGCACCAAAAACTGATGGCTTCTTCCAACACTTCCAACACATAGCAATCACAACAGCAGGCAACCCCAAAAATGATGGTTCTTGTCGTTTTGACACCTCGGCTACCCAGGAGAACTTCATGGAACTTGGGTGTATAACTACAAAGTGCTTACTGTACAAGTTACCCTCCAGCAAACTACGGTAGATTGAACATTGAAACCATAGGTTTTCCATGGCTTTGATTTCGTTCATTTTCTGAAGTCCTGGAAGGTGAAACCAGATGTGCCTGGTTCAGTTGCATTGGCGTTCATCGATTTTCCAATAATAGGGGATGGTCATCCTCCCCATCAGGTTCAATGGGCTTCATTTACACGTATTTGCAAGGTGAGGCCCCCAAGTTATCAATTGGAAAAACAACACCATCAATTATAGTTGCAGAATATATCCCGGCAAGAGACCCCAAACAGTGTGGGAGAATGGGAGTATAATGTAGGATAATGTTGAGGATGATGATGATGATGATGATGATGATGACCAGGATGACGAGGATGATGATGATGATGATGATGATGATGATGATGATGATGATGATGATGATGATGATGGCGACGACGTCGTCGACGATGATGATGATGATGATGGTGATGATGATGATGATGATGATGATGAACGTGAGGGTGGCGATGATGGTGATGATGATGATGATGAGGAGGAGGAGGAGGAGGATGCGGAAGATGAAGTGGAGGATGAAAAGGTGGAGGAGGAGGATGCAGAGAAGGAGGAAGAAGATGATGATGATGATTATGATGACGACGATGATGATGATCATCACCATCATGATGACAATGATGATGATGCTGAGGATGATGGTGAGGATGGTGATGATTATAATGATGAGAATGATAGTGCGGAAGATGAAGTGGAGGATGAAAAGGTGGAGGATGAAAAGGTGGAGGATGATGATGTAGAAAAAAAAATGATGATGTTGAGGAGGATGATTTTGATCCCGAGGCCGGGGCCCACACTTTGTGCAACCCTGCGCAGTCAAAACGCATGGCAAGATTTCACAAGAGCCACTTTATGACCCTACGCGGAAATTTACGGGAAAAATGCCGCGCCCCAGATTGAGAGGCAGACACACATTATGTGCGAGCCTGCGCGGTCGAAACGCATGTCAAGATTTCATACGGAAATTTACGGGAAAAATGCCGCGCCCCAGATTGAGCCCGGAACGCAGACACTCATTTTGTTCGAGCCTGCGCAGTCGAAATCCGTGTCCACATGTCACAAGAGACATCAGAAGAGCCACTTTATGCGGAAAATTACAGGAGAAATGCCTTGCCCCAGAATGAGCCCAGAACGTGGACACACATTCTGTGCGAGCCTGCGCAGTGGAAACGCACGTCAACAAGATTTCACAAGAGCCACTTCACACGGATATTTACAGGAAAAATGCCGCAGCCCAGATTGAGCACCGGCCTTTACTCCTACCTCAAGAATCCTTCAGTGTGGACACTTTTTGGGGAATCATCATGTAATATCCCGTTATATCCTCCATAAACCATAGCGTACCAATGTTTACCGACTTACAAGCCGACTTAGCCCACCTTTATGGGCGCCCCACCTTGTAGAAGCACCAGGAGAACGCTGCCAAGATGGAGACGCTGGCGCGTCGCGCGGCAGAGCCTTGCAAGAGAGCTAGCCCGCTTTCCATGAGGGCTAGCAGGAACAATGGGGATTTATAGGGGTGCAATAGGAATATCATGGGATATTGTGGGATACAATATGGTCTACCCTCTGAAACATTAAAATGCTATCGAAAATTGGAATTTCATTGGTAAAGATGGTAACGCACGTGGACACGTGCCATTTTCAATAGCTATGTCAAATTACTAGAGCGTAGAAATTGGCAAGGCAATTCGGGGATAGAAACTGATAGGGAATAAAACAAGACACAGATCTCCAGCAAATGTGGTCCATCCAATTCTTGGGAACTGACGGTTTTGCCAATCCTTCCCCGGGAAATCCCCGGCCAAGAATGTAATCAAAGCCATGGAACTGTCTCAACATGGTTTGGATGATAATACCAACCCAGATATGCAAAGATATTCCAAAATTAAGTAGCAAACATGTTACAATCACCCAACTACACAGGTGGACCTGCATAGAACTAGATCGAGATTTACCAGTTGGGCGACATAATCGCTAATTCACCAACCACAAAAAAGGACCAATGAAACAATGAATATTGAGAGAGAGAGAGAGGGAGATCCAAACCAAAGCATTCATACAAACAGCCATAGAAACCACAACATCAGCCATTTAGTGGAAGGCAATGTCAAACGTCAGGAGAACGGTCAGCAATCACTAGGAAATCATCCATCAAAATTTGGAGCACTGCCATTGAGACAGACAGACCTGGTCGCTCAGGGCAAAGGAGCCAAGATCATTGTCTTCCCTGAGGCGTCACTCACTGGGTCACTTGGTCTTCGCACTGTAGGTCTAAAATTTCAGTGTGGGTATGGGGTTTTCACCGCTCCAAGAAAGTTGAAACGTAGGATTCGCCTATAAAAAACAATTTGGATATTCATCCTCGGGTACATACAATATGGAATTTTGATGCATGTTCCCATTCTGTCAAATTTCTATATTTTATCTACTCCAGGATGATACAATATGATACAATTATCTATCAATCTATCAATCAATCATAATCAACCTATCCATCTACTCTATCTAATCTATCTACTCTATCTAATCTATCTAATCTTTCTAATCCGTGCAATCTATGTGATCTATGCAAACTATTTATCTATCTATCTATCTATCTATCTATCTCTCTATCTCTCTATCTGTCTATCTGTCTATCTGTCTGTCTATCTGTCTATCTGTCTATCTGTCTATCTGTCTATCTGTCTATCTGTCTATCTGTCTATCTGTCTATCTATCTATCTGTCTATCTATCTGTCTGTCTATCTATCTATCTATCTACCTACCTACCTATTTATCTATCTATATATCTATATATCTATCTATCCATTTATCTATCTATCTATCTTTCTTTCTTTCTATCTATCTATTTATCTATCTATCTATCTATCTATCTATTTATCTATCTATCTATCTATCCATCTATCTATCTATCTATCTATCTATCTATCTATCTATCTCTGTTTAATGTGTAGTAGTTCATGTTTGTTTCAACATCCAGCATTCCAAGGTACACCTCCCAGCCCTTTCTCCACAACTGGCACCGACCGGAACGCGGCTTGCAAGCGCGTTTCGCTGGAATCAATCCTAAGGGCATCGTGCCCAGGCTGGAGTCTCCGATGCTTGGCTCTAGGCTGTGAGTGAGGGGATCCATAGGGATGGAAACATACTGTGGATGAAAGACATCCTGCACCAGTTGGCAACCTGATGTTAACTATGAAACATTGTATATAACTATGGAATTATAATGGGATGTTTACCATCTACCAACGTTTGCAACATTTCATCCATCCACAGTCTGGGTCTGTTTGGAAATGGGGTATATCCCAAATTGTTATTTTGTTTTGGCGAAAATGATGATCATTTGATAATCCATTGGGTTTGGGAGATGCCCTACTCTCAGACAAATCCACATGACATGAACATCCACAAGTCCCAGCATGTCCCAGCTATTTTAGTGTGAACAGAATGTCATCAGGGTTTTGACATTCACAGATGATCAACTGCAATTGAGGATATCAAGGCTTACCGCGAGAACACAATTTTAATGTGTGAATGCTAAAGGACCATCAAATCACGTTCGAACTGTTACCTTTCAAAAACATGACCACCGGAGAGAATTTTGTCGAAACTCTTCAAGTGGTCCTTGTTTGGACGCGCACGGCGCACACACACACACACCAGATACACATCTGTTGATGCAGATACAGATTGGTTGGTTGGTGGTGTTAAATTTCACGATTTTTTATGTTGTCCCCTCCTTACTTGGGATCATACATATAATCAATCCCAATGCCACTGTCCCAGGTTTTTGGTATAGGTCAGTGGCTTGAAGCCACCAAGCTTTCAGTCACTTTGCAGTTTCGCCATGGTTTTTGTGCGGCCTCCTGCTCAAATCCGGATGCTTGAGGAAGGTCCAGTGAGCAGCAGAAATCGATCACCACCTATACATACACAGTATATACATATACCGCATATACCCTCTGGTAAACTAACATAGCCATGGAAAATCACAATTTTTAATGGGAAAACTCACTATAAATGGCCATTTTCAATAGCTATGTTAGTTTACCAGAGGGTATATGTTTTGTTGCCATTTGATCATCACACATGGCAACTGAACATCACTCATAGATCACATTGTCGAAGATAGTCCATGTCCATTGCACGGTTTGGCTAAGGGAAGGGTAACGCTCCTTCCGCAGAATTCCCATCATTGGGCGGTGCAAAATTGTGGCACTGGAGCTTTTGCTTTTAATCAGCACTTACGATAACTAAATTGCATTGACCTGGCGGCAATGGCCGGAACATGGCTGCGGGCCCTTTGGCCCATGCTTATCATGGGAATTCTTGGGATGCTTGGCACAACTTCTGTTTTTCTATTCAGCGCATTGAGCTCCTTGACAAGAAAAAGAAGAGATTCCCTTTTCCTTCAAATTTGCGGGGCAAATGCTTTATAGCGATAAGGCTTGAAGTTATTTATTAGTCTTATATAACATCCTATTGATGCATAGCCTGAAGGCGGTGATTATGTCGAGCAGGTCAGTTGGCGCATCTTCCTTTCCACGGGAAGTAATTCTAGAAGCCGGTTTGCGTTTCTCTGGACTGCGAAACCGGCATCTCCATCATTGTTATGACATGTATCATCATCGAATCACCATTTCTAGTGGAATTGCCTTCCCGAAGTTGCTTTTTAAGGAGGCCCTTTCTAAGATTGCGGAGAGCCACACTTAACAACTGGGTAGTAATTTCAATAGTTTACGACTTACCCATGGCTAAATGATACCAAATGCAATGATTCATTTCAATTAACCAACACTTCGAGGCTGAAGTGTTGTCGATTATGGCATATATATATATATTATATATATACACACGATGATATACCTGTATGTTCAGAATTGGTTTATATCATTCCATATTGTAACCCCAGAGTCAGTCTCGATTTTGACATATTTTGACCTGCTTGTCTGGTTGTTATTCTTTCAACCAGACAACCATGTGACAACCATATGACAATCATATGCTGCTCATTGTTTGTTCCCAGGATTCAGGACAAGGACTTTGATGCTTTGCTGGACAACATGGACCTGAGTGGCATGGCCTCGGACTTTGGCCACGGCCACGCGAATAAAAGGGCACATTGGTCACTGGCCACAGGTTTTCCAAACGTTTGGGATAATTTATGGGATAATTTATGGATATTATTCCATATAATTGTTCCAAACATGTTCAATTTCTGGGACTCCCGAGTTTGATCTCATCGCTTTTTGATGGTCGTCAGCTCTCCCTTTCAAGGAAAAGGTGATACCCTCCGGTAGTCAAACATGCTAATCGAAGATCTCCCCATCTATAGACTGGTTGGTGGTTTGGAACATCTTCTATTTTTCCATTTATTGGGAATGTCATAATCCCAACTGACGACCTCCATCATTTTTCAGAGGGGTAGGTATACCACCAACCAGATTATTAATCATTATTAACCATATAATAACCATAATTAACCATTATTAATCACCATTAACCATCATTAACCATTAGGTATACCACCAACCAGTAGATGATTAACCATCATTAACCATATATGAACCACATATTAACCATATGTTAACCATATATTAACCACAATGGTAGGTATACCACCAACCAGTAGATGATTGTCCCCTCAAAGCCTTGATCTATCCAGCAGGAAACCCCTTGGATCGGTCCAAGGTCGAGATGGCACAATCCACTGGCACGAGGTCATGCATAGCGAAGGCTTCGAACAGTTACCCAAAGACGTGAAGACACCTGGATCAAGGGATTGGTTTCAGGGAAAACCTAGGGAAACCATGGTTTTAAATGGTTTTATAAGATGTTTTAAGTTTTAACTTTTAAGATTGCTTTAGCATGTGTTAAGATTTGTAAGCATCAATGACAATGACACAGGGGTTCCGGCAGATTTTCCCATCATCCAGTTCTGGGAGTGGACGGATTGATGGCTGCCTTGGCCCCCCAGAATCCCAAGCAACTGGCTGCTTTCCGAACAGTCGAGCATGGCTTTCCGAACGAAAAAAAACACTTGGAGATTTTGGAGAAAGTTATAGAAAGTTTTCCCCTCGCAGGCATGGTCTGGGTCATTGACCTCGCAGGTTGGCTGTTTTGCTTTTGGTTGTTCCTGCATTTGAGCCACTCAGGAAAAAGTTCCAGAAAGCATTTGTTCGCGCTGACCGCGACGAGGACCAGATCATGGTTTCGGGCAGCACTCCGAACCTCAAAGTAGGGAATTCAGCACATCCAGCTAGGCATCAAACTAATCATCCATCTCCATCAGCTCAAATGCAAATGGAATCTGACTCTTGGGATTGATGCGCCACATTTTCTCAATGCTCCACAAGGGGGTCGGGGCTGACAAGCGCTTTTTGATATTTCGAACGATGATGAACGGTTGTACCCACTTCGTGGGCGCCTGATAGGACCTGGTATTGACCTTGGAGGAGTTCAAGCATTTCTACCGGGACACCGAGCGGATCATGCAGGAGCGGGACCTGAAACTGGTGAACGAAGCAAGGGCTCGCTTGGAAGCAAAGAAAAAGGCCACGGCTGAGGCCGAGGCCCAACAAAAAGGAAAAGAACTCTGACCTGCTTGGCCAAAATGATGGCAATGCTGATGAGACCAAAGGAGGAAGATTATCATTTGGAAACAGCTGTGCCAAAGTTGCGCACAAGCTGCTGTGCTGACTCGTGATGCAATTGGGTTTGGAGTGTCTACAAGGTGCTGGCTTCCAATGTGGGTTTGAGTTGCCCAAGTTTTCTTAGCAGGAGCACAGTTTGGTTTGAGCGAGCGCCAAGAAAGAGATGAGCCGGCAGCCTTTGTTGTAGCCATGGATGATTTTGGGGCTCGAGGGCGCAAGGTTTTGCGTTTGTTCAATTTCATGGTTTGCCTCTGAGACACTTCATTTAGATTTGGGCATGACATCATTGGGTTAATCCAAGCAGCTAGCTGCTGTGACTGGTGTGACACTGCTTGAATGGTTTCATTAACTTTCATTCCTCCTTTGGCTTTCACAGCAATGGGCCTGATTTGACAGCACGCCCCGAGATGTCCATAGGCATGGGGATTCTCCACATCCTGCTCGGATTGAACCTGCCGCTGATCGCTGGGTACCTTCTCCTCCTGCCTCCCAATGAAATAATTCGTTTGAAATTGTTTGGGTGCTAAACCATATATCACATATATTAGATTCATACATATGTGGCATATGTGATTTCAAAAATGGCATCATCATGGTTGTCTTGGTTTCAGATGCAACAAATTTCAAGCCCAGAGTCCCGCAGCAGTCCTCATCAAAACCCAGGATCATCAAGCGCTTCCTGACCTTGGCGCAGGCGTTCTTTGGGAAGTCGATCTGCTATCCAGACATCTTGGAAATCTATGGAAATCTGGGAATCTGAGGTTTACAACACAACTTTGGACACATCCTCTATGGCTCTGGTTTGGATCTGTTTCATTTAAATGGCTTTTTTATCAATGACGACAAGAAAGGTGTCTTAAAATCTGGTGGCACACAGAAAGCATAGCCACCACTAATCCAACGTGGCAATGGCAACCACATCCAGGAGCTGGGTGTTTACCTGACCATTCCCTTCGTGGAGGAAGAAGAGGCGCCATGATCGAATAAAAAAACCATCCAGTATAGTCAACTATTCTGAAACAGGATTATATACTCTAATGTTAATGTTAATCATTCGTAGGATATCTTAGGACCCTTAGGATTACTATATTGGAGTTATTGTTGTCACTTGTTGTGTTTTTTTTTCTGAAAACTTGTGCAACTTGAGAACTTCCAGAGGTGATTGCGAGCCATGCACCATGATCACCAAGCCGACAGCATGTGGGTGTTTCGAATTCTAGTGACTGTGAAGCACGCCCATTAAGGAGGATGATTCCAGACTCACTCAAATTCTTTAATGTTCTAATAATGTTCTTGGGATGGGTAGATGCCAGCGATCGGACCGTGGGAAATCGTGGGAATGTTGCAAGCACCACATCATGCCACGCCAGAGAGTGCTGCAGTTGAGGACCTTCAAATTGTAGTGCGTGATTGGCGCTTTTGTTTTTGGGTGTGCGTGCGTATAATATGACCGTGATATGCACACGTATTTTTAATCATATGTCCACATATTTGATTTTTTTGAATGCATACATGTACGCACATACATACATGCAATATCATGCATATATTAACACGCAGGGAGATAGGAGAGCGAGAGAGAGAGAGAGAGATAGAGATTAGATTAGATTAGCCTAGATTAGATTAGATTAGATCGATAGTCGATAGATATAATATAATATATATATATATATATGTGTGTATACATGTGTGTGTATGTGTATATACATACATATATATATATATCCCTTACAGAGTCAGTCCGGAGAACCATTTCTATGCTCCTGGCATCCATTAACCACCTGTGATCAAAAATGCAATCAGCTGTGGCAGGTGGTGGATAGCGGCCAAAGAACTGTCCGTTACTTCAACACCGTTTGTTTAGCATCTCCAGAAGGGAAAATCGTCCCTTGGTTGGCGTCGGCCAGTTGGTGAGCATGGGGGTGACATGTCGGAGAGTTGGGCTGGTTGGTGATGATCAAACATGATTAATCACATTTGGGGTTAAACAGAGAAATTTCACACGTCATCCATCTGTTGAACACTTACAAACTCCAGGGATATAACCACTTTTTCGGAGCACCTAGAGTTTCATTTGGGCCTGGCATGGTGAGCTAGATTGAATCGGTTTTGAATTGATTTGAACCTGCTATATAGTTCAAAATCATCCAAGATCAACCTCTGGGATATTGATGTGTAACCATGTGTTGGTTGCTTGTTTGACCATGGCCACTGATCCAACTTAACGTAACTTCCAGTCAATTCCAGTTTGATCTAATTTTGGCAGACGATGCTCACTCAGGTGGTTCACTACCGCAAGACCTTCTTGTGGGACAGCTGCGGGCTCTAGGGCTGGGATTCAGCTATATATATATATATATATCATCCACTATCATATACAGTACTATAACATACTACAATGACCGAATCTATCCTAATATCATCCTTTGAAAATCCACTACATAAATTATGAGAGTTCATGATCATTCATGTAAAATATCATCAGAAACCACCTGGGAGCCTGGAACTGGCCGGTCAAAACGGTCACGTTTTGGCAGGACTATGTCGACGGCAGCTGGGCGACGAAGGGTGAGCTGCCAGGGATCTTTGACACGGAGTACGGGCGCGTGGGCATCGGTGCCTTGGTTTCAGATGGGGTTTGGGGTCCAATGATGTTGGCATAGCTATGGTAGAATGGCCCCTGAATCTGGATCGTTCGATCGATGATTCACCTATTGAAATTGTGATTTTCCATATATAGATATGTTTTAAAGTACTGGAGGTTTTCTCTTCCTCTCTCTCTCACACACGCAAATGTATATTATATGTAATTATATCAATAATATGCATGTGAATGTGTCGTTTTTGCTCTTACTATCATTGGCGGGATGATGATTCCAACCTATTAATGTCATATGATGAAAAGGGGGTTGAACCCAAGAGGCCGGACTCATGGCTCCATGGCTCATTTTGAGTGTGAATCATCCTGGATTCCTTGGTCGTTTGACCTTAGCAGGACCTGCACTTGCTGATGTCATTTGATTCTCTTGGGGTATTGCAGGAGAGAGGTGCAATTGAGCCAAGGGGATTTATATAATAGGGTTTATATATAGTTAAATGAGATTGATGAGTCCAAGAAGTGGGGATTATGGGATATCTTTTTGACTGGAAATCCCGCTAAATGGAGGTTCATCGCTTGGACGATAATCGAAGAAGGGGGGTCATGTTCAATTGCCATGTTTGATTTCCAGGGAGTACATTACGGTAAATGCAATTATCCTACTTGAGACTTTGACCTGTGCTCAGATTTTCCTCCAAATTTGGATGCCCTAAAAATGCCCCATTTTCCGAAAAGGGGCACAGGGGTAGTGAAAATCCCATGTGGTATGGCTGGATACGGTTGCAGGGTTTTCAGTTTGGGCACACAGTGAAATACAGCAGGGATATGAAGCCAACATTACAAGCGGCTTCCGAAGGTTATGCTATGTTATGCTGCCATTTGAATATGCTTGGTGGACCTTTCCTCCTGCAAATCGCTGTGCCACATGCAGCAATGTGGTACGCCATACAAAACCACGCAACTTCAATACAGCAGACATTGCAACAATCCCACCATGCATCGTGGTACCAATTGTTTCCGCTGACAGCGAGTGAGTGCCAACACCGTAGTCTCGGACATTGTCTCACACACGTGACATAATTTTTGACACTAATTATATAGAATACAGACAACCATTTTAGCATCATGCCACCTTTGCAGCTTTTGCCCAGAGCGAACGTGCTGGGCTGGCTGTTGGGGCAAACCCTCTGAGAAGCCCCAGCAAAAAAACATGCTTCGGTTTTGGGGTCAGGGTGTGAAGGCTTACGGGTCCTGATGGTTTTCAGCTTTCTTAGGTGAAGTCTGGTGTTTTTTTTAACAATTCGATCAGGTTTTATTTGCTGGATTGGTTGCTGTGACACCTGGAATATTCACACCGCTGTGACACCCTCAAACATTAAGTACCAAAAGAAGCAGATGTGGCATTTTTTTTTTGGCATTGGCAATCATCAGGCAACCCAATTTGGAGCCCAAACACAATGAGAATTTGCTTTGGAAGTTGGACCCCCCCTTATCAGCAAACTCATATTTTTCTTAATGATGGCACTTGTTTGGGATGGAATTTGCAGACGGTGCAGCTTCGCCAGCCCTGCTTTACCGACATCTCAGGCATTTGCTACGACATCCATCGGCTCAATGGTCTGTATGCGTTGCTTAGATCCAATTCGAAAGAACTACGTTTCCAACTCAGCCCATTACCTGGGCTATCCTGGGCTTGTTTAAGGTGATTTGGTTTATTTTCCCCACGGAAAATCCACCATTATTTGCGGAATCTTTGTTGGGAATATGTTTTATTTTTTTGGGTTCCCTTAAGCAAATCCAAGATTATCGGTAAATGATAGCCACAATGGAGGACCCTTGCCATTTTTAAGTTTACATTTACCCTATTCAATTGCCCTGCACCTGGGTTGTCGGGAGCAACCCTCTTGATGCTTCTTTTTTCAACCTGTCAAGTAACTCACATACGTACTTGATGCTACTCTGCAGAATTTATCATCTAAGTTATACACTTGTTCCTACACCCCAGATTTTCTCCGGCAACTTAGATAGGCATTTGATACTACTAGTGCTACCCTCCTGATTTTGTCAAGTAATTTACATACGTACTTGATGCTACTCTGCAGAATTTATCATCTAAGTTATACACTTGTTTCTACACCCCAGATTTTCTCCGGCAACTTAGATACGCATTTGATACTACATATGCCACGCCCTACATTTCGCACGTAATTTACACACGCACTTGATGCCACGCTCTCAACTTCCTCAAGTAGCTTACGAACGCATATCATGCTGTGCTCTTAACCTTTTCAAGTAGCTTGCATATGCGCTTACATAGTGCTACACTCCTGATTTTGTCAAGTAACTTACATACGCACTTGATGCTAGGCCCCTAAATGTTCAGGCATTTGATGCAACACCCCTAAATACGGGAACTTACAAGCACACTTGAAAACCTTTCCGGGCAGTCGGTGTGTGTCCTGAGTTTCGGGCGGGCACTTTTGAAGCCTGAGCGTCAACCGAAAACTACACATGCGTTTTGGACATGGCATTGTTCACACGCAACACCAACGTGCCAGGTATGTTTGTTTCCCCTTAGGAAGAAGCTGATTTTCAATCATATGTTTCATGATGGATGGTAAGATATCACCAGATTGATATGAGCTATATTTGTTGGATGTTTTTGTAGCATGTTGATACCATTTTCATCCATTTTTCATCCATTTTCCGCCATCAAACATGGGTGAAACCGGTGAAACCGCTGCATCCGGTGCTGGTCCTACAGGGGCACCAAGCTGTGGACCTTGCTCTACTCGGTGGCCTGGGTGGGACATCGCACCGATGGCCCCACGGAACGATGGTTCCGACAGGAGCCGCGTGGATCTGGTGGGTTTTCCCAGGGCCCCGGTTTTCATGGGATTTTCATGTGGGGAGATGGCCAAAATGGCCAAAAATCATGGCAAATCATTGGTTTATCATGGTTTAGCAATGTCCTTTTTGGTCAAAATATGGTCAAATAGAATATAGCAAATCGGTATAAATCGGTTTACTCATGTGATTCTTGGGTGACATATTAGGTGAACTATTGCAAACAATGTGGTTGCACGTACGACAAAAGACATCATCAAATTATGTGAGGTTTTGCTTTGGTGGTACAGTGTGGATGAGAGGGGGTGACACAGAACACGGGGTGGTACATACTATACTGCAGCTGTTCGAGGGTTTCAAACAAAAAAAACAGAAAACAAATGACAAGACCCAACTCTCTGCCACTACTCCCCCCCTTGGGGTGTGCAATCTTGTTTTTTTTTTTTGTGGTTTTTAGCCAAGAAACCCAAACAAAAAATGACAAGACCCAACTCTCTGCCACTACTCCCCCCCTTGGGCTGTGCAATCTTTTTTTTTTGTTTTTTTTATTTTTTTTGGTTTCTTGTTTCCTGGTTCGTTGTTGTTTTTTTTGAGCCTAGACCTAACTCTTTGCCAGTTCTCCCACTTTAGGGGTTGCCAACTTGCTTTTGGCTGATTTTATTATTTGCTTTGGGCCTGTGGTTTCATTAGAAAACTATGTAAAAAAAACTGGCAAAATGCAGGTATCACTGGAGGAAGCTTGAGGGGCTTGGGACACAAATTAGGCCATTTTGTTTGTTTATGCAATCTTTCAAAAACGGTGTGGAACAAATGCAAAAACATAGGCAGCCAATGAATGTGTAGAACTGAGTTTGATATTGACATTCTTGGCTCAAACCCTTGGATTAGGACATGTTCAAACACTTTGAAAGATTCCCTTGAAAAGGAGTGATGCATCTTTTGAAGTGAGTGCTTCCTTCAACAAGTGCATTTCTTTTATAATTAAAATGGTAGAGCCCGGTAGAGCATCCCATTGAAGTAGGTCATGTCTTAGTCTACTTCTATGTCAAAAATGAACCCTTTTGCATATGCAATGCCCTTTTCACAATATACTTTCTTAAATGAAGAACACATGGTACATGTAAGAACATGTAAGCACGTAAGATATGTCTTTCACAATTGCACATCATTTTTCTGAATGCATAATGTGATATTCTTCCAAGACAACGAACCATATTTTGGGAATAACACCCTTTGGTGTAGGCAGCTCCCCTCTTGAAACATATTGTAATTTGAAGAATGTGCATCTTTAAATTTTAAGACAATCAAACATTGTTTGAACATACGGTAGTGCTCACAGTTTCAAATATATTGCACTTTTGACAGGGATGCCCTATGTCAATAATACTGCATATATCATGCAGAAATATTGACTTGTCATTGACTTGTCTAAAAGGGGTACTGCTCCTTTGAAAGGAGGGTTAGACATCTGGAAATGCACACTGCACTCCTTCAAAGGGCATGGTGCAATTTTTCAAGGAATACGTCATATTTTGTTCGGATATTGTCCCTGCAAAAACACACTGCATTGCCCCAAAGGAAGATTACTCTTATTCAGAAGGATATGTTTGTTTTGAATATCTACTGCATTTGTTGGCAGGTATGGGGATGTTGTATAGAATTATCTTGAAGTCATCTAGCATATTCTGCTGAAATTGTGTTTTGTTGAAGGGACAATGTAGTATAATTTATCTAAGGTAGAGTGAACACCTGGACACTTCTTCAAGCAATACATGCTCTCTAGTGGACATGAACACAGCTTCATCTGTAGCTTAAGCTTTAATGTGATTACAGTTTTGAAAAACAATAAAAAAAGTGCACTCCCACAGCGTCCTGCTCGCAAAAAAAGGGGGTCCTGGTGGATTTCTTGGACCTCCAACTTCGAAGTATCGACGGCCCTTTAAGTGAAGGACTTGCCGGACACCTACCTCGGTCAAGGCGCTTTGGAATGCTACGTGGTGGTCCCTCAGCTACGTCCTACAGAGTCTGAACCGTTCCATGCCGCCGCTGTATAGAAGCCCTTAAACGACCATTTCTGATTGATTTGCTATCCATCACTCACAGATGCCTTGCCTAGTTTTGTTCATCCCAACTTTCACTGCTCTGACCTCAGCGGTTTTCAACCCATCGCAGTGGCTGTGATGCGATGTGAGGCTGCCAACTGGAGTACGGAGCGGGAATATTCTTGGGATGGTGCTGGATACAGCTCCATCTACGCACCAGACGCTACGCTGTGCAGGTGGACAATGATTTTCTATAAAAGATAGGTAAAAACACCTTCCACTGTATCCAGTGTTAGCGATTGGTGGGGATTTCACGCGTAGCTGGTTGTCTCTACCGCTGTCACACAGCTAAAGTCAAAGGCGGAAAAAAACAAAACACTGTTAGGGAATTCATGATTTTGATAGATGTTTTTTCTCAGGGGTGAAGTACATGAAACCTGAGGATGGGCAGAGGATGTGCTTCCTGGATTTGGAGATCGGGGACAGCACCTGGGATAGCAACGGATAGCAACCGAGATCCGAAAAATACGATGTGGTCGAAATAGAAATACAAAATCCCCAGAATTTGGAGGCTCACTTTGGATCCTGGCAAGGTGCTGAAAACTCCAATTTTTGGGACTTGCAACTGCGCAGATTTTGGACTAGCATTAATCAGCCTGTTCTTTTGGGGATGGTTTTGTATAGCCCACACTGACACTAGAACAAACTTGAGCATCAAAATGATAGGGTCCCCAAATGTCGCTTGGAATTCGCCCTTATTCCACCATGCCAAAAGCTTCTGCTGATTGTTCTGACCCGGCAAGGTATTCTATACCAAGATATCCCATGCACGAAAGCCTGAGAGTGGCATCTTTCTGGGCCACCGGGATGTTCCAGTTGCCCACATGCTGGGGCTTGTGCTCACACTTCGCATGGTCCCGTTGATGTACCATCGGCAAGGAGGACATGGAATTTCTCCGGAATTTCCCCTGTGAAAACTGGTGGTGACCTCACTAGAATGATGATAATGATGGTTTGTGAGGATAGTTATCCGAATAGAGCCTGAATTCAGGTTAGTGAAGCATCGTAATTTAGCCAGATACATAATAACCATAATATCCTCAAAGGGAAGCCTCAAGAAGATGATCATTTGAAATCATTTGGAAAGGAATCTAGAAGGGTTGCTGTGTGAGATATGGCCCCTGGCCGAAGTGCCAAAGCGACAATGCTCCGATACGGGTTTGGCCTCCGTTGATGGGAGAATTTCTGCTGTTTTCTTGGCAGCTTGCACTGTTTCCTACCAGCCCGCAATGGGGCACATCCATTGTTTGGTCCTGGTGATCGTTGTCAATAATGACGGTAGGATCTTGTAGAAAAACAGAGGGAGACTACATCCATATCCATGAGTCCCTCCTTTTTGTTGTGGGGTTTCTCCATCAACGGGCAGCGCCTTGCTCGGGTCCTTCGGCCCTTGAAAATTATGGGCCGGACTCTGACAGCAAGAAAAAGGCTGCTATTCCATGTTTCATTTGACACACGGGTTAATCCAATATATTCAAGCACCCCAATGGCAATTGGTGTAGGGAAAATTGGTCAGGGGTGCCACATGACAAAGCCACAGGTCCTGCCCTTTGTTCATCGCGGGTTGATGGCTTGAATTTTGTTCATTTCTCATCCCTACTTGAGACGATTACGACTCTCCTGTAAACATTGCCATCAATGTGGAAATCCCACCGTTCCTTTTCCCAGGGAAACCATGGGTTTTAGATGGGCTTTCCACATGTATGTTAGTTTACCTCAGGGTACCTGATTCCCTCCTATGAACCATCCTTCAGGATGGTCTAAAGCCAGGGTTCCACAGTCTGAGGAGTCGACGCCGGTGGAACACAAGTTGGTCAGGGCCGGGGCGTCAGAGGAACTGACTTTGATGAATTCAGCTGAATCAATGGTGTCAATGATAAATTTATTGATGCAAGGGAACATTGGGAGGATTTAAGCCAACTATGTTTAATATGGAAAAACTGGAGGAAGCCAGGACTTGACGCACTTTTGCCATGCAAACGTTTGGGTTCTATTTTCGCGCAATTGTGCCGCAAAGCCAATTCTTGGACCAATGAAAAGGGACAATGAAGTGTTGGCAATTTGCGGATGATTCTCGACATTCACACATCATAAATCAGGCGATGACAGAAACAACGATGAATGGATCAGCTGAATGTAGATGATAGACCCTGTAGTGCAATGCTTGCCAACACCAACAGTAAAAGCATTGGGCCTAGGCTGGCAGCGCACCTGACGGGCCAAGAACTCATTTGCAGATTGGCGAGTGGCATTGCGAACATCTATTCATTCCTGCCAGTCCTTCATATGGGAATGATTGGACATGTATAATTGTCACTTACAGTATGATTACAGTATGGACATCCCAAAATATATAATCCTAATATATCCGAATTGTGTTTGGACAGCCAAAAATTGGGAATTTCCCAAACTTGGATGGTCTAATGATGTTTGCTTGGCAGCAGGCAGAGCTGTCGCTTTTTTTTGAGGCCCTTCCCAGGTGGGAGGTTGTCACCTTTGCCAGAGCTGTCACCGCAGCAGGAGCCACTTTTTATGGGAATCATTGAATCATCAATCATTGTGGTTGGTAATGTGTAGTGTAATGTATACCCTCTGGTAAACTAACATAACTACGGAAAATCACCATGATTAATGGGAAATTCCACTATAAATGGTCATTTTCAATAGCTATGTTAAATTACCAGAGGGTAGTGTAATGGTTAGTCATACTTAGTCCATGATTATTTGATTGATTCATGAAAAGAAAATTGAATCATCAACACTATCATGTTGGTAATATCACTAATGGTTGGTAATGGTTAGTCATACTTAGTCCATGTCTACCCTATATGAAACGGGAATGCTTTGCTTAATAATTAGTTAATGTCAATGTTGGTAAGGCAATGTCACAAAGCGCCCACAGAAATTGACGGTCTACTGTATCCATAAAATTGGTAAAACAAGCATCTAAACTTGGGGATGGTGGATCCCATTGCTTTACTAACACTACGTCACACGCCATCGTTTGCCCGTGTCCCGAACTGGTTTCCGTCTCAGCATCATCATGATAATCATGATCATGATGATGATCATGATGATGATCATGATGATGATCATGATGATGATCATGATGAATGATGATCATGATGAGTGATGATCATGATCATGATGATCATCATCATCATGATCACCATCGTCGTCATCATCATCATCATCATCGTCATCGTCATCATCACCACCATCATCACCACCATCATCATCATCATCATAATCAGCAGCAGCAGCAGCATCACCATCCTCATCCTCATCCTCATCCTCATCCTCATCCTATTCCCCCTCCTCATCCCCCCGAACTCACCCACTCTAAATGGTGAGAAGTCTATAGATAAAATGATCTTTGTTTAAGGATTGTAAGAAGTCCATCATCGTAACAAGTAACAAGTGTCATGGTGCCCGTGTGCAGGTCCCTTTCAGTGTCCTCGACAGCTGCACATCCTAAATCCACATGTTGATACATGTCCATATACACAAATGTTTACACAGGCGCGCACACACACACACACCACAATTTTCGATGTGGGCAAACGACGGTGTGCGCGCGTAACACTAGCCCATGGTAATCCTATATGAGACCGGGATGCTTAACGAATACCTTTGCTGCGCGCTACACTTCTTGATTCCCATTAGATTGGCATTTTTTGGGTTTTCTTGAGAATGGAATCTTGGATTATGCCTTCCAGTTTTCTTGTGCCAAATTGTCATAGGCAGCTATTGGCACAAATCACTAGAAGCCGTACTTCTTACAAACTCCAACACAGTTGTTGCACGCTGGGAGTCCCTACGTTGATGTTCCCTTTTGCACGCGGCCAAGTTTTTGTGCCTTGAAGACTCAAGGGTGGTCCCTTCAAACTTCGGTGCAGGAAATCTGCAAAGGAATGCTGCAAGACAGCTGGGCGTTTGACTGCCAAGTTTGATCCACCTTGGGACGGCAATGGTTGCAGAAATTGTGTAGTCAGTGGACGACCGTTCCGCGCAAAACATGGAGAGAGAGAGAGAGAGAGAGAGCGAGAGCTGTGGCAGACATGTTTGGTGAAGGAGAGCAGCCAGATTTATGGGGCACCCTGTCGGTCAAAAACAAACAGCCCCTGGCTGACAACGTGTTGGCCTTGGGAACAAGGAGGTGTAAGGGTTTTGACTCCTGTATATGATCCTACAACTATGGAAAATGGGGAACGCCAAAATTGACAGTTTTAATGATTTCATAGAAGGATGAAAACCTCATGTACAGTTCGGGCAGGGTGACCTGACAGCGATGGAGCGAGAGAGAGAGCATGGGATTTTGGGGTGTCCTATGCTGAGACAAACCAGCAAGGTTTGATCTGGGTTGAAAGCCAGGTCACTACTTTCAGCCGTGTCCCTGCTGCTGCATGGGCTCGGGCCCTTGGGCGCGGGGGAACAGTTGGTCTTCCCAGCTCTTAGGTCCCACTTCAGCTGCTTCTTGCATGACATATGGATTCGGAAACGTTTAAGAACAGTTTTTTCCCGCTGTGAGCAAGGTTGCTCAAGCCGAAATCCACAGAAAAGGTCAATTTTATTTTGCTGTTGAAGTTGTCTTACTCACATCAATTGGGAGCCAGAAGGCTACTGAAGCCGCCAATGGTTTCAACAGACGAAGTTGGACCCCCCTGCAATTTCCAGTTGGTGGATCTCATCAGTCTCCATGAGGACAGCTGATACTGGTTTACAACAGGCGCTGAGCCCAGGGGGACGGGGAGGCCTGCAAGCTTCTTTGCCGACAACTTCTGATGGTTTGACCCCAATGAAACCGGGGATTTAGTTGCTACAGCAGTCCATGTTGAGGGTGGATGTTTCCACATTGCTTGGTAACGGGTGGACGTTCACAGATTGGTGTTGCACATGTCTATGAATTGCACATTCATGAGTATACCCGCAAATGGCCGCTTTAATGCATGATCAGCCACAATAAACCATTGTATTTTGGGGTGCCATATGTTCAGACAACTCGCAGCGGGGAAGAAACTAGAATTATTATGATGACAATTTTAATTGCTGTCTTAGCTGAATCTGTATTTTTTGATCATTCATGCACATTGCAATATACACACATACATATAATATAGGACATAATTGACGCATACTATGTCATGTATATCATGTATATCATATATATATATATATGTGTCATCTATATCATCGTCTATATAATCTATATCATCTATATCATTTATATCATCAATGTCATCTATATACATTCTATATCATATCCTATCCTATATACTATACACTATTTACTGTGTACTATATACTATACCCTCAATCCTCTATCCATCCATCCATCCATCCATCGATCTATCTATCTACCTACCTATCTATCTATCTATCCATCCATCCATCCATCCATCTATCTATCTTCCTATCTATCTATCTATCTATCTATCTATCTATCTATCTATCTATCTATCTATCTATCTATCTATCTATCTATCTATCTATCTCTCTCTATCTATCTATCTATCTATCTATCTATCTATCTATCTACCTATGCATATATATTATATATATATACGTATATGTATATATGATTATATATGTATGTGTGTATGTGTGTATATCTATCTATACCTATGTGTGTGTGTGTGCGCGCATCCATATTCGCCACATAGCATGTCATCATTGCTAGTTTTTATCATTTCCAGCCGTATATAGATCCCCAGGCTCTGCGCTGTCTCCAGACTCTGCTCTACTGCTGTAGCAGGTGGGGCACCACCTTGCCATGGCGGC